CTGGCAGAAAAAAGCCCTCCTCGCCTTGCCTTCTTTCAGAAAGCCATCAAAACTAACTAACTTTTTTACCTAGCAATTAAAACATGAAAAACATGCTAATTAAAACTTAAATGCAGCTTTCATAATGCGAAAAAAAATTGGAGAAAGTCCACGAAGAGAAGAAAAGCCAACAAACTGCAGCAGTGGGCAAAAACTATTAACTTTAATATTGGAAAATGGCGGGACGGGGCTGGGTGCCTGCCTGGAAAAGTGAGCAGATATCTTGCGATGTGGAGAAATTTGCAAAAGAAATCTCCGCCTGACTGCACATGGAAACATGCGCGTTGATGCGAGACATTGTTACCCTCCTCCGAAGTATGCCGATAGGAGAGGATGAGCGCCCCAGAAGGGTGCCAGCGACATCTTCATTAAAATCTAATTAGCGCATTGCCAGACCAGACCAGACCCGACCAGGCCAGGGCAGGACACAGAGTCCTGGGCTTCCCCGGCTCTTGAGCACATAATCAGTCAACCAGGAGCAGGTCAGGAGCAGGCCAGGGGCGAAGTCAAGCTACCCAGCAATTCACCTACACTTGGAGCAATTCGCTTGAGCTAACTTTCATTTCGCCCATATTATAATTTTTCATTTTATGAAAATTTTGAATGTAATTCAAGTTGCAGTGTTCGTTCTTCTCATCTTATCTTGAAACTATTCTTTCCTCAGTGCTGGTCTATTTCTCTCAGTGTATCAGGTATATGATGCTGCAGCTGGTGCTGGTGCTGGAGCTGCTCCTGCATGCGTAAGCTGCTTAACTTGTGCCGGAATTCAACAGGAGCAGAAGCCACGGGCAGCAAAGCTCAGGAATGCTCAGTCTCCTTTCTTCCCATCTGAACCCCTTGCTCCCATCCTCCCGAGCTGTCCTTGCTCCACTTAAAGTTTTGCGCCAGCTGCATACGCTGCAGCGGGAGGATGGTACGAGGGAGGGGGACGAGTACGAGGCGGACCGCCTTGGGGCTTCGCCTTGCGCAACATTTTCGAATTCCAGAGTCAACCGCAAAATGAAAAACTTTCTATGGCTGCTACTGCCGCTGCTGCTGATGCAACCGCTCCCCCTCTTCGAGTCCTAGCCATAGTGTATACATATTGTATATAGTTCTCTGCACCTCTCTCACCCACCCATCCACCCAACCCTCACCCAGTAGGACACTCTCACACACACGCGCGTGTCCTTCAGGCGTGCATTGCATTTCGATGTTGCTCTCGTGGAAATTGCTTTATAAAATGTTGCCATCGCATAAAAGTTGTGTGAGGTTTTTGTGGGCGTGGCCGCTACCACTGGTGCCCCACTCGCACTGCCATGGCTAGCATCTTGGGGGCTTAGCTTTCTTTTTCCCATGCAATACGTATACGTAATTTTTATTTTAAATTTCCATCATTGATTCTTTTTTATGCTGCGGCTTGTTGCTTGACATGCTTTTAATTTTCAATGCATTTTCTTCGCTCCACTGCTGCGCCCCTCCTCCCGACTTGTTCTATTTTTTAACCATCGGCTATTATTGTTTTGATTTGGCAATAGTTTGCTAATGGATTTCCAGATTCTATAAATCATTTTTGGGGGGAAAACTTTATCGGAACGTGTCTGTTGCAAAGATTGGACGGGGCGAGTGATGGGAATTGTTTGCACACTTTAAAACTTGGAAAGCGAAGAGAAATTTGGTCTCTAACTGAATAAATATATGCATATTATTAAATACAATTGCAATACATTAAAAGAAAGAAAAGTTTCACTTATAGCCTTAAATAGCCACTATCTTTGTTTATTTTCAAAATTTAAGCACATTGAAAACTTTTATGGATGGTTGTATGGATGTTTGGACTGCTTGGAAATTAGACAATTGGGGGGTTTGCGATCTCCTAACTTTGAAACACATTGAATTGCCCTTTTGAAATCGATTTCCAGCAGCTTTGTATGCCATAATCAATTACGTTATCGTTTCGAATCACTTCCAATGACATTTCAGTCAGGCAAACTGAATTCCATACCCACAAGAAAGCCAATTGCCAAGCTCCATATTGCTAATATCCTGTGGAGTCTGAGGAGGCTACTGTCTCTGTCTTAGCCACTTCGTGCCGCATTGGGCGGAAATGTCTGTAAGCCAAATGCAGCAGCAGACATAATTTGGGCGTTTTAAATCCTCGTGTAGAATTTATAATGCTCAATGGATTACAACTTGGACAGGGATGGAGGTTCCCAGAAAATATAAAGAGAGAGTGTGAGAGAGTAATACTTTCTTTTTTCCGAACTTTCATGTGTGTGTGTGTGACATTTTCTTTAGCCAACTAATGAATGCCTCAAAGAGTTTTCTCCTTGCAGTTTTAGTTTTGCGGCCAAACCCCCACACAGAGCTACTCGTAAAAGGCAAATGGAACATGGGAGCCTTTTGGCTCAAGCCACAAATATTTGCACGGTCTCTGGTGTGGGTAGGCACACCCTCACAGACATACAGCAAAAGGGAATACACAGAAAAAAAACCTGCAACTCAGCAGTTGAAGTTAAAGGATGTTCTATTAAAAAAATAAATCTTCAATATGACACAGCTATTTAAACATGCCAATCGAGTTGCTTTATAGATATCTATACTAAATAATGCTTTCAGGTATTGCCATCTGTTGTCTTCTCTTTGTAGGATCTTTCAGATAGCTCACATCTGTTGAGTAGCCATTAATGGGGCCATAGCCTTCGTACTTTGTTTTTCAGTGTACTTCTATTCCCAAGCAGCTTTGAAGGCGTCTCAGTTTCTCCACTGCTGCTGCTGCTTCTGCTGCTTCTGCTGCTGGCACTGAATCAGTTAAGAAAAGTTTTCTAATTAATTCGCCGGAGATATGTACAGAGACACTCACACTCAGGCTCTCTCTCTCTCTCTCTCTTGCTCTCTAGGGGATGCAGCGACGTTGATGGTTACAAATGCGATGGGCAAAAATATAATTTAACTGACAGTTTGTTTGATAAGTGACAATTTGAAATGGGCTTGCAAATGGGCCGATCTGCGAGGTCTGTGTGTGCGTGTGTGTGTGCTTGTCGTGGGGCGTGGCCCTGCCTAAGCTTAACTTCATTTTGAAATTGCTAATTTGTGGCAGTTAAATGCATAAAAAAGTCATAAAATGCATTTGCTCGCACTGCTTAAAAGTATGCTACTCGTATAAATTGTTTGCTTGTCTGCTGCCTGCTGCCTTCTGCCTGCTTCCTCCCTCATTGTTCGATTATGATTATGGGAATTCTCAGACCAAAAAGAAAAGAAAACTCATCAGAATTTTCCATTAAAACAAATGACAACACGTTCAATGGCAAAATCATTATAATGGAAGAAGGACTCCTAATTTTGTGTGGGTGTGCGCCTCAGTGTGTGAGGGATGGAAAAATCAAAGCAAAATATTGGATCCATTAACTTGGCCACTAAATGTGAGTCTCGTCTCGTCTCGGCTACCATCTCCAACTCTAGTTGTGTGCGTGTCTCTTTCTCGCCAGCTATAAGAAGTTGAATGAGAAAAGTGCGGAGTGCTCCCGAGGGTCCTAGGGGATAAATGCAATGGAATGTGAAATTTAATTAGACACATTCGGCAGAGTAGCGAGAGCTTGAGAAGATAAAAGGGAAAGGAGTGAGAACGATGAGAATCATAAGCAGAGAATATTTAGATGGAAGTAAAAATAGTTTAATAAATCAAGGGCTGGGCTCTCTATCCGTCTATCCTCTGAAGGCAATCGCTTATACCATGCCCATGCGAGTGCAGAACTGTATCATATATGTAGCTGCCATATAACACTAGTCAACACGACAATTAGGCTGTGTCCCAAAATTACTTTTTCTGATATATTTCGGGGTTTAAAATTTTTTAACGAATTATGGTTTTTTTTATGGTTTTTTAAGAATTTTTTAAAATCTGGTATTTTATTAATGTTTTTTTTTCAGAGGTAGTGCCTCTATTTTTCACATAACTCGAGTATCTTCTATCTGGTTGCATAGAACTTTGCAGTTCGGAAAAGCTGTATGCAGCTATAACTCGGACCCAGACACTTTGTATCTGCAGCTTAACGCCGGGAAGATATTAAACTTTAAATTTTAAATTTCATAATTTGTTGCGTTATTTTTTTTTTTTAATTTTGACTTTAAAAACTCGGGAAAAGTTGAAAGAAAAATATTTCTTGGCCAAAGTTTTTAGTTTTAGATAGACGCATTAATTAGGCGTCGTTTAAGAAATTGTTCATTAAAATCTATGGAGGGACAGTGGAGCTAAAATTCGTTAACCAAACCTAAAAATGAATAAAGAGGACAAAAAATACTTTTTGGAAGGTTGCGGGCCCAACTGCCAATTGGAAACAAAGCAAACGAAAAGGGGTTGTATTTTTGGTACCTGAACGTGTTCCATTGGCATTGGACCAGCAACGGTATTTTTCAGGTAAAATTAGTTTTGAGTTGATTTGGTCAAACGGCTGCAAGTTGACCGTGAACAATACCTTAAACGACACCTTTGCATTAGCAATCGAATTAAATTAAATCTATTTTTTTTTAAATTCCATTGCTAATGCAAACAAATTTTGGCCAATTCTGCCAGTTGCCCGTCCCCCTCATTCCATGCCTTTTGGCTCGCTCAACTTCTTTTAGAAACTCTGGTAAGAGGTAGATATAGAGCCGCAAGCTCAGCGCACAGCCAATGAAAATCTAATTTAATTAATAAGATGCATTAAAATCAATTAAATACCAATTTTAGATTTGCCTGCAGCCATAGAAACCGTCTCCATCCATTCGCGAAACCTTTGCCGAAGTACATCAGAGTTTTATGTCGGACCATAAGCAAAGCGCCAAAGTTTTATAACCCTTTAAACCCCTTTTTGTGTACTGAACCGAGCCCATCGGTTTTAAAATTGATGGCAGTAAAATGTACTGAGAATTGTGTACGTCCGTACGTACGTACGTATGTATATTTGGAAATTATATTTGCTTTTCCTCTTGTCCATTTGTAGCGCTTCAAGGACAACGACATCGAGGTGAAGCGCAAGGATGGCATTATCCTGCTGCGTGAACTGGCTGCCGAGGTGAAGAACTTTATGGACTTCAAGCGCAACTCTGTCATGGTAAGTGGATACCGAATACGATTCCTTTCGCCGCTCTCCTTCTGTTGGGCCTACAATTGACAAGTGGCTCAATCGCTAAATGCTTAGGGGGCAAGCAGCCGGGTACTCCCGAATTTAAGGAGAACACTTAAAAACACACAGCAAAACAATCACAAAGGGATGAGACAGGACAACGGGTCTCCTGCCTGCTCGTTTGGGACGGCGACGGGAACGGAGACGGGACTCCGGCGTAAAGTGGAAAACAATAAATTGCCGTGGGGCAAGTCTCATTGCGGTGATGTTGAAGCTCGTGAATGGAGCCGCTTGGGGACTCCGAGCCAGCGGTGGAGAAAGGAGACGAAGAAGAGGTCGGCGCCAAATTTAAATTTAAAGTGCGCCCAGCCACAAGCGGAAGTTTTTGATGGCGCCCGCAGCTGCTGCGAGTGCGTGCGTTGTCCCGCGTCCAAGTGCTGCTTCTGGCAAAGTACTCGCCTCGTCTCGTCACACATTTCCTCATCTCCTCATCTTCACTTCATCCTCTTCTCTGACTCTCCTTCTCTGCTCTGTTGTGCGGTGTTGTGGTCCTGGTCGCTGATTCGGCTGCCTGCTGCTCACTCTCTTTGCGGTGTTCCAGTGTTCCCTGTCGCCTGACCCCTGTCCACTGTCCCACAGTATCAATAGACCTCGTTTACCGTGGGAAGAATTTGCAGCAGGCGACGGAGCAAAGTGGCTTGATTGTGCGGAATCACCCAGAAGAAGCTTTGCTCTGTATGTGTGTATATTCGTAGCGGGATCGGATACCATTAGAAAAAGGATTTAGAGTAAGAAAGAAATCAACATACAATATGTACGCTTATGGTTATTCTTCTGCTCTTCTTCTGCTCCATCTTCTATAGACTTCCACAGTATTTGTCTAGGAAAGCAGATTGGCGTCTGACCTTTTAATCAGCTTTCCACGTTCCCGTTTATCAGCTGCAGAATTCTAGTGCCGCGCTTTAGTTTTTTTTATTTTATATATATAAATCGGTGACTATATATTTAACAGGGAATAATTGAGTTTACAGAGCACTTTATTTGGGAATCATAGCTGGTTCTTTGGATTTGTTCGATAGGTTATTGATCTGGATATTTAAGTTGGAGCCGACAAGAATGGACCAGATTTTGTGCGAACACCCACCATTATTCACAGAGCCAGTACCTCCAGTACCACTATCAAAATTACTTCTGGAAACTGACTTTTCCGAAACTTTCAGATCAATCCATTCGCGGAAGAGGGCAACATTTGTGTAAAGAGCCGGAGTGTTCTGATCTCCACAGCCAATGCCCCAATTGACAATGCCAGCCTGTTCATAGCGTCGGTTATCGTTGGCCAGAGGACAGACCAATGGGGATCCGCCATCGCCCTTACACGCGTCCCTACCCCGTTCGCCGCCTGCACAAATTAAGCTGGAGTCGATCTCAAAGTAGGAGCCGAGGATGGTTCGTCTCAGTTGTTGTTGGCACAGTTCACGACCAACCACGGGCACCTCAACTTTCTTCAATATATTCATGTAGGAGCTGGACGAAAACGTCTTCTTGCCCCAGCCGCTGACAAAGCATCTGCTATGGTCGAAATTCCTGTTCGCTCTAGGCAGGCAAGCGGGGCTGATGTGGGGCTGTGGGTTTATTCGCGTACTGAGGAAGAGCAGTGCCAAATTGTTCGCTCCCGACGATTTCTGGAAGTCCGGATGTCTTTCGATAAGCCTTACGTCGACATCCACATGGCGATGAAATTCAGTCTCAATTGAAAAGTCCCATTCACCAGCCCTGACGAAAAACTCTCCTGCTTGGAGATTGAACACGACATGGGCTGCGGTAAGGACTACATCTGATCCAATCAATGTTCCAGCTTTCAAATATGATTTATCCGACTTGCGAAGCAGAGCCACCATCCAGGGAAACTCACCCACCTGGGCCACATCCGCTGAGTCGGTCATGGTGGTATGCAGACCCATTTCGTTTCGGTGTCCACATTCCGTTGGAGTGGAAACGTCTAACGGGACAATGGGGGTATCAACCTGAAAGAGCAACCAAATGACACACACATATTGCACACCTACCCTACGAAGCTGATCGCTGTAGGTCCCACAGAACCTACCTTATCTGTGATGGCGCAGCAGACTTCGGTGGCATCGCATCCCTCATTGCCGTCTAGCAACGTACGAAATGAGAACAGTGCCCGGCCATCCCTAATGACAGCTCCGTTGTCGCACAAAATCCGCGGCACACATACTTTGTTTTTGGAGTTGCCACAGTTTTTCTCAAGAACTTCGGCTGAGGCCATTAGCAGGAAAAGCAGGAGTGGAATTAGAACCTCGATTTGTGACATTATAGCGCAGATTTCCGTAACGCACTGATCGACTTGAGGATTTGCTCTCGGCATTTATAGAAATATCAGCATTCCTAGAATGTTGATACGAATTTTGTGATTACATAGTATCCAGAGATGATTGCACGGAAAAGATTTTAAGAAATTTATTGAATTAAAGGCAAACAACTTTTAAGAAAACGAGAAGGAACGTGCGAGTCGCTTCTGGGGACGCGACACTACTTATACCCGTAGTCAGTCCGCATAAAAATTTTAGAATTTTAGAATTAAAAAAAAAAATTTTACATTTACATTTTTTTTCTACATATGTTATCTACATCTACTATGCATATTCTACATCTAACATGTAGATTCTGCATGTACCATGTATTAGAGGGTACTAACGCGGCAGAGTGTGCGAGCGAGAAAGTGAATGTGTAGCGTGTCTCTTGCTGAGTTTGGCGGGGGAAGCAACTGAAAATTAATTTCTTCATTCTGGCTATAATTATAATCCGATATGATTCAGATTCGGCAATATGGTAGATAGGGTCATTCTCTACGATACTTTAGTTTTATCGTATCTTTAAAATGGTGCTTGCCACAGATTTTCGTAATTTGTGGTGGTGGAAAGGGGGCGGGGCGTGAAGTGAAATACACTTGTAGCAGTGTGATGTCACATGAGTCTGGAAACCAAGTTTGGTTTCTCTAACTCTGATAGTCTCTGAGATCTAGGCGCTCATCGAGACGGACAGACGGACGGACAGACGGACATGGCTATATCGACTCGGCTATTGATGCTGATCAAGAATATATGGACTTTATGGGGTCGGAAACGTTTCCTTCTCTGCGTTGCACACATCCACTTTTACCACAAATCTAATATACCCCTTAACTCTTTTTTGAGTACGGGTATAAAAACGTCGGACAATACATTTTTAGGTTCAAAAGATCAGCTTAATTGTTGCTGGTCCATGCTCTCTACGCGTAAGCAAGCTGTACTCTGATCATTTACTCTAATCTTGCAGGCCCCTTGTCATTGCAGAGTTCAAATATGTATACATTTTTGAAAAAATAAAAATTATAATAATTTGTTTTATCATTTTTTGGCAATCTTTTCGACCGCTTTGGACCCACTGTTTAAGTCTATAAATGCCAATGGCTGTCCACTCAACCGATTTGGCTGTTTTTCTGGCGCAGCATTTTGATTGATTGTTCTGGCTAAGTGTCTCCTTAGCTCCAGTACCCTCCTCTCCGCATTGTGAGAGTGAAACGAGGCTATAAACTTTTTATATCTATTACTCCAAACGCGACTTTCATCATTTAATCACTGTTTTAGAATGCTCCAGCGTCGATGTATATATGTACCTCTTAAGTGGCCGTATATTCGGTATTCTTCGAGTGTGGCCGTACATTTGGGGATTATTAATATACATTAGGGCTGCTGTATTGGCTGATATGGTCTAAAATTGTATAAAGGGATTGCCGTATTGGCTGATAAGGATTATCCCACCACAACTTGACCATCCTGACTGTTGGACCACATGATTCGCTTAAAGATACGGGAATTTTACAATGGTTTACAGTTCTTGTCTTTTGTTTTCGATGCTCCAAACACCTTGATACTGGTTACGGGATATGTACCTGAAAACATTCTACGTCTTTAACAGAAACCTGTCATTTCGTAATACTTTTTCTATAACATAAGGACACTTGAGCTATCTCTATATTTTTCGCCGTTTCCTCTCTTATTTCTGGTAAGTCTTTGTTTTCCTTGCACGTCATTAAATTCTTCTAGCTTTTCTTTTAAATTCGTCTACTACTTTTACTCTCTGTTCTATGCCGACTAATAATTTACAAATGTTGATATGTTTCGATACTATTAAAGAGATGATGATTGTCGACGATGACGATGGTTTATTGCTATTGATAGTATGTACTGCGATACAGAGTCGAAGGGATAGCGAAAGGTTCGAGCTATGTTGATGACGAGAGCACGACGAGTCGGTTGGATGGTTAGCTCGATTCCAGACGGTGTCGGATTGAAGAGCTCGATTCCAAGACGATGTGCAAAACGAAATGCTAGGTCCAGAGTAACTTCAAGCGCAGGCGGTTCGAATAAACCGTGCCCTCGTGAGAGCGACATATTGAGAGAGTGATAACGATAGCGAAGCAAGGAAGGAAAAGTGCGAGCATGGTGCAACTATATTTATAAGGTGGTCTCATCAGTTGGGTGGAGGACGATAAATATTTTCAATTTTTCATTTGGCTGCGTAATCAACCATACTCAACCCGTTGAAGACCACGGGTCTTTAATATCCTTCTTTCAACGGCATAAAGGGCTCAGCAGACAAATACCTAATCGGACAGTTTCAGCGAAAGACGGGCAGGCGAAGAGTAATGCCGTATTCAAGTCGGGAACAGGAATCGACATTCCCAGATCAGCAGGACTCTCTGAAATTGAAACTGAGGGAAATTGTTTTGTATGCCCTGCTGCATCAATATCTCGCATTAATTTAATTTAATTCCATTTAATTTAATTATGAAATTATTTACAACTTGAGCGAGAGAATCAGAATCGAGCAAACAACACGTACAGTCATCATTAATAGGGCCCAGCATAACAATTAAATGTTATAATCAACGCATGAGGGCAGATTTAATGCGACGCCTGGCGCTGGCGCTGGTCCTGGTCTCTGACCCGCTCCCGTTCTCGGTCCCGGTTCTAGCCGTGTTGCCAAGTGCGTGGATATACATAAATAATTTTTTATGATTTCCGAAATATATCGATTAAATTTGTTTTGTATGCGTATTTTTTTGTGGGTTTCGTTTGGTTTGTTTGTTTTTGCAAACGGTTTCTTGCGGACAACACGCTCACACATACCATACGCAGATGCTGTCCCTTGGGCTCGCTGCTGCTGCTGATGCTGCTGCTGGTGTCCTTCCTCTCCTCCCATCTGTTGGCCGGAAGTTTTTGGCCCTGACGCAAAACGCATACGAAGCACCATTAATTAAAAATCAACCCACATGAACAGAAACAGCAACAACAGCAATAGCAACAGCAGCAGACGTGGCAGCACCAGCCAACAACAAAATCAGCGACTGGCCAGACAAAAAAAAGAAGGCAAAAACAAACCAAAAATCAGACCCAAAAGAACCAAGCCGGAAAGTGAGCAACGACCATTCTGGCCTGGCTTTTGTTGTTTGGCCAAATAAAAGATTGACCGGGAAATGTTTGAAACATTTATGAAATGGCAAACACAGGCAGACACACACCTTTTGGCCACCTCGCCCTCACATATACGCAGACGGACAGCAGAGCACGTCTCCGGTGGGTCATCCAATCGCTGGGCCAGAAACTTGAGCCTCAGGGTGGGGGAAACAAACAAGAGATAAAAGCAAATCCCAACACCACGATGACCCACCCACACAGGTCCACTCTCCATTTTAGCTGCGTTGGCTTCAGCTCTCACGCATACTCAATTTTAGAGGTCAGATAGACAGGAACAGCAACAGCAACCAAAATCGAACTGAAGCAATATCTATCGTATGGAGTGTAGCCTTACCGGTGATAGAACTCGTACGTACACAAGCATTCCCGACATAATCAGAGAAAAGTTGCAAAAAGATGCAGTCTTACCACTTGGGAAATAATTTTTGAAACGCAACAGAAGATGAAATCTGCTCAAACAAAGAACTCTAGTGGCCAGAGTTTCTTAGTATGTAAAGGAGTGGAAATAAAACATACAGGCCTTCAGTGTGGTAGTTTTATAGATAGACTCTATCAGCTTCACAGAATATTAAAACCGGTAGGGAAACAGCGCGACGATAATTATATACCCTTGCAGATCGCCAATCAGCCAAAGTATACTTTTTTTTTATTGCTGAAACATTTTCTTAAAAAGAGGTACATATTCCATTTTTCGTTTAAACTTATTTAAGACTGAGAGACCACTTAGTAAGAACAAAACATTGCTTTTTCTATGGGGTTCGAGATTTGTACAACCTTTGCACCATTCTATAATATTATCGGCAATGGCAGTCAATGTAAATCTTGGGATCAAATGAGCTGACCATGCTTGTTTCCACGAACAACGTAATCAACAAAATGCAGTCATTTACACTCATTTTTTCTTTGAAAATGCATTTAACAATAAATGGTTGATAACCTCTGATCTGAGTAATAAAATATGGGTATACATGGTCTTTATGTAACAAAAATTGATAAATTTAAAAAAAAACCTTAGCGCAGCACTTATTGATGCTGGAAGATTAAGTTTATCAGCTGTTCATTACCACGAAATGAAACAAACAACAAACAATTAGTAAATAAATTTAATAATAAGCACATCAATGGTTGATAACCTCTGATCTGAGTATTAAAATATGGGTGTTTTAAAACACAGAAACACCGCAGCAGTAATTGGTGCAGGAAGATCATTTATCAGCTGCTCATTCATATGTGCCAGGTTGTAGTCAGTAGATGTATCCTCAAAGTGGTTAAGGCTGGCATTTGAATTCGCTTAACTTATCTACATACAAACGAAATATAAATAAATTTCTAAAATAAAATGATTTTGATTGGCTGTTAGAGTTAGATAAGGTCAAGGCTACTTATAAACTACAAAGGAAATCGGACAAATCGTTTTCAGCGTCAAGAGATTCACAAATAAATCTCAGGAAAGTTTGCCACAACTAATGAGATATGGAGATCCGAAAGGGTTACGATGTTTTCTGCCATAGAGACCCGACCCGATTGAATAAACTTTTCCTACTCAAAACTAAGAATTCCCAGAACGTCGTAATGACAAATTTCCATTTGCTCCAGCGCTCTGCCCACTTAACAATAAACATGTTAGAAAGATACAGGTTTCAGGCTAGCAATAAGCGGATTGACAAGTCAGTGGCGTCGCTCAGAAGGGGGTCAGAGTGAAGGGGCTCAGCTTTGGTGTATTAGCACTTCTCTATTGCGCGGATTGTACGCAGATATGCAATTATATTACTTGATATTTTAAATGATGTCAAACAAAATAAAAAAAAGAAGAAGGCCAATCATAATTGGAATCTGGAAATTCCTCGTCTAAATGTTGAGAATAGAGCTGGTAAGCCGAGCGCTTATTGGAACACTTTGACCGGTTTGTCCGCCTGTCAGTTGATCAATATAATATAGTACTGCCATTATACATACGAGTACATGCGACTTATATGTATACGCTTATCTGCGTAGCTCATGCCGTTTTCTTAGGCTTCGGGCTTGACTCTGGGATTCTCCCGCTTCTATTAAGTTCACATATAATCTCGTTAATTAGTCATCTGAGCGATCAGTTGTATTTTACGTATTGAGACGAACAGTTCTACAGTTTGGAAATGGATTCAAAGACCTTCGTATTGCTTCTGTTGGTTGCCTGCTTGTGTGTGGCCTGCTGTGTGGCAGCGCCGCAGGGATGCAGCGGAGGACTATCTTCCAGGAATGGCGATATCACCATTGATCTGCACAATTTGAATGGGTTCTTGAACTGCGTGGAGAGGCAGCACCGCAGAAGTGGATGACATCTATTTCATAATCGCAGTCCTGACTTAATATAATTTGTGTGTGTTGTCCAGTACTTCAATGTGAAACCTATAATTAAATTCATCACAATAAATGGAGTGTGCAATAGAAAATATATGTTTATAATGGTCCATGTTTGTGCGTTGCCAGCATCGCGTATACGTGATTTCATTTGATAACAATTCGACCGAAGATGCACTCAAAATTTGGGTTTAAAAAAATATCACCAACTCTTTTATAGTTTGAAATTCACATTGAAAATGTATCTTGAGAAAGCTATCACCTTCTATTCATACAACTGAATCTGGTGTGGACCTATAATGCTTCTTTTCCCGCCCATCCCGCCTGTTGCCGGCAATTTGCGCTCATGTCGAACATGAAAAATAATGAAAACCAACTCGTGCGCGACCAGGCAAGCACCTGCTGTCCCCTGCACCTTGGGCCCCCTGGCTCTGTCCTTTCTGTTCTGTTCTGTTCTGGCCAGACCAGGCCATGCCAATGTTTTGCTTTAACATTGCCACTCGCATTCACCTCCATCAACGTCATACCCATGCTCGCTTCGTATTCATTTTGCTCTCTATAGGATGCCGAGTCCCGCTTTTCATCGTCCTCGTATCATTCGCTTGGGCACCTGCAGGTTGCCTTTTGTTTGGTGCGGCATTAAAATGCTAATTGCCTGTAAACATAAAGGTAGCTGCAGATGCCACACGCATATCATTTTGCCCGACTCCTGGCCGGGCCACTGGCACTGCCTCAACCTCTGTCCCACCTCTGCGCCACTTTCCGTTCGTGTTCACGTGACGTATGCGTAATAATTTGTGCACTCCCTCTCGGTCGCGCATCGCTGAGGTTGCAACGTGTAGCAAATGCCTGCACTAATTCGATTTCTATCAACGCCTGTCAATGCTGTTTTAACTCAGTTGTTGCCCCTGCAACCTGAAACCATTTCTCTGTTCCTCTCTCTCTCTCCCTTTCGCTCTTCTCCTCTCTGTCCACTCTCACTAATAGCTGTGTCCTGTGCCCCGTGTCCTGTTGCTGACAGCTTTTATTTGCGTTCGGTTTCGAGTTAAAATTGACTTTAAAATTGCATTTAACGGCAACAAAAAAAAGCCAACCTCTGCTGTCACACAGTTTCCCCTCCTCCGTCATTCTGCTCCGTCTATGTCTCTGCTTTGGTCGTTTTCCTTTTCGCTCTGCCACCCCACCCCCACCAGTTACCACCCTGCCACAACCCAACCACCCTTTCTGCGCACTGTTGACTTCTTTGCTATAATACCACTTGCACTTTGACGTTGACATTGCGCAAGAGAGAGGGCAACGGCAGTTAGAGAATGAGAGAGATGGACAGAAGAATGTATATATAGATAAAAGATAGATACTTCTTGATAGATGTGTGCATCGGTGTGTGTATTGGGCGTGCTGAAGACTACTCTGCAAGTCTCTTAAATAGAAACGTGCAACAACGTGGCAAGCAAATGTCTTCACACTAAAAGCATTTGCCCTGCCCTACCAAAGTAGAGGGAGCGAACAAAAATACGGAGATCGCGAGTATGTCAGCTCCAAATGGTGACATTTCGCCAATAAAGTCGCTCTGGATAGTTTGCTAACGTGCATAAGACTAGGAGCTAGGAACAATCTTAAGATGGATGTAAGCTCCAGCGATCTGGGAATTTTTTCTTACTCTCAGTCTATATATTTTTCTCTTAGAATATGTTGCGGAAAAGCATAAGATAAACAGCAAAAACTATGGTAGACCATTTTAAGGAAATCAGTGTCACAAAAAGTACAAGGAAGCTTGGAAACCACACAATCCAAGCTTAGAATTAGAAAAACAATCTTAGATGGCCAGGGGACGGCAAAATCTTTTCCACACAACCAAAAAGCCAAAGATGGTAAGCACCAGAGTTTCGCTTTGGCATTTGTAAAAAGGTGTTAATAATCCTTAAAGTAAACCGCATCAAATGCGGGTGTAAATGTGTAGCTGCAGCTCAGTCTGTCACACTTGGTGCTAAAAATACCCAACAGACTTTAGCAGAAGGGTACAGACCAGAACCAGACCCCACACCGGGGCGGTACAGGTGCTGCCACTTGATGTCAGTCTCTTAGCCAGATGCTACACTTTTGCAAGGCTACTCCTGCAAGGGGTTCAGCTCCTTCGCTTGGTTCGCTAATCAAGAGGTAGAAGATTTCACCCAAGACGCGATTCTTCGGGGATGGGACTGGACTGCCAGCGTTAAAGTGTCAAATACTTAGCTAAAGTGATATTAAAACGTAATATAAATTTCTCTTTTGGCTACAAAACTTATTGCCTCAACATTTGGCACGTCCATTCAGACGGCAAATATATTGAGCAGACAAAAAAAACGGAAAAAGCCGAAAAGAAAAGTCTCAGTCAGACTGAAATCGTTGCTTAAACACACATCTTGCATTACCCCAAAGCAGAGAAATAACAGAGGGTGGAAAATCACTCGGCTGGCTCCGGCACCGGCTCTGGCTCTGACTCTTTTCACTTGGCAAATGGTCAATGTGAGTTCGTTTTCCTCAACATTTTTTTTCACAGCATCCTTTCGGGCTGTTGCTCCAGCCAACGCCCAGAGTCCCCAGTCCTGCTCAGTACTGGGTCCCTGGGCCCCAAGCTGCTGCTGCTGCTGCTGCTGCTGCTCCTTCTTCTTCATATGTCTTGCAAACAAATTGCGTGCAAGTAGCTGCATTTTGCTAATTCCGGCAGAGCCCAGACACTGTACCGCTGACATTTGAGCAGGTCGTCCCAGTCTCAGTACCAGTCTCAGTCTTAGTCTCAGTCCTAGTCTCAGTCCCAGTCCCAGTCTCAGCCCCAGTCCCTGTCCCTGTCGCTGCCATCGTTGTCGTTGTCATTGTTGGCTTTTGAATGTTAAGATGTCGACAGCTGCACAGACGAACGAACGGGCGAAGAAGCCAGCTGGTGTCAAATGAGAATTGTGTGCAAAAGGGCATTGCTCACGGTCTCTGGCCCCAGTCCCATTCCCCGCCTATCACCCACCATCCATTCACGCAACCCTTTCTGTGCCGGAGACATTTTTTTTGCCGCCCTTCTCCGCTTTTCTTTGCTATTAGGCTGCCCCGACCTTTGTCTGGACTTGGAGTCCATAAGTGCATAATATTGTAAAAAAAAGTACAAGAAATATATATCATAATACTCGTACAAGACCATGTTTTGCTTGCTCCTCTGTTCCGTTTTGTTCTTTTCCGTTCTATTCCATGTTATGTACGGAATACAGAATGTTAGACAAAGCGACTACAAATGTTTGAAATTCTTTGCATGGGTCTATGGGAATACTATGGGCTATGGGCTGAGAACATCTCAAACAAATATCCATGAATTTGTTCTGCCAATCGTGAGGGGTGGTGCTTGGATTGTAAAACTTACGGATGTGGAAGAGGAGTATTAAGGATTATCAAACAATATTTATTTGCATAGCAAAGAAATTCTTAGAACATACATAATATAGAGCTAAAGGAGAGAAGTTCTCCAACTTCTTTCGGCTCCAACTAAATCGACCAACTTGAGTAACTACTTGGTAGCAACTTTAACTACCTCTTACCTTATTTTCACCATGACAACGGAGCTCTTTCTTTTGCTGAGCAGATGCCAAGGATACCCAAAGCCACCCGGAGCAACTTCCATCGCAGTGTTTCTCCTTGCCTTACCCATTCCCATCTTAAGCAAGTCCCACTCACACAGTCTCGCATTCAGGGTTCCCTCTATTCTATTGACTCACTTTTGGCAGTGTTTATTATTTAATGCCTTAACTAGCTTGCTACTCAACACCTTTTTGGCCAAACTTTAAGTCTCCTTAACTAATTTGAACGCTCGAAAAATGTGCAAATAACTTTGAGAGTCGAGAGCTGAGGGCTGTGTGAAGTTCACCTGAAAAATAAGTTTTCAATGCAACAACTTTCTTTCCCTGAGAGTTGGAGATGGAGTCAGAGTCGGTGCGGGACGTGTTGGGGTCCGCCCCTTAGCCATCCTCCAGTCTGTGGCCATTTGTCTAAACCGCTGACACATTCCCGTGGTGCCAGCGTTTGGCCAACGGCAGCCAATTTACATTGAAATCTTCTTCAGACTCCGCCTGCACTGGGTCTATTCTATGCCCGAGAGCTTCAAGCTTAAGCATTTCTGCTTTACTTCTTATGTCTTTCCTATTTTCTCATTTTTTTCTTTTGGTTTGCCTTTGCCATTGTGCAGAAGTAGTTGAACTATTTCAATGCACCCACATGCAGCCCGGCAGCCTGGCAGCCCGACTCTGCTCTGCAGCATCTTCAGGTGCAGTCAGGCAAGCTGCCTTCTGCCTTCTGCCTTCTGCCTTGTGCCTTCCTTCTCCTTGCTCCAGGTGGAAAGAGCGAATCGCACATCCCCCAGTGTCTATGACTGCAGGTGTTTGTCCTCCTTTGGAGCCAGAGTCTGCCTCAGCAGCCCCGCTTTTTGAGTCTAATTTCGCTGCAGCTAAAGTTCTTGTTTGTGTCTTATGAAAGTGCATACAGTGGGGCCAAAGTTAAACTTGTGAAAATAATTTGTGCGCCAAGATGCGAAATGCATTTCGAGAATGAGCCAAATCAGTGGGAGAAGATTGAGATAGATTCCTCTGTTGCTGTATTTTTGTTTCTAATTAATAACTTTATTTAAATACAACACACAAAATTAATGTTGGAATATCTATTGGAAAATATTTTGCCCATTATGAGAAAACTTTCGTAATGATTTGATGTCGGACAGGAATCAGGGACAGGCCTGTACAATTTTATTTGTATGCCCCAAAGTATGCTCCACTAAATTGGTATCTGAAATCTCTAGTTAGTGCTTCTGGGCTGGGCTGCTTAAACACTGTGCATTCTCGATATTCCCCTACTGATTTCCCAGTACATTGAATTACACTCCTCCCACACACGCACACAGATACACCACAGGCACACACTGATAGCCACCCACACCCAGACTAAAACCAAAACTAAAAGTTGGTTAAAAGAAAGCAAAAACAAAGTAAAGCAAACTCTTCTCCGCTTTGTGCAATTTAAGACTTGAGCAAGAGAATAAATTGCATAAAGCGGGAAAACTTGCCCAACTTTCCCGCCTGCAAGGCCCCTCCGGAATGTAAAAGAGAAATATTTATACAGATTGATAGGAGTGAGTAATGCCAACAACATCCTTTCCTTTCCTTTCCGTTCCTTTTCTTTCTTTTTTCCAGCGCCTGATGGACTCGGCCGAGCAGGCGGCCCTCTCTGAGATGGACGGACAGGGACAGGCGGAGGCGCCTATGGGGGGACAGCAGCAGCACTACGATGCGAGGCGGATCAACGAGTATAATGCCGATGGCAAGCTGGCGGATGGAGCCCGTCATATGGATATACGGTTCATGCGACGCTTCGAACGCCTCCCGGTCAATCTCAGTCTAAGCTCGATTCTGGTGCCGCATGGCGTCGATCTGGATGAGGCGGACGTGAAGTCGGCACTGCAGTGGAGCGCCCATTTGGACCCACTGTTCCAGAACAACTTAGAGCAAGATCCGGCATTGTCATGGCAATACTTTGGCTCATCCTCGGGCTTCCTGCGTCGCTTCCCGGGCACGGCCTGGCCCCCCGAGGGTTCCAAGGGAAGCAAGCTCATCCACGACTTTCGCACCCACAACTGGTTCGTCCAAGCCGCCTCCTCGCCCAAGGATATTGTGAGTAGCCTCTACCCAAACAAACACGAAGACTAAATGACGAGTTCTATGGTTTTTAGATGATTCTATTGGATGCCTCGTCCAGCATGTCGGAGAAGTCCTTTGATCTTGGCATGGCCACGGCCTTCAACATTCTGGATACCCTTGGAGAAGATGACTTTGTGAACCTGATCACATTCTCGGAGGTGGTCAAGGCGCCCGTGCCATGCTTCAAGGATCGCATGGTTCGTGCCACGCCCGACAACATCCAGGAGATCAAGTCCGCGGTCAAGGCCATCAAGCTGCAGGACACGGCCAATTTCACAGCTGGCCTGGAATATGCCTTCAGTTTGCTGCATAAGGTAAACCACCTTCCTCCACCGTCCCTGAGTGATGTTCTAAGCTAACCACTAACAACTACACTCCATCCCGTAGTACAATCAATCCGGTTCGGGGAGTCAGTGCAACCAGGCCATCATGCTGATCACGGAGAGCACTTCGGAGTCGCACAAGGACATCATCAAGCAGTACAACTGGCCGCATATGCCCGTGAGAATCTTCACCTATCTGATTGGCAGCGACTCGAGCAGCCGGAGTAACCTGCACGACATGGCCTGCTCCAACAAGGGCTTCTTCGTCCAGATCAACGACTACGAAGAGGCGCGACGCAAAGTAATCGACTACGCCTTGGTCATGGCCCGGCCCATGATAATGTACCAGGCGGATCATCCGGTGCACTGGAGTCCCGTGTTTGTGGCCGGCAAGTCTGGCGGCCTAGGACGGGACTCGGAGTACCAGCGACGCCTGGTCACGACAGTTTCAACTCCGGTCTTCGATAGACGAAACCATTCGGTGCGCGTTGCCAATCTGCTGGGCGTGGTGGGCACCGATGTGCCCATCGAAGAGATACGCAAGGTTATACCCCAACATAAGCTGGGACCGAATGGATATTCGTTTATCGTCGATAACAATGGGCGAGTGCTCTACCACCCCGATCTGCGCCCGCTGGGCGATGGCAACCAGTATATCGATCAGCTCAAGCCCAAATACGCCTCGGTCGACATCACGGAGTTGGAACTGCCGGAAACGGAAATCGGCAACGATCACGAGATAGTGGAAATGAACAAGAATCTGCTCAATGAGGTGGGTTCAAGGTGTTAATGCATCTCCCACAGAGAACCGGGCTACATATATCTTTGCACATGTCTGTCAATCTTTCAGATGCGCGGTGACATGATTCGACCCAAAGAGGGCGAGACCGAGTTCACCGTCCTCAACCATTACGATGAGGTCAAGCGGGTCTCCAGTCGAACGCACCGCTACTTCTACGGCCCCATCGAGGATACACCCTTCACGCTGGCTATTGTGCTCCCGGAGAAATACGGTAGCCACGAGTTGGTCTCCCAGCAAGAGATCCGGCATTCGCGTAACAATGGTGAGATAGTTTTTGCAATGCTCGTCCAAGTATCCTCGACTAATGCAGGGCTCTTTTTTTATCTCTCCTTCAGTTACCGAATACTTTAAGGGAGACAACTGGCGCGTACATCCCGAATGGGTGTACTGCGAGTACAATAGCGTCAGCGATCTGGAGAAGGAGCGCGAGAGCTCCGGCGAGTATTCGTCACGCGATCAAGAGCCCAGTTTTGGGTCGCCAGAGGAGCAGGTATTGCATTTTCTGGCTCGCGCCGGACGCCCTGGTTGGAAGTGGATGTCGGTAAGCAATCGATCTTAAGGAGGGGTGGGCGGGTTCTCTGCTGTGAGCATTGCACTTATCTTTCATTTCGTTCTCCCAGGTTCGACCCAAGTCGCCGCAGCCACATCACAACATGCACAGTGGCTCCAACGGCAATTCGCCCGGATCGAGCCACTTTGGGTCGCAGCATCTGAATGGTCAGGGCTCTCGCAAGGCAGAGCCGTACTTTTGCGATCGAACCCTCATCCAGAGCTTGGTCCGTGACGCCATGGTCACCGATGGTCTCGACAGGAATACAACAAGCACCTCTAATGGGAAGGAGGACAAGCAGTAAGTTCTAAATAAGTCTCCTATTTTTTTTTGTAATTTGAATTTAGTTTTCGATTTCGGTTCAGTTTAAGGCACTTTAATGGGGAATAAATTAAAGTCTCTCAAATAAATATTTTAAACAAATTAATATTTAAAAAATTTTATTTTAAAAAAATTTGAATATGAGAGTTTTTTTTTTAATTTAAATGTTTGTTTGTTTTGCGAATTTATTTATTTCTTAAAAGTTTTCGTCGTAACAGCCTTTATAGTTTTCAAGAAAAATCGTTACAGCCTTAAGATATTTCCAAATTATTTTATTTTATTCTTAAAGCAATAAGAATATTTATTTTTCATTATTTTATTGATTGTTTGAAATCGGTTTTATTTAAAAATTTCACTAAAGCACAAAAATCCATTTTCTCTCTGCATATATTTCCCCCACTCTATTTTCTTTGATGGCAAACAAAACTTTCCGTTCTTTTGCTATATTTCTGCACTCCCTCCTACACATTATACGAATAACCATAATGAAATATTCTTTCCCCCACTGCAAATAATTTATGTACATTTATTTTACAAATGCAATTTCAAATGCACAAATTTTACATGATCAATTTCTATAGTCCCATCGCCACATTGATGGCTATTCTGAAGAGGTAAATGGAAGAGTAATTTGTATCGAGTTCGAGTAGTGTTTGAACAATGCAATCGCTTTTGAGGACCAGCCACACGGAGCAGGCTTGAACACTATCCCCTAGAAATTGTGATCTGAGAACTTTTACGCTGGCCCTAAGACATTTAAAAGTTTATCGATACGAGGATACTAAATTGCATCCCTTTCTCTTTCCATAGGCAAGGCTATTCGAAGTTTTTGGTTGCCACCTCCTTTGTCGCCACGCGTTCGGGTCTTCTCCGCTGGATTGATCACATCAAGAGGCCCGAAGATACCCCAGAGCCGTAAGTATACGATTTCCTGGCTTGAATTAAATTTTGAACAAGATTCCGTATTTTTTTGCCACAGCCACTTCAGCGAGGAGAACGTAAGGGCCATGGATACATCGTGGTATAAGCGGGCTATAGATCAGCACGCTGTGGAACCGGATAGTTTCGTGTACAGTGTGCCTTTCGGCTCGGGCTATGCCATCAAGTCGAATGCCACTCTGGTAACTGCCTCCCATGCTATATTCGTGGAGCATCGCGGCCACAAGGCCCCAGCAGGGGTTGTGGGCTTGCAATTCCAGCACGATTCATTGGCCAAGCACTTTATAAATATCACCTCAACTGTGAGTGCACAAGGTGGGTGGGTAATTGTTGATCTATACTGAAGAAAATTCTTTCCATTTCAGTGCACTGCGGCGAGTGCGTCGGGCTGCAAGAGAACCTGCGCCTCGGACAATCTCGACTGCTACGTGCTGGACAACAGCGGATTCGTGATCATCTCCGAGGAGATGGAGCACACGGGCAAGTTCTTCGGCCAGATCGACGGCACCATTATGGACTCACTTGTGCAGGATCGCATCTACAAGCGAGTGACCGTCAACGACTTTCAGGGTGTGTGCTCCGATGCGGACAATCCATATACGGCTGCTGGTGGCATTCTAAAACCAAATCGCTTGGGTTCTTGGTTATTTAACCATTTGGTGGCCCTAAGTGCCACCTGGCTATCCTTTATGCCGGCCACATTGCGTGCCTGGCCGCAGGATGACTACACCTACGACAACGAGGATGTTGTCTTTGTGGAGAACAATTATTCAGATGAATACGATAATTTTGACAATGATTATGGCTTGCCAGTAGATCAGGAAATGGATGAGTTCTTCACCACAGCAGACGTGGTAAGATTGTATTTATTTGGATTTGAAATATAGTTCATGTCTCATCTGTCTGTCTTCTAGGAATACACAACGCCACCTCCCAAGGTGCATAAGCCACATGCCGGTCCTCGCTTTGCTCCAGATCCGCAGAATGCGAGAAGGTGCGATCTGCGCACGGATCTCTATATGCTCCAGCCGGAGCGATTAACTCAGGGCGGCCAAAATAATCCACTCAAGGTATGAGTCTTCTAGTCATCACATAGGTATCTCGAAGTGTAATCCTGTGTATCTGTTCCAGGGTAAACTCACCAATTGCCATGTCTCTGGCTGCGAGCGGCCGTTCAGCGTCCAGAAGATTCCGCACAGCAATCTCATCCTGCTGGTGGTGGACACACTGTGTCCGTGCGGCTCCAAGCAGCTGGATATCGAGCCCTTGGAGGAGTCCGGTGTTGTGGGTGAGTATTTGGCATTGCTGTCATCCTCTAGAAGTTTTGGTTGATTCCCATTTCTGGTGGCATTTTAGGTGCTTGCAGCACGAGACGGCAGACCCAGGAGCAGGAGTCTCGACGCCGGCCCAGGAAGTGCATCAACTATCATCCCGAGGAGATTGAGATACAGCAATGTGGGCGCGGCAGCAACCTGAGTCACATGTCCCTCTCTGTAATCGTGGCCCACATTCTGATGGTGACGGTAACCTTTGTGCTGTCCAACGCGTGATATGAGTACTAAACGGGCACGAGGACGATAACCTGCAGTAGTCGTGAGGATTAAGTTTTTCCTTTTTTCGTCTGTAAGCCACATGGTTCGGATGGAGGGGAAAACAAATTTGAGTTTGTTGATTTCAAGGCGCCCTTTGCATGGCCACAGAGCAAAGAAAAAAATTAATATATTTATTTAGAAATACGCAACGCTAAGGCAAACGTTATACTAACGAGTTTATACCCATATGTTTGTAGACAATAATTTGCAGGAGAGGATTCCCGTGCACAATTAGACAAATCGTTAGATAAACCTCAATTCCGTATGTGTTTGTGCAATAGGCGGAACGGAACAATTGAAATCAGATTATTTAGTCAAGGATAAATACTTTCTAGAGCGAGCTTTGTTCCCCCCTATTTTAACCAACTGATTTCCCTAATTACGAGCAAAACCGAATAATTACGAGCACTCACTGAAGCAAAAATATGAAGCGATTAAAAGTTGTCAGTCGGTTTGTGTAAATAGTATGAGAAAGTATTCAATATGAACAAAATTCCTACCGAAAAATATTCCATTCAAGAACAAGTTTTTCCTTTTGTCAGTCTTACAACGTTAAGGGATATATGGAGTTCATTTTGCACTCAACTGCGAACGCACAAGATATCAAGTATTATGTACGAGTATTTTACAACAAACAAGAAGGAGAATTCACTGAACAAACGGAAGACTTGAAAAACCAGACAGCAATGTATAAACAAAAGCACATCAGAAACCAACAAAACAAAACAAAAACCAAAACAAAGTTGTAGTCAGTACAGTTCATATCGCAGACATATGTATGTATGTACATCTGTACATGCTTATGTACGAGTACATGTATATGTATGGGTGACAGCCACTTTTGAACAGCAATAAAAACACAAAAATAATGAAAAGTACGAGTATATACTAGTATATAAATAATAAATAAAACAAATATTCAATTAGTTTTGCAGCGAACGAAACGAAACGAAACAACCCAAAAACCAAACGAAAAAATAATCATTTATTTTATATACACTTTTATACAAGCATAATTTCTTATAAAATGAACAGGAGCGGAGGCAAAGAAAAGCTAAAGAAAAAAATTGATCTAATAGAACAGTTATGGATTAGTTTCAAAATTGTATAAATTAATTGTGCATGACCTTTAATTTCATTTTATGTATTTCTGTTCTTCTAATACAAAGAAATTTACATATCGAACACGATTTGGCCAATAATAAAAACAATAACACTTTTATTTACTACGGAATAAATAAACCAAGAAAAAGCAAACTATTTGAGGTATAAAGATAGAACACTCAAAACACATACATAATCACACATCTACATTTACACTCATTCACACATACACACACTCAACGCTCGACACATACAAACCTATAAAATATATAAAGAAAGAGTATTTTCTGTGTCTTAAACTTGTATAAAAAATGTCTTCCATTAAAATACTTAACAAAAAACAAAAGCAAAGAAAGTAAAACAATTTATAACTCAATAACTATTAATTAACTAAAACAAAAAGGAAAAACAAATACAAATATAGTAAAAGTAAAAGTAAATATATATACTAATCATATATTTAACTCGAAAACTCATTAACCAAGCATGAACAATTTGAAGTGTCTCGTTCTCCTTCGTACGTACAGCTATAAGCTGGCTACGGCGAGGGGCAGAGATGGAAGCGACCCCGGAGAACATTCGCACACCCATAGAGTTCTAGATAATTTAGCTAGTTAGGAGCCGCAGAAGCGGCAGCGGCAGCCACAGAATAAACGGAGGTGGAACCCATACAAGCATTAGATGAAATATTAGCAGAATATTTATATAAATATGTAATAATATTTGAATACACAACTTAAACATAATAATCAATTGTAAGTCGTACTCCTAAGAGCTGTTTGTTAAACGTTGACGATGACGATAACGATGTCGAGGGTTCAGACGCAAGTATTGTTTAAGTGCGACGAGGATTGTGTGCTTGATGTGGGACACTAGTGCGTATGCTTGATCTGTATCAGTGTTTGTGTGTGAGTATAGTATGTGTGTATGGCTGCGGACATTGACTGACATTAAATGGCAGGGTGGCAGGAGAGGAATGTGAGAGAGCGTGTGCTGGGACAGTAGAGGCAGTGTTATTATACCAGTAAAACTATAAGCAAAAGGGCATTGGAAAAACGATCATGATCCGACATTTTCTCCCTCTCTATCCAAATCATCCATATCTGTGCATTTGTGCCCACACTCTTAGTCCGTCACTCCCCCGCTCCATCTCTCTCTGACACTCTCTCTCTCTCATTGTATTCGTGCAACTAATCCACTGTAAAATTGCATTTAATTCCTTCATCTAACTTCAACTCGAAACTAATATACATATTTATGTATTCAACTTTTTGCAAAAACAAAAGATTCCATATCAAAATACAATTGAAAAAAAACCGAAAAAAACACGAAAATCTATACAAAAATTACAAATAATATGTAATAATGTTCTGCAACATTTTCTATGTTTGTTTATTTTTATAAGGAAATCGAATGTTTGTATGTGTAGTCCATAATTTTCTAAAGGCATATGAATACGAGTATATTGACGAAAAACCAAAGTAATATTTATTGGTCTTAATGGAATGGAAAAACATAAACGAAACTACCATTATTAACTTACGAATTAAATCAAATTTTTGACAATGCGATTTTTGCTTTTTGGAAATCGTGCTTTTTGCTAAAACAAAACCAAATCGAATGAAACCAAAATGAAATGAACTATAATTATAATGAAAACAACTTACTTTTGCTCTCTATAAACCCTATATACAAGCACCTTTCTATTTGAAACGTTTATATAAAGCAAACCGAAACCAAAAATAACAAACAAACAAAAACATACATACTTACATACTATATAGAACACTTAATACAACTGATCCTTCGATTCTCTCTTCGGACATTTCACACACAGAAAAACTATCCTTACCGGAAAGTAATACTATCCTTATTTGCCGCTCTTTATTTTTTTTAGTTTTTGTTCGTTTTCAATTGCAGCATTTAGTGTATAAAATAAGACCAAATGAAATCAATAACGAAAGGAAATTAAATTAAATTAAAAGAAAATAACTACGCATACATTCATGTATAATTAGTAACCAGTTACTGACTAAAAACGTTATTTAAATCTCAAGTCATTCTATCAATAATATTCAAAGTAAACAAATTCTGTTATTGTTGTCGAGGCATTGAAATATAAATATTGAGGCCGAAAAACTAAAGCAACTTTTTAATATGTGAGAGAAATTGTTGTTTCATTAAATTTGTCATTATGAGAATTGAAAATATAAATGTTTAATGCAAAATGGATTAAGAAATACATAAAAATGTGTATACACATCTAGTTCATATACATACGAGTATATATGTATATTCCAGAAACCCCCAAAGAGATATACAAGAACCCAATTAACAATTAAAACTTTTGGAAGCTTCAAATTTAGAAAAGCCGAAAAACATTCTTTTTGTTCTACAATTAAATACAAATACATTCATACACAAACACACAGTCAACACACACTTATAGACACAGTTTATGTTATTTTGTATGGAAAAGTATACAAAGAATGTCACCTAATAGTTTAGAGACAATGAAAGGAGATACTATTAACAAATTAGTAAAAGAAAAGCAAAGGAAACCATTAAAACATTGAGAAAACCCTAAATATTAAGATACAAAGAACAAATACACACACTCACAAAAAAAAAAAAGAAAAGAACCGCATACTTACATAAATTAATTATAAATTAATATAAACTTGCTCATTATTCTAATTATAAACCGAAACTTCTAAGTAAATGGTAATACTTAAATAATGCAATTAAAACCAAATTAAGAATAATACAACAAGAAACAGGAAGAAGAACAACTAATAATATTATAAATACATAATATGGACATGAGAACAGAACAGAAGAACAGAGGAAAGAAAAACAAAAGAAACAGAATGAAAAAATTAAATGAAAAAAGTATTACGAAATACTCAAAATTGTGTTTTAATTTCCAACATGGAGATGGGATTATCAAAGGACATTCTATTATGATTCAAATGCTCGATCATAAATGTTTCTTATTTGATATTATAACACCAAATGTACTAGCATTAATTAATGGATGAAAATCCTTTATGACCTAGCCAATAAATCACGATACGGAAAGGTGTTCGCCTACACGCCTCTATCAGGCGGTGAGCCATTCTCGTGCACCATCGTGGGGCGTGATTTTCCATATCGTTTATCGTTAGAACTCTCGGGGCTCTTCATCGGCAATCAGTAATCGGCACAGAAATTAATTAAACGGCCATCACAGAGAAGTGTTCGGCCGGTCTCCGCACATTCGAAATAACGATCGCCATGATTGATTAGCCCAATGCGATCCGTGTTGAGGCGAAGAACAGAATGTAAACACGCTCACACACTGGGCAATGGGTAATGGGGAATCGGCAGTTGGCACTTGAACTTGCTCCTAACAGTGCCAGATAAGATATAGCGGCACGCGTGCAATTGGATGGCTGTGTCATCGGGCATACATAATTCGGATTGATTCCAGATTTGGGTAGGAGCTTTCCTAATGAGATAATCTCTCTACTTGGGATATACTCATATATATAGGTATATGTATGTTTGTATGTATGTACTTTTTGTTATTCTAAACATATGGACTGCATCGCAAGATTAGATTCCACCAATCAACTTAGCTTGGATTTTTCCTATAATTTTAAATATTCTTTCGAATGGTATCAACGTTTTTGGTGTACAACAAGGTTATGACAAGGCTACACGTGCCTCTAATTTGTGTTCATTCCTTTTTGTTTTGCATTAATTGTTTAGTTTGCTTTCGACTTCTGCACACACAATTGTGTTGGTGTTTTAATCGTTTGCGAATCTTGGGGTGCCTACTCATTGGGCAACTGACAATTCCGTCAATTTTAGACTTTGTTTAACCATCGAAACATGTGAATCACTCAGACCCTAACATTCGAGGTGTGGTGTATTCGATTAAGTCTAGAACAAAATCTGGACTACAAAGGTCAAGTGCCGTGAATTATCGTTGGGAACATTGAACTGTCCTGTTATTGAATGTCCTCGATGAAGAGATAATAATCACATGATAGAATAATCTTCCGGTATCCCAACATATTACGAGAACATCTGAGATATTCGTATTTGAAAATCAAATCAAGCGAATTGAGCGATCAATTTTAGCAATTAGCATCTCCATGGCACCACTTATCCATGGCATGTGGCTCCCAGTCGTCGCAAAAGCCGTCACTGTCCACACCAGCCATCAAATTGTGGTAAGAGGAAAAAATGCGTAGCATATGTGCTAAATATAGACAGATCCCTTCCCGGTGATAATGAAGAGGTTTTATTTTTAGCATATGCAAAAAAAAAAACGAGGAAAATAATTAAATAGAGAAGCAAAGGTAAACAATGTATGCCGACGGTCACGTCACCGTTTAGCGTTCGAAGAGATTTCTTCATCATCTGGGACGACTGGCGCTGGCCCCCCTCGAAATTCTGGCAGACACGAGCTGCATGCGTGTTCCTCGACAACTCGAGTTAATTGCTCTTTAGTGCAGCCAGATGATTGAGGGAATTGAGCGGAATACGATTCGATAAATTTGTATTTGGGCTCTGGTCTCGAAATGGTTCACACGTTCGGCACATGACTCGTAAGTGATGGACTTTGGTCTCGAGAAAATCTAAATATACCTCCCCTCTCGCATCTCAATTTCAAAATCATCGATGTGTTGTCTAGCCTGACTGTCTGCTCTTCTGGCTGGGGCTGCGGCTGCGACTGCCAGTGCGACTGCAGTGGGTCCAGAGTCCAAGTTGTCAATTCTGCCCATCATCATCACCAACCAGCTTGTTTAATATCGATCATGGTTCGCCCTTACTACTCTTCATTTCAATTGTTTTATATTTACAAAATTCATGGAAAGTTTCCCCAGTGAACTGATTAAAGAGCCTCGCTTCGACTGAGTTTTTAATTAATTTCAAACACCACGAACACCACATTTTTTGTTGCTGCTTTAATTACGGGTATCTTTTGCGCCCGGGCCAGGATTCACGCTGGGCCCACATGACTGTCGACCACAATTGGGACAGCACCTGTACGGCTAAAAGACCAAAAAATCCACCGCCTAGTCAAGCAGATGATTCAGCCAATTTGATTGATTTTGCGATGCGTGTGTATCTTTTTAGCGCTCTTTGATCGCTATGATTAAGCGATATGTTGTGAAATAAAATGTGTGAAAATTGCTTGGACATTAGTCTCTCCAGGGCTGGAAGCGGAGTGGAATGGTTACACAAATGTCACATTTTTGACTAAATAGAATAAAACAACTGCTGGCTTAGTTGCCCAGGGCTGTCTTCAATGCCTTGAGCTAAAGTGATGTTCAATCGGTTATTCTATGATATTTCTCTATATATAAAAATATCCTTAATTGTGTAAGTGATATTTTGAAAAGATTGCTATAAAGACTGAACTTATTATGTCTCAGAAAATAAAACGAAAATATAGCGATTTATAGCCATTAATTGAGTTCTGCGAAGACTTGCTTTTGATTAATGTGCGCTCCAATTATTATTCTTTTTAGAAATTAAATTTCTTTGTTTTGCGTTTAATTATAAAATCGAAAGTCGTGGGTGTTATCAATGGTTATCAGAAAGTATATATGTTGTAGATGTAGATGTGTGCTTATTATGTCTGGCTACTTTCCGGTTGTCAACAAGAAATCCTCTGTAATCAGAAGTCGTTGTGCTGGCAGCCTTCAATCTAACCTATCAACCCAAAAATTACTGCGGTAAAAATAAATTCAGTTTGTTTACAGAACTCTATTTTCATCTCATTATTTTCAACTCGGACCTTAGGGAATGTGCCCCAATGTTTCACATAATACATTTTATAATCGGCAAGGGTTAGTGGGTGTACTATTTTAAGCTATTTTTACTCTTGGTTGGGGTATATTGTATATGTCCAGATGTTTGCAACGTACATACTCGTACGGAAACATTTCCAAGTCAATTTGCAATATACATATGTTTTGCGAATATGTTCTTGATCAGCATCAATGGCATAGTCTAGAGTCTATACGAGCAAGGTTCTTTCAGTATTCATCACTATTATAAATAAAGTAAGTATACGTGTAAAGATTTTACTGATTGTCCGCTAGTACTCCTGATTGGCTAATCATAGCTCTCCTGTATCCAATATTATTGTGCATCCATTTAATATCCCGCCTAAGAAAGATGTTTAATGAATTAACGAAAAACATGGAAGCTACAAGAGATATTTTAGAACCGAAACTTGTTGGGTAAAGGGAAATTATATTACCCTTTTCTAAGTTAGTACAAAAATATTAATATTTGGAAATATTTGGGGATCTAAATGGGATGTACATGAAATAATCTCTTCCCACAAACACGGCCATGATAAGCCGAGCTTTATGGGACGTGTTTTGTAGCACACGCGCCACAGTTATACGCTGGGAACAATAAAGTATTTGTTTCTGCGTGTAGTAGTTCAGGACGTAGTAGTATTACGCCCGCTGCAATAGGAGGTAATTGCCGATTACTAGAAATATTCCATCACATTGTAGTTGAGGTGAATGCTTTAATGTATCAAGGCAAGCAAAAAATGAGATAGATCTAATCAGTCAATTGGCATGTGGTCTGAAACTAAAACTGAAATACGATGAAACGTATCAAAGTCAAAATTGAATTGACGAGCATAATCTACATGATATTTGTAGGCCCATAGGCATGCCCCACGGACGTGAAAACTCTATAATTATTTGTTCATCCACGCTAAACGATGGTAATAACAAACGAAACGAAGCGGAACAAATTCGAAAAACAAGAAACCTCAAGAACGTCATAAACGCGAGCCATAAATTGGCCCGAATGAATCGATCAGAGCGCACCGAACGAAAACGAAACCTATCAGGGGAAAGCGATGGGAACTTCATAAAAGAAATGCCCGCTATCAAACACTTGCTGGCCAGCGTGAGCTTTGGACTGTTTCGAACAGCGCAGCAGAATAGCCCCAACATTGGACTCCCAGTCCAGGCGATGACTACGACCAGACGACGCGCGACGTCAGCTCACGTTTTGAGTGAGGTGTGGGTGCTCGAGGCAGGAGGCGACCGACAACAAGCGGAACGATCGCCCCAACGAAGCCCCAACCGGATTTCGGATTGCTGTCACGAAGTCATCAAGAGAGGGGCCAGTCTCGCCTTATCACATCACGGCTCTCTCTCTCTCTCGCTGGCTCGCGCTCTCCGGCTTGATGGAAGCCACGCCGAATAAAAAAAATTGCGCATCACTTAACACATCCCAACCACAGCAGAGCATGCCCATTCCATACCATAACATACAATACCATACCATCCAACCAGACCAGGGCAGCCTTTACGGTTGCTGCCGGCCATCGTCAAATTATTCACACGCAGACGTTCTGAACGATCGGACCAAAAGAAAGCAATATTAATATACAAGAAACAAGAGGAAATAAATTTGGAGACTATACAAATACAAATCAAGAGGCACGATTTTTTCTGTGCCATCTGTGAATTCCTACGCAAAAAAACACTTTCTTGTGAAAAAGGAAAATCATTTGTTTTTGTTTAATGACAGAACTTCTTGTCACTCCCAAGGGTTCAAGTTCAAATGGTGAAATAATAGCAATGATTTTTCTGTGCTGGTGAATTGCAAACAAAATTGTTAACAAATAAAGAACTATTCAAGGACATTCAGGAAGGATCCGAAAAGAAAACACTGATCTAAGTTAAAAAAAAGTGTATTAAATATTAATTAGGTGAGTTACATAATAGAATGGAGCGTATTGGGATACTTGGTTGACAACTTAAAGATACGAGTGAATTAAAGAAAATTATAAGTGAAAAAAGTGAATCTCAAAAGATAATACTAATCATATGTAATCATGTGGATGAATGGTTAATTTAAAATATAAATTAAAATTCAGAAATCACCAACTCATGGAAACTTCTAGCTAATTATCATTTCATGGGCTGATTAAAAATAATCAAGCTTTTAAGCGTTCCATTGATCAGAGGCCTATCACTTGATTAGTTAGCACTTTAGCACTTATGCATATCGTTTTGGGAGCCTACCATTTTTTGGTAACAGAAGCCATTCGGAACCTAACCTCCAAAAGCTTTCAGGCAACGTGTGCAAAATTTGGGAAAAGCTTTTGGGCTGAATCGGCTGAATTCGGAATCCTTGAATTATTTTGCCTTGTACTTTTTTTTGGTATTAGTAGAGATCCGAGAAGCCTGCATTTCTGATGAGTGTAGGGGAAAAAAGTATTAAGAGAGATTTATTTCTGCTGCTGGTGGCAATCGGGGCAATCTCCGAGAACGGTTCCAAAGTTCACAACGAGGCATGCTCCAAAGAGCTGATCATCGTAGGCAGCGTGAAAACACACACTCGTGCAAGAGCAGATCGCAGAAGCGAAAGATTTATTGCCAAAATCCGAACGCTGAGCCATTTTTTCGCAGTGCATTCAACTGTCGGAGAAGAAATGCAAGTGATAATGCCAGGCAATTGCGATTACGATAGCCCCAGCTGCTGCCCCGTAATTAATGCGAAGATGATACGGCCGAGCGTGGCATGGAAAACCCCCAAGAAGAGAGTCGTCAAGCTGTACTTTGCACCGCAAAGCGAACCATCCGAACGCCTCCGAGCTGAACTCAACTCAACCCAACTCCAGTTTGCAGCGGCTTGGCTACGCAACGGAACGGACAGCTGCTGCTGGAGAGAGTGTCTGGTGTGGCCTCTAGTAGCTTCAACTTAAGTCACGCAGCGCCAGCGTGTTCGATGACGTATAACAGCCTCGATCGAGACAGTCCCCGCCCGTCAGCGCTATGTGACCTTCTTCAATTAGGCCCTGCGCCCTTCGTCTCCTCCTTTGGAGCTCCGATCGGGCGGCAAACTAAAGTCGCACGCCGTTGATTGATTTGTGGGCCTGATAAGTCGGTCAATCGTTACATTTCGTCAAGCGTCAGGCTGAAATTACGTCAAAAATGGGCCGCATGTCGCGTGTTTGTCGCCAGGCCCTACTTCCTGATCCCCCCTGGTGCCATGATCGACGTCACTTGTGGAACGTGGCAGTCTAAGTTGATTACCCGTGGAAAAATATTTGATGATATGATAGAGTATGACCTATGCTAAAGGGAAGGACGTAATCGAAGCAGGGTAGGAAGTAAATAAGTGGGGTAAATCCAAGTGGCTCATGTGAGCTCTCTTATATAACAGTCTAATATTGTTACATAATATTTTCACCAAGCAAGCACTCAAGACATCGAATTTGGCTACGAGTATACTTCTCACTGGTTTTTAATCATGCATTTCCCATACAATTTTCCCGGAATTATAATATTTTTCCCCTACTCATTTCAACGATCTAATTGACAATCTTCAATATGAGTATCAGAAAACCCCAGTTCGTGACGAGCGCTGACAGATTAGGCACGTGTTCCACTGAGAAATTTAAATGAATTTAAACGTATAACTCGTGATTTTCTTGGCATTCATATGTCTATACATACGCGTATATAGATGTATATACATATACTATGCACAGTTTTCTTGACCTTTACCGACTGTTCCACATTTAACAGAGAAGAGAACAAAAGAAATGCTGGCTGATGAAATTCCCATACGAAAATAAATACACCGCAGGCAAAATGCTCGCTTTCCAAACAAACTACTTTCATTTGAATTGGAAATATGTAAATTAAAAAAAAGCGACTCGTGCCGAACGCCGGATGTCACATACCAGCTTAATCATTACGAATGTGAATGATTTGTTAATCGCCAGCATCGATTACCTAAATACGATTAAACGGGCTATAAATCACACAATAATCGGCGTTAATTGGTGGCCATTTGGTGATGATTTGTGCCATACTTCATGTACTCGCACTCGTATGTAGATCGGCGGCCCCTTCGCAGTAGCAGTAGCACCATAAAACATTTTGTAGTGACCAGAGCTACGTTCCCCGTGACAAAGGGACGGAGGGACGGAGAGGGCTTATCAGCACCGTCTCACCATTAATTGATTGACACACAATCGAGTCGGATCATCAAAGTCAAGCTTGATTGTGCCTTGGGGTAATTAGCATGAATGAGTTTCTCGGGTAGATCATAGAATTAAATTCAAGTGGCCATAATATCCCCTCTAGCGGGCAAAAAATTGCCAAAATCGCAGTGCTATTGCCACTGCATAGGGGGCGTGGCGATGACAGGTGGGCAGAGTATAAAAATACCACTGCAAGCAAGAAATTATGCAGTTTTGTTCACCGACTTCTTTCAAAGCTGATGCAATGGGCCCCACACTTTGCATATGCAATTGTCTTCGGCGAGCGCCATGAGACCATGGTCTCGTCTGGCTCTGGTGGTGTCTGGGGGGAAGTCAAGACGCAGCTATGAGCACGATCGGGTGCCGGCCGCTCTGCTCGGCTCCGTTCGATTCGATTCGAGCGAATGAAATTCGTTTCTCGCTCTCCCTCTCACGGAACGATCAATCAGAGGCGTTCGTCACATAAATTGTTCTACTAATCAGCCAACGGCTTCATTCATTCACAACTCGTTTGCGCTGTCGCATGTCAAACGGAACAGTTTGAAAATTATACGTACTCTTATGTGCATTCAATAGTAAAAACGCGGCCCAAAACCGAATAAGCAAAGAGAATCTTACGTTTCGTGTCCGGGTTCAAGCGAGCAGACCCCCCTAGATCGAGCGCCTGCCGAGTCATCAAAATACCCATCAAGTGAAGTGCGAGCCCGGTACGTGTGTGGTCGTGGTCCCATTCCCGGTTCCGATCCCTAATTGCCACCTAATTACACCTGCTTATCAGCAACTCTAGATACTAGTATACGACAAGCATTTCAAGCGAATCCTAGCCCGGCCCGATTAACATTTAACATTTCCGTTGTGCGCAATTACACCCAGCACTTTTGGTTCGCCACAAGCCTGAAACCAGTGATAACGTCAATTAAATTTTTCACATTCAAAAACGAAACTAAATCTTCTGCCAATTAAAACACAAAATCTCACAAAATTGCACTTTGCCGCGTTTCCAATTCCATTTAACAGTTGGATTGGATTGGATTGCTGACTTAAAGTGATGCAATTTTGCAAAAAAATTAAATCAGATTTTTTTTCGTTGAACTCTGGACACTAGATGTTGGCATATCAAATTGGAAAATATGTGGGGTAGCTGGCTCGAAACTTCCAATGAAATGTGATCTATGTAGGGCAATGGAAGTACAAATTTGACCCATTTTTCGGGGGCTATTCTATTGTTGGTCAGCGTTGGTAAATCCTATCATTCGCTATAGTATATTTATTTAAGGGCCAGGATGACAAAGGAAGCTAAATATTCTTAAACAAACATAATCAAGATTCATTTCCAAACGTAAACTTATTTTTCTTCGCTCTCTACCTACTTCCAGCTCGCCAAGTCAATTGGAAATCTGTGACAACTATTCATAATGCATTCACCAAGCGTATAAGTCGTGTAACAAAAGTTAATAAGCCCCATTAAGTATCTAAAGTGATTCAAGAAGGCAGCAAAACGGCAAAAATTAGTGAATTCAGCTGCAGTTCTATGAATTTTGTAAGCCAGAAAACATCACCCATTGAGTTTTTAATGCTGCCAAAGAGATAGCAATAGATAGAACCCCAAAACGAGAGCCAGAATTGCACGAGAAAGCAACCCGTTCAGAATACAAGCCAATACAAGCCATTTTGAAGTTCCTCCCTCCAGTGCACGACGATAAAGAGAGAAAACACTAAATATGGCCAAATATTTCATTACCTTGGTGCTGCTGTTGTGCCTGGCCCTGGAAAACAATAATATCTACAATCGCCTGCACGCCCGGTCTCATCCCAGCTCCCGCGGCGACATCCTGCGCCCGCATCCAAAGCACCAGCCCCACCAGCATGTCCAGCACACTTCGCAGCAGCTGCAGCAACTGCAGCAGCACCACATCCGACAACAGCGATCCAGGGAACTGAAGCACGTGGAACAGGATCCCACCAGCGAGGAGGAAGATGCGAAGAGGCAGTACTACACGAGACTGAGGAGGCATCAGCTCCATCAGCGCGACCATTTCCTGCAGCAGGAGAGGAGCTACAACCACCCAGCGCTGACGGAGCTGAAGAGCATGCCCATGGCTCGACTGTGGCAGCACCTGAGCAAGGGCTACGGGAAGGAGGCCCACTTGCAGCCCGCTATCGTGGATGATGGCCTGCTGGACTATTCGAACATGTTCGGCGATGATTCATTTACGGCGACCACTGCTCAAGTCTCTGAAGAGGATTCGAACCTGAGTCCCTTGCTCTATGTGAGGAATGAACTTCTGGATCAAGAGGTGGAGTTGATGTCAAGCATCAAGCAGACGCAGACGGAGCTGGAAAAGAGCCTGCAGCCAGAGCCAGCACCTGTAGTAGTGGCTGAAGCTGAGCCTGAACCGGAGCCAGAGACAGAGCCATCTGTGCCCTCACACAATGCAACCATCTCGACAAAGTCCTCCGGAGGCTGTCCCAAGTGCGAGAGCAATCGTCAGGTGGAGCACATTACAGAAGAGGAGCTCACACATCTGCGCATCGAGTTTGTCAAGCAGCAGATCCTGGAGAAACTGCGCCTCAAAGAGAGTCCAAACGTCTCCGCCGTGGAGCTGCCGAAGCCCATATTTGAGGGTGTGACGCTCACCCATCCAGATGATAGCAGCAAAAACAAGGAGCTCGACGATTACTATGCCCGCACTAGCAAGAAGTTCATACTGCTCAATAGAGGTGAGTACCATCGCAGAGACTAGCAGCTCAGCCAACAGAAACTAATCAATGTGCTTCCGATCTTAATCTTTCCAGAGGAGACCGAGTGCAATCGCCTGGGCGTGCATCCCTCAATGTGCTTCAGCTTCAAGATAGATGACGCCGATGCCGACGGTTTCGATGTTAGCACCGCTGTGCTGTGGCTCTTCAAGAATAAGCAGAACCACACCAGCGACCCCATCGATAATCCGCTGGTGAACAACACTAGGAAGCAGCAGACGATTGTGGTTTCAGAGGTGGAGGAGCAGATGGACTCCAAGTATTTGCCGCTGGCCAAAGCCATAGCCATTCAGTCGGTGGATGTCCAAGGTAAGCTAATCATTAACAAATCCCCAGAGGAACTACAAAAAAAAAAATAAGCGAAAAATTCAGAGCAGCTTATCCGCAAAGGCACGTTCAGACCTTTGGCCAGCAGAGAAACCAAAAGTGACCCCCAATACCCCTAGGAAAGAAATCAAAAACAGTGACATGCTCTATATGCTATACAGAAATTATAATAAGTTTAATTGTTAATAATTTCTGGCAGATAAGTAGCAACGTTGACAACCGCTGCTCCTCCATCATCATCATCATCATCCTCATCCTCATCATCATGTTTGTGTTTTCAATTAGAGAGATCATTGCGCAGATTCGTGATAGGCAGCCACCAGCCACCAATTCGTGGATTGTGGGTGAATAACTTGACAAAATACATATGCACATACATGCATATTATTATTGTTGTTTTCGATATGTTGTGGGTGCAAAAACTGAACTTTGGCCGCTGAAAAGGCGAGCCCAGTAACCAAAATGGGACTTCCTTGGGTCAGTGGAGAGATAAGGGATAATATTCAGAACAGAATAACAAAAAAACATTTAAGTCAGTGTGAAAGATGAATGAGTGGAGTATAATGATCCATAAAACTCTTTAAGTAGACATTAATACATAATTCAAAGGACATCAACTAACTTTTATATCTCAAATTTTGTTATATCTCTTCAGATGAATGGATGAAGATCGACATCGAGTGGCCCATCAAGCGCTGGATTGGGAGTCACGAGCTGAGCCACCTGATCCAGATCACGTGCGAATCGTGCGATATCAGCGACATGGAGGAGATCATCTCGGTAGACAAGGACTATCGACCGTTTATAATGATCGACACCCAGAATCGGCGCAGCAAGTCGCGGCAAAAGCGTAGTATTAATTGCTCCAGCGGTGTGACGGAGTGCTGCCGCGAGCAGCTCTACATATCCTTCAAGGACATTGGCTGGAGCAACTGGATCCTGCAGCCGGAGGGCTATCACGCCTACTTCTGCCGCGGCTCCTGCAGCTCTCTGGCGAGCGTCACCCAGGCTGCCTCCCACCACAGTTCATTGTTGGTAGGTTCATTAAAGACTAAACAAGAGATACTGTGATGCTGATCGATACGAAAATTCTCTTTGTTTCTACAGAAAATCCTGAACACAAATGGTACAAACAAATCCCTGGAGCTGGTGCCCTGCTGCACCGCCAAACAGTATTCCTCGCTGCAGCTGGTTGTGATGGACTCGAGCAATACGGCCACTCTGAAGACTCTGCCGAATATGGTGGTGGAGTCATGCGGCTGCAGATAGTCGCCCCCATGCACCATGCACCATGCTCCAGGCTATGCTGGCATCCAGCTAGCAATCAAACAAGTTACATATCGGACAAATTAGATATTACTCTCGCTCCATTTCCACTCAGTTAGCAGTTGGCGCTCAACTCCATTTCTCTTCAATTAATTTAAACTCATTTTCAATGCATTTTCATTAGCGTTAACCAATTAAATAGTAGTTATTAGCAATAGTGCCCATACTGCCATTAGTTTTAGTCGCAGCTAGGTCTTTAAAGATATTGTATAGTAACTAAAGCTCGAGTCAATGTACTTAAGCTCTCGAAGTATGGCGAACTCTATTTTAGTTTAGTTAGGAAATGGCTCCAATAAATTACAAGACATAATTAAGTTCGTGCTTATTTTAATAGTCGTTTAAGATTAGTTTTTAGTGATTGCGAGAAAACACATCAAGAAAAGTGGAAAAATAAAACATTTTGAAAAATAACAGAAGCAAATTGTTTTACATTTTCAATGGTCCAGAAGTATAAGTATAACATGCGAATATAATCGTACAAAGAGAGCATAATTTATGTAGATCTCTTGAGATCTTGCATTTAACGAGTCAATTATTTTGACGACTCTGGAACTTCGCAGCTTAAAATTGTTTCTCAGATTTAATTACAAGAAAAATTTAATATAACTTTTGTTTACTCTGTATGTTAATGATGCTCCTAAGAGGTGGGATTCACAATATGTACACGCCGTCTCTTCAGTAAGTCGATTGGGACTACAACCTATTATAATAATTATACTCGTAACTCAAAAAGCATAGGGAAGTAAGTGATCCCATAAAGTATATTTATTCGTCTCCAGAGACTATAAGAGCCAGAGGCATTGCGCTTTTTTTGCAGACTCCTGCGATATCAAACTCAATTACACGCGTGCCACGACTCTCAACGTTAAGATTGGTTTGTTACTAGAATTCGAATTCTTGAAGAATTTAAATGACTATGGATAAATCTAATTATAATATCATTGTTTCATATTTCATTGAACAAAAATACTTACAAAATTCCAGAAAAGTGTATAAAATTTTAATCCTCAAAAAAAAATAAAAATTTTTAAATCATGTCCCTTTCTTCGAAAAGCATCCTGCGCGAGGGTTCAACCCAATTGAGCCATATCTGCGAGCTGGATCTGAACACTCAAGCCTCTCACAGTCGGCTAATATCGCTTATAGCGACCATTTCCCATAGTTCTCGTGATCCGGATATAATATACAACATGCTGATGAAGGGTGTGAGCATATTCCGAATGAACTTTGCCCACGAATCGCACGAAGCGCACACCCAGACCATTGAGCTGGTCAATGACGCCCTGGAACGGATAAAAAAAGAAACGGGTCAGGTCAGAACGGCTGCGTTTGCAGTGGACACTCGTGGTCCGCAGATCCGGACGGGCATTCTGGATATGGGCACGGAAATGCTGATGCGCCAGGGGGATAATATACGCCTCTCGATAAACCGGGATCTGTATGACAAGGGAAACAAGGATGCGATCTATGTGGACTACCCGAACATCATTAACCTCACCAAACCCGGAGATCGTGTGTTCATCGATGATGGCAAGCTGTTTCTCATTATTCGCGAAGTGGGTGTGGACGGGCTCGTTTGCGAGGTGATTCAAGGCGGGATGCTGGGCAACAACTGCAACGTTATCCTTCCAGAGATCGAAATAGACCTGCCAGCCGTATCTGAAAAGGATATGTATGACATACAGTTCAGCATGCAGGCCAATGTCGACTTTCTTTTTGCCTCGGCCGTGCGAAGTGCCAAGAATCTAAAGGAGCTGCGTGCCGTCCTGGGGGAGAAGGGAAAACACATTAAGATAATTGCCAAGATAGACAGCAAAATCGCTCTCAGTCGTTTCTCCGAGATAGTTCGTGGAGCGGACGGGGTTCTCCTGTCGCGAGCCGATCTGGGGACCCAGATACCCATCGAGAAGCTATTCATCACCCAGAAGAGTATCCTGAGCCAATGTAATAAGATGGGCAAGCCCTGCATTCTGGCCTCACACGTGCTGGAGTCGATGCGTGTCAATCCGTATCCTACCCGAGCCGAATGCTTCGATCTGGCCAATGCAGTCATCGACGGTGCGGACTGCATCATGCTGTCCTCCGAGGTGGCAATCGGACCCTATCCCAACGAGACCATATCAATGTGCGATGAGATTTGCCGCGAGGCCGAGAAGGTTCTTTGGTATCGTAACTTGTTTGCCGATCTGGTCAGCGAGGTGCGTGGCGAGCTGGACGCTGCCCATTCGCTGGCCATTGCCGCGGTGGAAACGGCTAAGCGCACCAATGCCACACTCATCATTGTTCTGACCACGTCCGGAAGGTCTGCGGCTCTGGTTAGCAAGTTTCGGCCCCGCTGCCCCATTATGGCGGTGACGCGCTGCGAACGATCTGCCCGCTGGGTGTATCTCCATCGGGGTGTCCTTCCGGTCCTGTATACGGCCGAGCCAGGCAGTGAGTATGCCGCGGACGTGGATGAGCGGGTCACGTTCGCCCTGACCTGCGCCAAAAAGGGGGAGATGATCAATGATGGCGACCCCATCGTGATTGTCAGTGCCTGGAAGAACGGCGGTGGCTTCACCAACAACGTGCGGGTTGTCTACGCATTCTTTGAGGCCGACCGCGTCGACTGTCTCTTCAGAGCTGACCGTCGCGCCTCCCGAAAGAACACAGCCCTACAGGCAGAAAGTGCCCAAGAAGGTAAGTAATTAATTATTAATCATTGGCAAAATACAAAATTGTTCTCACGGAGGCTCTCTTTTCAGAAAAGAAAGTTGTCTACATGTGAACACTCCTTATGGAAAAACTATTATTTACCTCTATAAAATATATGAGAATTTCTACTACGTAGAACTTGTAGTTATCAATTGTTGGTTAGACGAGTTCTTAATATTCTTAACTTGCTATTGCTTTCGTTTATTTCTAGTGAGTTCTTCTATTTTGTATCCACAGAAAAGGATAGAATATTTACAAGAAGATTGTATTCAATATAGCCTCTAGGGATGCTCTTACTTAATGTAATCTTTAGTTGGAAGCATTCTTTCACAGCTAATCATACGAGTATAAACTCGTATACCCTTAAGTAATACATACCTACCCGACACGATTGTGTAATCTAAAATGAATCCAAAAACTACTTCAACTTTGGTATGTACTTTAGCAGTAACAGAGAGTGCAAAGCATTTCTGAACAGCTCGTAGGCCAAGAAGGCGAAACGTCCATTTTGCTTGGGCGTGGCCCAGCGCATTCCGAAATTGAACAGCTCCAGGACAACCAGGACAATGCAGCGTCGCCAAACTGATGCATTTTTTGTGTCCCTAGATAGGATGATTGCCATCAGGAGATTATAGAAAGTTATGCCATTGACCTACAGTTCGGAGAGGGGCGATGCCAGAGCCATGCCCATGAGAATTCCCAGGTCGCGTACCAGATAGAAAATGGGACTTGCCTCGTGTCGCATGTATGAAGGATCCGGGCACCACTTGAAGGCCTGCAATAGAAAGCCAATATAAACGAACAGACGGATTCAAAAACCATTGCTTTTATACGAATCAGTGTCGTATCCTCTCGCACCTCTCGCACAGACCAATGCGGATCGACGTCCAGGCTAAGCTTCACGAAATACACTGCGGCGGAAAGGCCACCCAGCAGGAAAACTCCAGTCACTGCCCAGCGACGACTCCTCGACCACAAATAGTCAGCATTTTGGTTCAGGGCGTCCATAGCCTGCATGCCAATGAAAGTGCCCAGGACACATTGGTGCAGAAACTCCGTGGCCAAGTACAGGCGGCTTAGCCACATGCAGAAAATCAAGCCGGGGACCACTGTACCTTTGAGCCACCGCTGGCGGGATTGAGCGTAGAGGAACATCCAGATGGTAAGAGTGAACACGGTGAAGGACATGGAATGGGCACAGGGCATGCCGGCAGTCGTTTCGCAGCTTAGCGGATGGCTCTCCAGGGCGACGACGGGGCTGGGGTAGCGCACACTGCTCGCATACATCTCTCGGAGCAGCCACAAAGGACGCTGCTCGGGAAGTATCCTGTGGGAGACGAGAGCAGAGTCAGCCTTGCTTAGAGGAGTAAGGGCAAGAGGGGCGTACCACTTGAAAAAGGAGTTCAGCGTGCTGGCCAGTCCGACCGCAAAGAGCAGCCGGGTGAGCAGAGCCTGGCTGTAGATGCCGCACATGGGAATTAGCAGATTGAAGAGGAATCCCGGCTCCAGATAAACGGTGAAGAAGCGCCACAGCGGATCGCCAAAGCTTAAACTGCAAATAAATTGAATTGAACTCGTAAAGACTCTGGAAGTGTAGCCCCACAGAGGATATCATATAAACAGACCGTTCCTGAACCAGTTCGTTAATGCGTAGCTCTGCCGTGACCACACGGTTGTACGTTTCCACAGCCAAATCTTTTAAGTTTCCATCCATTTTACACTGTTCTTGTTTATTTATCCTTTTTTTTTATCCTGCCTCAGTTTACCAGCACTAAGAATTTGCACCGAGAATTTGCGCCGAGAATATTTTACAGTGTTGAAAAACGCGTCACGTTTGTTTCTGTTTTTCTCTTGCTAGCAGAGTACATACATACATACGCATATATTCGAATTTACTTGCATGTTTCGTTGTATGAACTGGCGGTGGCGGTATCGGTGAAACTATTGGAAGCTGAACCTGTTTCGCAAAAAAAACAGATTTTCGCCATCAACAAATTGTGATAATATTCTGATGATACGTATTAATTTTTTCTTTATGTCTTTCTTGAATTTAAAAAAAATAATACTGTTACTATCGGTACTATCGATGTTTTCGTATAAAATTTTGAGGCAACATCGATAGAGCCGCCCATGATGCAATTATATAAGGTGGTCCATGATGCAACTATATGAGGTGGTCTCAACGCAACATCGGTTCTAATTTTTTGATTGTTTAAGAATAAAACTAATTTAAGAACATTTTTAAGGGAATACCTTTAATTTCTTGCGCGCTTTCAAAGTCAGATAATTCAGTGCTTGGTGCTTTGAGTTGTAAAAAAGGTTTGGAAACATTGAACAACTTGCAGGTTGACTGTCAACTCGATCCTAAATATGTAAATATGGAACACCAGGTCATGATATGTAGATTTAGTGTTAATAAATGTTTTTATATAGTTATGTGCTGTTATTTCTGCCCAATGTGTTGTTCAAGTGTATTTTTAGCTGTATACTAACAAAGTCACGCGTGTTCTGTATAATTTAAATTTTGGGCCGTTTTGACCTTTTTTCGGGAAATATTACATTTTGCAAGTGTCATGCAGCGCTGCTTGTTTGGATCAAGCCAGTACTCAGATCGAAAAACTGTTTGCCAGCAAACGAATGTCATATATTCTTCGAGCAGCCAGTGTGTGACCAGAGGTGTGCACTGCATTCCGAACGGTTACTCTGCTCAGACAGCTGCTTGGTTTTGTTTAAAGTTAATAAAATGCACTTCTTCGGCTGGGGCCGCTCTTCCCCAGCCATATCCTGGGCTCCACAATATTTTATTGGCAAGGAAATGTGTCTGACTATCAGCAGCAGCAGATGGCGACGCCTCCCGTGCCGGACACCGTGAAGAAAAAATGTTTTGAAAACAATATATGTTTTATATTTATGAAAATTAATAAAAATAGTAAATTATAATATCCATATAATTTTTTTATTCATATAATACTGCATAAGCTAGATTCTATTTTTCTTCATTATTTAAATATTTCATTTGGTTTTTTGTTCTCTTAGAAAAGAAAACAGCCTAGAAAACAGTTTTTGCCGTAAAACATTTCTTATTGGTTTCATTCGAATATCAACCCTGATTCTGTTCGCGAGGTGTTTTTTTCGATCTGAGTACTAGGCTTCAACAACAAACGCGAAGCAGACGCTGTAAAATGTTATATTTTAGAAAATATTGGCCAAACGATTGCAATTTAAAGAAAGTGACCAATTTATTGTCTTTGTAAACAACCACTTATCGAAATGCAATCGCATGTTAAATTAAAATCAATCAATCAGTCAATCAAATATATTTTTTTATCTTTAAGCTTTTTTTTTATCATAATTAATGATTTAAATCAATTTTGTATAATTAATACGACATAAAGGTGTTTTTGTTAGTATGGGGGCGGAAGTAATTCGTGGTCCAATAGACAAAATTTTTTTCCGAAACTCTACTTTAGTCTAACGAACATTAGTGCAAATTTGTCTAGCTTTATTTTTAAAATAAATGCCAAAATTTGTTCCCATAGTGCATTGGTTTTTATACCCGTACTCGAAGAGTTCAGGGGTACATTAAATTTGTGCTAAAAGTGGATGTGTGTAACGCAGAGAAGGAAACGTTTCTGACCCCAAAAAAAATATATATATTCTTGATCAGCATCAATAGCCAAGGCGATATAGCAATATCTATTTTTCCGTCTTGTTTGACGCCTAGCTATCAGAGTCTATAAAAGTTAGAGCAACCAAATTTTGATTCCAGACTCATTTGATAGAACACTGAATCAGACTGACGAAAATCTGTAGCAACCACAATTTTTTGGATTCGAGAAAACAAAAAATGCAGTACCGTAGTGAATGACTGTATCTATCAGATTGCGGAATCTTGTACAGATCGGATCATTATTATTATTATACATAAATCATAAGCTCAAAAATGTATATACTGACTGAGTACGCGTATAAAAGTAGAGTCGCGTCCCCAGAAGCTCGTTCTCGTTTATTTTATTATTTTTTTCAGAGGTTGCGCTCCTTTTTTTCAGATAACTTAAGTACCGTACATCTGGTTATAAAGGACTTTGATAATTTAAAAAGCTGATAAATGCATCTATAAATTATACTGGACCACTAAATAGCTTCAGCTTACCGTCTGGAAAATATTATGCTTTCAAATGCAAAATTGATGAATTGATGATTAAAAAAAAATATCACTGAGCATGTTTAAAGCCCCAAATCTGCTACAAAAATTTTTCGGTTTGGTTCGAAGCGGAAATATGGTGTCGTGTAGTGTATTTATCAGCCCGTCCTCGTATAGGAAGAGAGTTCACAAAGCTAAGACTTCACTATTGATCAAAGGAAAAGAGATTTACACAATCCTTGTGATTCTGAGTGTAGACAATGTTCAACTTCAGTTAAGGAAAATATATTTGACATTAAGCTTATGAATGTTCTACCTGAGGATGAGTGGGTGGATGACAAAGTTCTTAAAGATCAAGAAAATTATTAAGACCTCGCAATAGTAATTTAGAACTAAAAACATAATAAGAGGCCAACTCCCGAAAAGATTGTAAATAAAAGCCGCTTTGCAAAGGCATACTGGACTCAGTGGAAAAGCTTGCACCTTAAAAACGGATTCCTTTACCGAGCATTAGAGAGCGTAAACGTATTTTAAAGATATTTAAAAGGCGCTTAAAACTATTTATAAGTGATTAGTACATATTGGCGGCAACAGTCCGTAAATGATTGGATCCGTCGATGCGACCGTGCCTTGCCAAAATAACCACGCACTAAAAATCACGGGAAAATGCGACAGTACATTTTAAGAGGACCGTTGGAGATTGCAATGGATGTGGTGGGTACATTCCCAGTCAGTGAAAGTAATTGACTATTTTGGGCATCGACAGTATCGAAAATGCTCATCAATAATTGGGTAGAAAGATTCGGCGTTCCAATGGAATTACATTCTGATCAGGGTCGTAGTTTTGAGTCTCACATATTCAAGGAAGCATGCGAGACATTAGGAATTCGAAAAACACGAAATCGTTTGATTCTTTGCAAAAATTTGCATAGTTTGGACATCCAAACACTCGATGAAGATGTCATATAATATCTCTCAAATGTTCATGATTTCAATCAGACGGTCATTGTGATGGAGTTTCTGCGTAATGCTACTCTTCCATGTATGCGGAAAGGATCTAAACGCATACTTCTATAGTCGAAAAATCCTGTTTTTCTTCGTAATCAGAATGCACAGTGCCTGGATGGATGCCATTGTTGCTGTAGCCATACTCATATGCAATTCTATCCTAAACTTTCGAGGACAAAGATTACCTGCACTCTGTGAAGAGCCGTACGCGGTATATTTGAAATGCGATGATGGAAAAGCAAAGCTGCTGATCTACACGGATGAGAGTGATTTATGCCTTTCAGGCTTCTTGCAGTATGTGACCATTTCGTTAAATCTGATGATAACTATAACTAACTATAAACATTATGATTTACTTCAAACAGCCCCTGTTGATCTAGCTATAAGAGCACAATGTGCGCCTTAGCTTCGCCACCCAACGACAATTCAATGCATTTCTATCATTCACCCACAAGAACGAGGAGCTCATTGAGGAGTTTCGTAGAGATTGGAGAATGAAGGCCATTGCCTCAGACTCTGCCTCTACCTGCGCGACTGGCTTGTGGGCGAGTCTAGTCCCGACTGAATCAGCCAATCTGTCAACTTCTTGAAGTTGACTTGAGGTCGACTGGAGTTTCGCCATTTCCTGAATAACGGTCACGGAAATATATGGCTTTCCGTTCAACAGCTCTTATGAAATGCCTAGATGTGTGCTTGTGTACAAGTGATACATTTTTCGATAGCAAAACACTCGCAGAATATTAAGTAACATTACATTATTCAATAATAATAATTTTAATTCAAATATCTTCCAGTGCCGGGAACGAGCTCACAAACTATCTGTTTACAAGCTATCATAACTGAAACTTTCGGTGCTACAAACTGAACGACATAGGTATGTGCAAAAAGTGTCCTGCCAGTATACAAAATTCCAAGGTATACAGGAAGGCAGTGTTCAAATGCGTAAAAAAATCGTGGGCTGCCGCATGAGAGCGGAGCGGTGGCTTTTAAGGGCTTGTGGCCTTTCATCGAAAATTTAAGAGAGCCTCGAGTAACTTGCATATGTTCCCCTAATATGTTCTCGTACCGAAAAAATATGGGCGTTACTCATCTTACTATCATGTGTCATTGGTATAGGTAACATAAATTATAACTTCACATACACACCGACTGAGCTGTAACAGATATAAAAGTATCTCAGAAAATTTCCTGCTCGTTTTGTGTGTTTTGTATTTTCAAATTAATTGTAATTTTTAATAAATAATGCGAACGGTTTACAAAAACTGATAACAAATCATATTTTCAATAAATACACCTATACACATACATACATACACATATCGCATAAGTAGAGGCCGCTTCGTTGTTCTTGTTGTTGCTATTTTTTCTGCTGTTGCTGCTGCTGCTGCTGCTGCTGTGGTTGCTGCAGTCATAATGAACTGCACTACAAAAATCTTGACTAAATTATGGTTTTACAAAGTAAACTATGATTAACAAATAGCGAGCACGTACAGTACTAAATTCGCCTAAATTAATGAATGAACCTTAAGAATAGAATTAGCTTTCGTTTAGAGAGAGGCGCTGGCAGGGCAGGTATGGTTGGTGAATGGATAGATGGATCACTGTAGCTGATGCTGATGCTGGCTCAACCAAAGTTCTCGAAATGGTGAATGAAATAGGGCAACTTTCGGGTCTTGTTCACCTCATCACAGGCAGACATAACGCTCTTCGTCAGCGGTCTAGGGCCGCAAGAGAACACTCCAATTTTGGAAACCTACAAAGTAGAATACAAAATAATAAGTTGGTGGCACGGCGGTAGAACGATGGAAAACCTACATAAGAATGCTTCTTTTGGACAAACTTCAGGAAGCTGGACATGTCCGGCCGACCGAAGTGATTGACCGCCTTGAGACCCGTGAATATGGACGTTTTGGACAGTCGCTGGAAGTGGTTCTCACAGATGTACTAAAGGAAAGAAATTGTTCTTGCATCAATTTAAACGAGCTAATTAGTTATACGCTTGGAGACCTACCAGCATTGTTGTTCTCAAATCGAATTTGTGGAAGAACTGGGTGATAAATATATGTATCTCGAGGACATTGGTCACATCCTTCTTTTCCACATCGCGCAGCACATCGATGAACCACTCGAAGTGCTTGTGCGAGGGGCAGATCCACAGGAAGTATACCTTCTTGCAGGCCACGCCCGAATATCGGTTGGTGCTCGTACCAAACACCAGATCGTTCAGGATCGAGGCATAAGGAGTGACTCCAATGCCACCGCCCACCATGACAGCCACCTCGAACTTGTACCAGTCCTGGTTGCCGCCCCCAAAGGGTCCCTCGATGCGTATCTTGGGCTGGTCCTCGGGATTGTAGTTGCAGGGATCGAAGTAGTTGCGCAGCTTCCACGTCCACGGGCCCTGGGCCTTGATGTGGCAGCTGAGACAGTTCTCGTGCGGGGCCGATGTCAGCGTAAAGCTGTGCATTTCCTGAGGACGGAACGCAGTGCAGGAGAGGCGCACCCACTGCCCGGACAAGTACTTCAGGTTGGGCGGCCGATAGAACTTTATTTTGATCACATCCGATGGCAGCAGATCCGTGTCTATCACATCCAGCGCCATGTACTTGGTGCGCAGCGAGACAATCTTGTCGAGGGTGTACACGATGCCCGGGCCCAGGAAGAACATCCAGAAGCGGGGTGGTCCCGTCAGACGAGCCAAGCCATGGACCAGACTAAGCAGATACAGTCCAATGTACAGCGTGTGCATGTTCCAGAAGAAGTTGTAGGCCTTCTTCCGAATCGTGGGGTGGGCAAACACAAAGATAATGCACATAATGATGAACAGCATCACTCCGGTGGTTCCTGTCACCGTCTGGAAGAGCCAAAAGGTGATATCCGGTTTGTAGTCCGAGGCAAAGTGCACCTCCCGCGTCAGGCAGCGCAGGTTATCGTGCGACTGCGTGGACACGTGGTAGAAGTTCACAATGTGCCCCACCGTGTGCAGCACGGAGAAGAACAGGGCCGTGCATGCGGCTATCTTGTGGAACTGTATGTGCGAGTCCAGCGGAATGTACTGCTGTATGGGGAACTCCTTCAGCTTGGTGATCAGGTTCCTGGACATGGTCAGCAGCAGCAGGGAGTAGCAGAAAGACAGCGAGGCCGCCGATCCCCTCGTGATGGCGATGCCCACGCCCATGATGTGCCTCAGGTCCGTGTGCTCGGCCATGAATGAATAGTGGATGAAGCGCTCCACAAACAGCACAATGGTGACCACGTAGAACAGGAACAAGTAGAAGATGTTCTGGCGGTTCTCCTCGAGGAACGTGATGTACGCATCCCACTTGGCCAGCACCCAGTGGCGGGGCTTGTCCTGCATCGGCTCGATGTTGAACGAGGTCATGCGAGCCACGTTCGTGGACGTGTCCAGAAAGTTCTGCTTGGCCCCCTTGCAGTCCAGTCCGATGGCCACAAAGTCACCCTTGTACTCCTTCATCATCAGCTTAAAGTCCTGGTAGGTGAGGTGGTTCTTGTGCTCCAGGCCCACGTCCTGGAACATGCCATCGATGAGCTCGGTGACCTGATCGTCGCCCAGACTGGTGGTTCTCGCAATCTCCACCAGGGAGCGCATCATCTCGCTCAGCTCGCCCTTGTCGATGACACCATTGCGGTCGTTGTCGCACATATCGAAAATGATGCGCAGCTTGTCGTCGGTCTTGCCGCGCGAGAAGAGCACCACTGTCTCGAGGAACTCCTGGAAGCTGATCCGCCCGTCCTGGTCCTTGTCCACAATGTTGAACATCTTGCGGACAAACATGTCGTTGGGCTTCATGCCCAGGGCGGCGGCAAACTCGGCCTTGGACAAACTGGTCCTCATTACGGTCATCACCTCGCCATCGCTGGAGGCGTCCGACCTCCGCCGTCGCTCGCCCGGCCGCAGGCCAAAGGTCAGGGCATACGCCTCGCGGAAGAAGTACTCAAGGCGCTTCTGTCGGCGCTCCCGGGTCTCGGCGCGGGCCAGCATTATGTCACGGTTAACCTCCATCAGGGTCAACTCCTTTTTGTGGAGCAGCAGGAAGTCCTCGAGCTTCTTCACGAACTTTCGCCGGGCGCCGTAGGACTCCAGCTCCAGCACCAGGTCGTGGTCACTGGGCACACGCAGCAGGATGTAGGGCTTCTTCTTGATGTGGTTCGTGGCTGATTCCTCCACGCTGACCACATCCACGTGCTTCAGGCTGAATGTGCGCAACTTCTCCCCCTTCCTGTCCACCGTATAGATGGCAGCCTCCGGGCCGAACTTGACGGTGACCAGCCGTTTGTGATTGGCGTGCAGCCACTCCCTGGCCAGCATCTTATCCACGGAACCCTTATGCTGGGGCGCCCTCAGCGCCTCCTGGCGTATCTTCAGCTTGCGCCGCTTGCTGTTCTGCAGCTTGACCACGCAGTAGCCGGCACCGGCGCACAGGATGGGCACGAATCCGAGGAACACGCACACGTAGATGAACATCAGCTCGGAGCCGGAGAAGTAGTCGTAGCCCTCCAGATAGGTGCAGGGCTCCAGCTCGGTGGCATTTAGCTGCATGGGTTGCGGGCAGGGATCTCCCGTGTGCCACATGAACACATCGCGCTGGATTTCGTCCACAGCTATGTCCGTGCTGTTCACTATAATGTCCCACAGGGTGATCTTCCGCAGCTCCTTAATCTCCTCCGGTGTAAAGACCCCGTTTCGCTCGTTCTCGAACCAAAAGCGATCGGCATCACGCAGCCGCAGGAACTGCTCCTTGATCACTGCGGCGAAGAACTCGCCCGGCTGCCCGTACGACTCCAGCATGCCACCCACATAGACATCGACATCGTCCAGCTTATTGCTGTAGGCCTCCTTGAGCATGCTGTGGATGGTAGAATGTCCAGAGATGAATATAAAACTCAATAACAAAACTCAGAGCCCACTCACTCCAACAGCTCCGGTTGCGCCTCAAATAACTGAGGATTGATGTCCGTCCAGGTCTTGTGCCTCTTCAATCCGTAGGACTCTCTGGCTGTGTTGTAGTCCGGCAGGCCATTGTCTCGACCCCTCATTATGTTCAGAGCTCCCAGATCGCGACGGGTAAACTCCATGGGGCCAAACAGTTTGTCTCGCACATCGGAGCACAGCACAGGATCCTCGCGCTCGGATATCTGCGAGGCCAGTCCCATGAGCACCTCCTCTACGCTGGTGTCGCTGAGGAAACCCTGCCAAATCGTTGATAAAACTCAAGACCTTGTCACTCGGGGAATATTGTGCAACTCACGCTGGAGTCCCACCACGTCGAGCAGAGGCGGATGGCCGGGTAGCCCATTGGAGTCTGCTTGAAGTTGCACTGCCCATCCCGTCTGTAGATGCCGGGTGGGATCATTGTGTGGCCAAAGCGAAAGGCAGCGGCCTGGAAGATGTGTCCGATGCCAGGATGAATATCCTGCTTGTACCCCTCGTAGGCTGGCAGGGCAGAGCCCAGAAAGGCGGGCAGGTACTCGTAGGCAATCACATTCTGAAGACTGGCGATGACCGTGTGCCTCGCCCGCTGATAGATGTCCTCATCGCTCCAGTCCGTATGCAGACGCTTGATGCGCTGTGCCAGGGTGTTGTGCCAGCGGAGGAAGAGGATGGCAAACGAGAGCAGAGCGGGATTCTGATTGGTTCGTGGATCCCCAAGAACTGTCGGGTGGGAGATGAAAGGATGGGGTTAAGCATTTATACAGGCTTTTAATCGAACAAATAATTGGTTACTCACGGAACAGCCTCTCCGGACTGAGCATTTTCATGACACTCGGCACCGGGTTGTTGAAGAGCGGCACTCTCATGGTGTTCCTCACCGGCAGCTTGCCATCCTTCTCGGTGAGGAGGGTGCCATTGTGGAAGGAGCGCATGGCATTGAGCCACGCCTCGGAGGTGCTGTAAATGAAACTGCCATCAATCCAAGCAGTCATTTGATTTATCTGCGGAGTAGGATTTATTGCGACATTTGTTCACATCAGTTGTGGGAGCAGCCCCCCACCCCCACCCACCTGTTCCCTGGGCGCGTTCGGGCTCTGTCCCGTCTCCCGATCGTAGGCGGCCCTGTGGAAGGGTATGTACTTGTCGCCCCGACACTCGCGATCGTACATCTCGTCGCATTTCTCGATCTCGATGCGGTGCATTTCGATCGGGCAGCCCGACTCCGAGGCCATCACAATCTCGTTCGCCACCACCTGGCCGAAGAAGGCTAGCAGCGCCGTTCGATTGAACTTGGAGCCCAACCCGTCACGTCCACGCATGAACAGGCGGCTAAGACGCCTCGTCGACGGACGATTGGCACCCGCCATGGCGTACACCCCGTCCGAGTAGGAGGGCGGCGCCTTTCGTACTAGATGACTATCTGAAAAGTGGGCAGAGTCAGTAGAGTCCACACAGAGATGTTGGCGAGGCTTAAAGGCATTGTAAGGCAGCACTCAGATGTGGTGACTATGCAAATTGTGGGGACGTGGATGCGGATTGGAAAGATCAAATCGATCGTGCCTGCTCTATGCTAATTATAATTATCCAATGATCTTATACTCGCATGTGTTTAACTGAATCAATTATAAGACCATTTGGTGGGGTTCGGGTGCTGGTTCGCCCTTTTTCGAAAGTTGCTGCCATCTGGCCGGCCATCTGACGGAAATTCCAGTCAACTTACCCACCGATCCCCAGTCGGGATGGGCTAGATTATTGTACCAGCCATCGTACCGCTGCTTTTCCGTCTGACTGTACATTTTCTCTGCAATGAAAATTTCAAAAAATTCATTTTAATGGCATAGATTATGGAAAGGAATAGATTTATACATTTTTAAGTTAAATCTGAACTATCATATGAGAAGCACATATGCAAAGGACAATTATATATATAGCCCTGATAGCCTACATATTTATTCTATCAGAAGACAAGCCCAAGAGTTAAATGTATTCGATAAGTATAATCTATGGTACATTTGTGTGTATCTTCAAGGTTTGTCAAACCTAGTGCAAAGTGTTCTATCTGACTTAAAACTATTTAAAGTTAATTTATCGAAACAAAAATGATCAGCGAAAAAACTGTTTTAGTTTTATGACCGATTGAAATAAAATTTCAAATAAGTTTTCAAAGTGTAATTCGGATATTTATATAAATATTAAAAGAACAGTAATAGTTATAGTTCGTACATCATAAAAATACACCACTTATATAATATATTACACTCTATCAATCAACGTTCAAAGCCACAAAACTAGCGATATTGACGAGGGAGTTTTTTCCGAGCATAGCGCCAAGATTTGTTTCTCGGTATTTCCACAGCGACAAGCCATTCACAAATCGCTAAGAGTATATCTCAGATCCCAGATTCCCACTCTGAGCAAGTGGAAAAATGTTATGCCCAAAGAAAACTAAACATACAAATAATACAGAGAAGAGGGTAATTATTAAGAAGGTTGGCTCCACTGGAATTCTTATTTCTGAAATTGAATGGTAATTAAACTATCCAAAATTAAAAACTATTAGGTAACTGCCCACAGAAAATATTTATTAAGTTGCAGTAATAGGACCTATTAAAAAAAATTTGGTTTTTAACTTGATGCCAAGAAATGCAACGCTAAAATTTACAGAGTAAAGGGTAATTCTGAAAAGTTGCTCACAATCTCTGTGGCCCACCTATAGCTGTCGCAATTTATTAGAATTTATTTGCATAATTTCGTAGAATTTTATGCGTGTAAATGACGCATTAATTTGCGCTAGTTAAGATCGTAGAATGCCTTAAATGTTCGCCAGACGTTAGATAAATAAATTACGCACTCGAGTACTCGTACGCATATGTGTGTGGACCCGGCCTAGTAGCCGGTTTTCCACATGGTCTAACCGATCCGATAAAATGTAGATTGTGATATTGAAAAATTGCATTTACTTGCCTTAGTTTGGTTTTAATTGACTGTAAAATTGATTGACTGGGGGTTGGGCGGCTTGAGATTGAGTCACACCCAATTGGTCTATCAAGTGGAATGGAAAAATATTTAGGACCCCCTCCCCCCACGATTTGCATATTTTTTAATTATTTTTTTTACCTGCAATCGGTTTTATAAAACGTTTAGCAATTTTTGGGAAATTGTCTACGCTTGATTTGTCATCATAAAAAATAATTGTTGGAAACTCGTTGCTTAATAATTGCTTAATGAGGCTTGCGTACCCCATGGAAATCAGTAGTTGATACGAGTATTAAGCTGATGTTTGCAATAATAGTTAAATCGATTATATTTACATGGAAATATGAAAAATATAAATGACAAATGGTATTGATAGTTACACATGTTCCAAGTTGTGCCTATTTTAAATACAAATGGGTTTAGGATTAGCCTAAAATGGAAGCTACATACAGATGTATGTACATCTAAGTTTACATCTAAGTTTGCCGTGGACACGTGCCTTCCTTTTTTAGACGAACTCAATTAATGAGTTCATTGCATGTATCACCGAAAAAGCGTAAAATAAGTGATGTAAATATAAATATAAATTATATAAAAAAGAAGGCACCTTTAAGTGATTAAAATCTGCAAGCTGTAATTCTTCTGACGCTAAACGCTAAACGTTATAATTATTGTTTATTTTCTTATAACATATGAGGGAAGGGCTAAGGGGGTCATTTTTACGTACGTAGAACCAGTTCTGGATTCCCAAGGCAATGGCCGCAGCAGACCCAAAATTATAAAATGCGCTAAGATAAACCTACAACAGGCGCTAAACCAGTTTTATTTTTATACTCGTATTTTCGTACTTACAAATTTATTTTTTACGGAATTTATTCCTTAAAACTATTCGCCAACGAGTACACGTAAATCATATCTAAAAGTCATGACGTTTGTAGTTGAAGAGACAGCAACAGCAGTACCGTCGAATCATGACTATATTTCTTGCCATTTTAGAGAGCAATGCTCGCTTCTGTCTGAACATTCTACATACAAGTCAGTGAATGGGTATGAGTGAGTAGAGTGATGGATAGATCAATGGGATGGATGGATGGCAACACCAACAAAGAAAATTAATATCAGAATCAGATCCGGTTAACCAAAAACGTTTCCAGCTGAGGAGACCTGAGACTGAGACTGGAGAGAGAGAGAGAGATGAAGCCTCAGCTGACTCTATATATATACACCTATGTATATTGACGTTGGCGTTGTATGGAATGTCGGCAACAAAAAGCTAACCAACACCTGCATGATGGAGAAGCTTCCACACCGAAGGCTGGATCTGGCGTTGGATCTGACGCTGGATCTGGCTCTAGCTCTTGGTACGTGCGGTGTTTTTTTATTTTATTTTTTTTGCTTTTTTAAACATGCACGACATCACGGTTTGGATTCCCCTAATCCGATTTTTGCTGCCGTAGCTTGTCGGCGTCATCAATTGTCTCATTGTAATTCTGCCTCTCTCTCTTTCTCTTTTTCTGTGTCTTTTTATTTCGTCAGTGATTTCACGTTCATTTTCTAAGTATTTCGATATCCCCGACAACAGTGGGGCCTTCCGCTTGCTAAGTTAATACCTTCTGAACGAGTGAAGATTTCGTAATGAAATAAACTGCATAGAAAGGAAAATCTTTTCAAATTTAATCTGCACGAGAACACGGTGCTAAAATGTCTAAAAGCTTTCGTTTTAGTTTTTTTTTATCGATAAAGTTAAAGATTAATTTATAAAACTTATTTAACATTTTTTAATTAAAACTGTTTTTCAACATTAAATTGCCTTTAAAAAAATATATCCCTGAATTGTAACGAGAGTTTTTTCGTTAAACCCAAAAAAAAGTATGGTTTGGAAAATAAGAATTCCTTTAGAACTGTCTATGGAACGGAACAGTTTTTTATTAAGACCAAAAACAGACTTATACGAGTACGTTACACAGTTTACTTCTTATTCTACTACTTCTACCTGAAAGATGCACTGTGTTAATAAAAGTTGAAAACCTTTTTGGAGTCTGATACAATTTTTAACTTTGAGTGCTCATATCTTCTATACTTAAAGACCGATTATTTGGAAAGCTCTAATTCTCTATTAGATAAGTGTATTTATTTGATCCAAAGCGCTCATGAAACTGTTGACTTTTGCCACCTCTTTTCGGCTGAGGCCCCACTGTGCGTCGCTCTGTCGCATAATTCACTTTCATCTCGGGCCGTGGCAGTGCGGTTCGTGACTCTCGCTGTTTAAACAAAAGCAGCATTTTTAACATGATATTGCCAAATAGTTTTTCGGATTTTTGAAGAAAGAGAGAAACATAATTCATTGAATATATACATACATACATATGCACATGTGTGCATCCTCGTATAAACAATTTCTTAATACTGCAAATAGCCAGAAATTTTCGGATGGCAGAGCTTGAATGCAAATGAATCAAATTTTGGGTGTTTTTTTTCAGAATAATAACATTATCAGACGAACCATAGAACTTTATGTTCGAAAAACTTTAAACTTCAAGTGTAACAACTTTAAGGAATTGACTGTGATAAATAGTTATGAATCAATTACTATAATGAAATGCGGTCGATTAATTGTGGGGCATGTCTAATCGAGAACCTTTGAAGATTTCCAAAATTTGCAACATTTCGGAGGGTACTCTCCTACGAATACTAATTGGTCTGTATTAGCCACTAATTTATGACAAAGAGTTGGGATGTAACTTCCCTTTAACTATATGTAATTTATTATTTTTTTTGTAAATACATTCTGAAAATACAGCCAAGGCATCTCCACATAATCATACTGTCCAAAGGTACACTATGTGGTCGAAGTGCAACAAGTACTATGTATATCTGCATCCATCAGTGTTCCAAAAAATGTATACAAATTTCATCAGATCATTTTATACAGCATCTATTTAATTCTTAATTTTAGTAAGTTTGAGGCGACTGTCGGAATCGCCCGTTGTGATATTTAGTTCTCAAGTTAAGCATCAACATTTTTTTGAAATATGTATAACTAGTTTTTGTACAATATATCATTATGAGATTCTAAACTATTGATACATATACCAATTACAGTGAAAAAACGATCTTAAAAAACTATGAATCTATCAGAACGTTTTCCCCAATTTCTCTCACATACAAAATATAGAAAAATATAAAAAATAAAAACTTTCGCATTCAGAAATTAACACACTAAATGGAGACGGGGACATCTATTTGTTAGCTGTTAATTGGTTGCCAAATTTGACGATTCATAAAAATGCGCACATGACTTAATTTAATTTAAAAAATCCAGCAAAAGCCAGCCTAATGAAGCCCAAACATTTTCCTCGTCTCTGGCGGCTTAATTAAAAGTTTAGTTTAGATTTGAGGATTTGCTCGAAAAGAATGCTGTCGCTCCAAAAGTTGAACTAAAGCTGAAACACTAGCCAAAAGTATTTTCAGTATTTCTGCTTACACGTTGTCAATGATTAAGTTGGAGTTCAGTTGGATTGCCTTTGCATCAGCTGAAACGTGCATTATTTTGGTCATTTTTATTTCATTAATCAAAATGCCATTTGCCTAATTAAAAATTCCTATATTGGCGATTTTAACATATAGTAAATGTAAGCAAATCTTTGGGAGCTTCAGAATTAATTTATAAGACCAAGGCTGATGATCAAAATTTGTATGTACAGTGTACATACATATGTATATTTTTATATATGTACATAAATACACATGTATATAACTCTAGAGACAATATGAATGGCAGGTATTACAAAAAAAGCGAAATTTTGAAATACACTTGTAGCAGTGTGAGCCTGGAAACCAAATTTGGTTGCCCTAGCTCTTATAGTCTCTGAGATCTAGGCGCTCAACAAAACGGACAGACGGACAGACAGACATGGCTATATCGACTCGGCTATTGATGCTGATCAAGAATATATATACTTTATGGGGTCGAAAACGTTTCCTTCTCTGCGTTACACACATCCACTTTTACCACAAATCTAATATACCCCTTAACTCTTTTTTGAGTACGGGTATATGCACTATATACGGGAAACTATAACCTAATTACAAACTAGTTCCGATGCTAAGAAAAGATCCTTGTTGTTGACACCTAATGCATGCATACCACGTGTTAATATATTTGGTTTCGACGCGACCCACATATGCACATGATTTTATGGTCGAACCGCTTATAGATCCTTTGTCCTTTTTCTTAAGTGGACTGTAAGTGGACTGTATTGTGTTTATGGGGTGGCCTGTGTCGGTTCCTGTTCATGTTTATTATGTTCTAGTGTTGTTCTACATCTTCTCCTATAGTATAAATTATGCATATTTTTAAGCTTAACCTTTCCTATTACTTTTATAATGGGTTACTATAAAGTGCAGTGCTATCAATAGGAAACTTTTTCTTTCGTAGTGCGAAATTGCCTTTCTTACTTTCTGAGATTTAATCTCTGATAATGTCGGATGAAGTCCGATTTGGCTACAAAACGTTGCCCTCTCTCACACCTAATCAATCGAAGACGAATCGACAACAAACCTTGGCGAATGCTAATAAAGCTGATGAAAGGAAAACAAAATGAAACAAATTATTTGTTGCCAATAGCCGAAACGAATTCAATGTTCGACTTCCCCATGTGCACCACCTGGGGTGACCAGATCGTGGATCGGTGATCTGTGATCGGCACGGGCATCGGGACATGGGCACGACGGGCGGGTATTCCAGCACAATGGGATATATTTCACGTTTGTTTGCAGTAATTTCATTACGCTAAGCAGTAAAAATGAAGCCGCAATGAAATCAGGCAACTTTCTGTCCATAAATCAAATGATAAGCAAAAATAGCAAATAAAAAACAATGCTAAAGTTAAAGCGATAAAACAATGCAAAACGAAAGGGGGCGTGGGAGGAAGTGAGCAAGTCAATCGAGGTGGCGAGGCGGGGAGACGGAGCCGGTTGATCGTGCGTTGACATTTGACTCGGGTATCGGCAGGGGCCACGCCCCTATCCACTGCATAAACCGTACGTGACCGTACGTCAGACATCTCGGAATCAATGCCCCAACCGGCTTCCACCTGTCTGTCTGCCTCTGTTCTTTGGGCTCGGAAAATGTATAAATGCTTGCAATACCCAGTATGTATTCATAGAGTTCAAGGGTATACTCGTATTGGATTCCTTCAGATTTTTGCAACTGACGGAACACACAGTTTCCGTAACTCTAAAGAATATAGGCTTTCAAGCATACGCTAGACATTAGATAGTGGATAGGGATTTATGGATGGATCATAAAGGGTATCTTTTATTTGAAATCCCGACTAAACACTTCGTACTTGTCTATTATGAATAATAAATTGTCTAACCGACTGGGCCGGGGTCTAATCGGTCATTTTGAAGGCACGAGATCTTGGCATGTCTGCCGATCGCCGCTCCACCTCCAACCATCCGCCACAGGCCGCGGGCATGACGTCAGTTCTGAACAGGTCCGCGGGCAGGTAGCATTTTGCTGGTGCAATTATGATGGGTTTATTTGCTGTAAAAGCCATAAATTTGCTTGCCACTACCTTGCAGCAATATATATAGCTGGATAGCCATTCGAAGTGTACAACCTTTGGATGGGATGATAACTGTCAGGCTGTCACCAAACGAAATAGTTGATTGGGAGAAAAAAGCGTCTAAGGTTAAATTATCTACATAGCTGATTCACATTTGTCAAATCTAAGCATCTTAGATGCTGATCACCCCAAAACTGAATAGATTTTCCCACCCTTTCCTTTAGAAAACAATAAAAGTCTCCCAACAGCCATGATCCATGTCCATGCAAATGAACCTAATTGAATAACCATACTTACATACTCTATGGGAGGGAGTAGGGCGGGGCGGTACTGGTACTCACCATAACAATGCACGAGGCCCAGATTCAGACCGAGACAAATCAGCAACAATAGCAGCGCCCAGCAAGGGGCTCCTCCGTACGTTGCCCTGGGCCATCGAAGCCAGAGTCGGTGTCGGGCTTGGATTTGTTTCGCATTTTGATTTGGAGTTTTGTTTGCTGCCCTCTGATGGGGCACGCTTGGAACACTCATATTGATTGCCAGCTATTTTTATTTATTATATGTATATACTTTTATATTTATATTTTTGTTTCTATTGTTATACACGAAATTTGTTCGGCTACAGCGCGATTGTATTGTTAAATTAATTAAGAAAACTTTATATATAACAGACACTGTGTGGAGGAGGATTAGCTTGTGGGGGATCGACTTTAATTTTTTTTTTGCATTATATTCGTTTTATCACAAGCCACATGGCAGGGGCAGAGACAGAGACTCGGTTGGAAATTTTGTTCCTCATTTCAATGTTTGCTCATCGGCGGAACTCATCCGTGGTGTTCCTCGGTTGCACTGCGAAATGAAACAAACCAATTCTGTGAACGATGATTATCTGGGCTGGCTGTGATTCACTCGGACATTCCAACACTTTATTTGATGTCTTCCAAACAGTCTTTAAAGTTTGTACCGTTTTCAGTCGAATTCTCGTTTATAATGTTTGCTGGCGGGTGTGGGCTCGTCGAATTTGCATAGAACCTAATGAAGTTATGGATTAATCATGAATGGATTTGCTTTGATAGTCACTGGCTGTTCTGTTTGCTTTAAAATGGCATTAGAATGTCGTAGAAGTGGTTTGGTTTGGTCTGGTTTCTATGTTGGGTCGAAGAGTGGAGAGTGGAGATTAATCAAAAGTAAATATAAATGTTTTGCTTAGCCAAGCCAAAAATGCTTCAAGATATTTTGTCAGAAAAAAGAGGATGGATGCCTCAAATTATTATGTATATATGTTTGCATAACAGCAGAAAGCTGTTGGATAATACTCGATTTTACTTTCAATAGAATAGAATGGTTTAAAAAAAAAAGAAACAAATTGTTGACAATAACTTATCCGAATCCGAATCAAAGAATCTTACTCATGCGATATACTTGAGATATTCACCCTCACCCATTGCTTTCTAATGCTTTCTTACAGTTTTTAAACTCACTATATCACCATATGCATTTATTTCCTTCAATGCTTTTTTAATGGAACCATTGACTTAACCACAAAAAGGCCAAAGTAAATGACGAAACGGTTCGTTAATGTTTTCAAATTAATTGCTCTGCAGAAACCAAACCGTAGCGAAGAAATAAAATCGCATTTATTGAGTGCAGGCGGCAGGGCGGCCCGGCCTGTCTGTGTGTATGACCAAATAAATGGCAAGCCAAACAAAGGGAGAGGAGAGGCGAAGCCACGAAAAGAGTAGAGAGGAGCTGAGAGACGAAATATTAAATAAACGGAATTACCCACAAAACAATTGACCTTCTGTTGGCTTACAAACCGACCAACCGCCAAACGACAAACGGATTCCATTAGTCATAATCGACAATACGAGTAGTCGAGAAAGAAGCCGAAAAAAAGCAACAAAAACCAAGCACACCCAGCAACAACAACAATGAATAGCATACAAATTTATGAAAAGTAACTTCCCCGAACCGAAGTTCATATACCCTTTCGGCGAGACTCCAAAAAATGTCCTTGCTAATCATTTTCTCAATAAAACCCATCTCAGTACTCGATTCTCTCGATGTTCTCTGTGCAGCATAACTTCTTATCAAAGCGAAAATATCCTCTGCAACGGTGTTCCAGTAGATGTGTTTCTGTGTGCGTGCAACAAAATTACAAAGAGAAGGAAAAATAAAAATAAAATGCCATTGCAAAACTGCATACAATTAACATTACAACAACGCGGAGTGCTAAAGCTAACAAAGTCATAAAGACACCACCTCCCCGACCGACTCAGGAGAAACATTTTTCCGGCCAATGCTGTTTTGGGCTTGCTTAGAAATTACGAGTACTATTATTAAATGGCAGACAGAGCAGAGAAACCTTTATAGAGTAAAAGCTAAATTCAAATAGTCGTTAAATTGTGGGCGAACGCTATGGGATGTGTGTGATAGGGAAGGGGGACTCTCTAGAGGCCAAGAGCAGGGGGCGAGAGATAGCCAGCGAAGAAGCAAGGGAGAGAGAGAGAGAGAAAGTCAAGAAAGCGTGGAAGACTGAACGGCAATAATCACATTGAAATTACGGTATAATAAAAAAATTGTTTGTGGTAGAAGTCAAAGCCCGGACTTTCTGAACATTAGCCATGGGCCCCAGGCATGTTCATATTAATTAACATTTATTTTTTTCTAGCTAATTTCAGAAATTGTTGCTCAATGCTGAGTCAAAGATGTATTTCTAGAAAAAATCAAGCTAATTTTAAAATATTAAACAACTTGTTCCTTTTGTAGAACCAGAATTTATTGCCACAAAAATAGGTAAGAGGCTGATCTATGTTTTTGGGTTCTACTAGGGTTACTATTGGGTACGAGTATATAACATATTCGTTTCATTGAAGGTCCCCTTTTGTCTCTGAATATGTGAATATGAGTAAACACTTTACTTATATTCAGTGCCTATGTTTTTGAAAAAAAATGTTTCCTTTGGCATTTGGCTTTTACACTTCCGTTTGGTTAACTAATTTTCCCTTGCTGTCTTAGTCTTTTTGTTTATTTTTTCACAGTTGTTAAAATTGCGCAAAGCCATAATTTTGTTGTTGCGTTTTGTTGGATGGGAGGCTGAGCAGCCCCAGTGGGAGAAGAAGCAGCAGCAACAAAAACTAAAATTAAACACGAAAATAAATTAAATTCATGAACGAAAACGTAAGCAAAGCCCAGGCACCGATGAAGCATCGGACAAAGAAGAGCCGATCACCGACAGGGGACCCACAGAGAGTGAGAGAAAAAGAAGCCGAATCGACGGCGGTCGTGTATGCGAGCAAAAGAGATGGCAAAGCAAACACCAAAAAATAAAAAATATCCAAAACGTTCGACAAACGGCCCACAAAAATAGCAACAAAACTGGGAGTAGAGGCTTCAAGCTGGGTGGGTGTTCGGGGTTTATCGTTTTTTTGCACTATTTCAAACAATTTGAGTAATTTCAACTATTTTCGAGTGTCTTCGCATAACTCCGGTTGTCACTTTGCATAGAGATAAACATTTGAGCAAGAAAAACCCGCAGCAGTCTCTGCTCCACTCCGCACCAACACACAGAAATTATAATAACGGTGAAGACGAAACTCTGGGTTTCGACAGCGCATGCGCGACACGTTTCACATTCACTCTCGCATTGGTCTTGGTCTCGGTCTCGGTCTGGATCTCTCACCGAAAGCACAGTACGGCACAGCACAGCACAGCACACACACGATACAAAGCGAAGCGAAGGAGAACCGACAGCGAGAGAGGAAGCGTGGGATGGGAGCTCCAACATATGTACGTCTGCAGTGGCCAAGATTTCGTCGAATACTGAACCCAGCTGTGTGGGGGACCTTCCACATGGAGGGAGCTCAGTTCAGTTCCCAGCGAAACCGGTCGCAACAATCGCTTGTACTCGTACTCGTACTCATACGCTCTGCTCTCGCTCCACCGCTCTTTGTGGGATCCGATCCGCTCCCGAACTACTGGTATATGCTCCATTTCGTTTGTGTGCCGTGCCGGATTTGCCTTTTGGGATCCAATCCGATCCCAGCCAGGTCCGTCTCTAAATGAGTTCCGTCATATTTGACATGACGACGTGTCGTATTAATCATTCTCATGTCAATTGTTTGTTTATCTCCCTTTCTCTCCGGCACTATTTCCCTGGGGAGTTCATGGGCATTTCCCAGTCTTGCAGATACAGTGCAAAAGACTCGGAGAGATACATATACCGACAGAGAGAGAAACTTCGGCAAACTTCCAACTGTCTGCTAAGAGAGGTGTTACAAACTCCAACCTCTTGCTTGAATAACTCTCCCTCTATCTCTCTCTCTCTCTCTCTTTGTCTCTCTATGTCTTCGCTCTTTCGGTTAATTGAGTGGTAAAAACCGGCCCCCACGAGGAGGGGAGTTCCTATTTGCGTTTATGAGATGTTTATGAATTATTCTTGAGAATTTATGCATAGACAACTTCGACTTGAGGCAGCAGTGAGTATTACTTAACTTTGTTTGATTACACGAAATTTGCATACTAATTGGAGTAGCATAAAATTTGATGAGTATTTGTTCTTTATGAAGTGGAACTGAACTGCGTTTTACATACAGTGTCGAGTCTCAATTTGATATGTGATTTTTGGCTCACACTAAAAGGGTCTAGACAAGTCAGTTCTTATTATATACCGCTATCGAGTGCGAAGAATTGGTAGAATCTAGTTTTATCAGATCACAGAAATAATATATACCTCTCAATAGGATGCTTACTTTATTTAACGCATACATTTATTCAGAGTCTCTAAGACTTATAATTTTTATAATAAAAATTATGAAATAAGAATTAATTTTTGAGTTTTATTATATAAATCCGGTATAAGACTTATTTTTGATTTTTATTATTTATTTATTTATTTTATTTATTTATTTATCATTTTTATAATAAAAATCAAAAATAAAAATTGAATGCAAATATCTTTTGACCAGGGAGGTCTTATTTTTAATTTGTATTATAAAAATTGCTAATAAAAGTTTATCTTGTTACGAGATGCCTCTTTTGTAAGCTAAAAGCCCATTATTACAGAGCTTATCTTTGAATTACTACCACATTCTGTACAGAAAAGTTCAGATTTGCAATACGAGTTTTTAAATGTTAGCACTAGCAATCTCTTTTTAAGAGGACAAATAAAAAAAGCTTAAGAAACAATTTATTGATTTCAGTAACCATTTCACGTACCATGTCAAAGACCAAAGTTCAAGTGGCCCAACCATTCAATCATCCAATGATTAATCTGTGGAATACTTAGCCATTGTACAGAGACAATATTTTATGTCAATTTTCTTCTGAGTATGTCAACAGCTTACTTTGTGTTTTGTGTCGCTGTTCCTTCTGGCCTCCGTGCCAGCCTCCTCGATCTCTGTTCGGGTGTCAGTCAGCAGTCAGTAGTCAGCTGTCGTCATGTGCTGCTGCCTCTCCACAGTCCACAGTGCAGCTGTGCACATTAAAATCAATTAAAATTCTTATTTATCTTCGATCCGAGCCGGGCTAACAAGTGCAGTCAGCCAGCAGAACGGGCGCATCTATAAATATTTATCAATCTGGCAGAACGTTAGAAGCAAAAGTTTAAAACGCATTCAAACAAATATAAAAAAATTAGATATATTCCTAACTTTGTAGTGCACTTCAAGTGCATTAAAAAATAGCAGAAGAGAAGAAAAAAATGTTTCGACTTTGCGACCACATTGAAACATTTCATGATGAATTGTCATTAGAAAAAAGTTAAAGAAAACACACATATGTACATAAGTTGAAGTTTATCGCTCAGTGCTCAGCGCTCAGAACTGCAAAGCAATTCAGTTAGATAAGTAATTAAATTAATTAATTTTTATATGCAGCCGATTGTCGTCGAATCTTGATTCTAGATTTATCTGTGCGTGCATTGCGGCAACTTGTACAAGTAAATACATATTTTCAGGGGCCTTCCATTCGAACATTTCGCAGCTGACTAAGTAAACTCGATTAGTATCTGCAGCTGTGGGCTGTTTATGGAATTCTCAATTGAGCTTAAAGCAGTTAATATGGAATACTTTGAAATGTATAGCAGAGATAATCTCCATAAATGTATAAATCTTTTTATCCGACTAAATCATGGATTTAGTGACTCCTCAACGCATAGCTTAAGCGGCCAGAGCAAAAAACTAAAATCTCACTGCGGGAAAAAGTTCGAGTATTATTATTTCAGGCACTTGATGGGCAAAAATAGATTCTATTTTCGTATTCCAGTTTTAATTGAGTTCAGTCTCGAAACATCAAGTACTTGGACTCTTGGATATTTCTTGTCACTACCCAGCCCCAATCACTTTCGGTGCGAGCACCAATTACCTGTTCTTAACAAGCTCTCGAGCAGCTCCACAACAATCTACATCTACTCGTACGCACACAGAACACAAAAAATAGAATATAAAAAAATATATCACATTCCTTTGGCAGCAAAAAGTGAAGGGTATAAACGTATGTATGTATAAATGGGTACAAATTGAAAATTATTTTTGAATTTATCTGAAATGAACTGAAAATATTTGAGCCATATTAATAATTAATTTACCTTCCTCAGCTGCAGGAAAAAAAATAAATTGTCTAACAACTTTCACTACAAAAATTGACATATAAAAAAAAAATCCAACAAAAAATTGGTGAGGCACGGCTACGCATAGCTGAGTAATTGATTTTTTATAGCTTGGATTTCGATATAATTTCAATTCGAAAAAAATATCAAATAATATCAAATGTAATGGCTTGCAAATCGAGACCGAGCAACTGAAGGTCGTGGAGTGCTACTCGAAGCGACGCCGACAACGCACAATTCAAAGAAAAAAGACACAACACCAACAAAGTATAATAAAATAAAATATAATAATAATCCGACAGGTGACAATAACAAGAGCACCAACATCCACTGCGTTGTCGAACCGAACCACTCGTAGAGCTGGTGTCGGCCCACAAAATGGAACACGCGCCGTTGAAATAGACAACTCAGAAAAAGACAGCAGACAGCAGTCGTTGTCGCTGTAAAAATGCATTAAGCATACGCACTGTGTGACGGCCGTTTTTGGAACGGAGAAACATTGAAACATTGGCTTGGGCAAATGAGTAAGCCTAACTAAACTAAACTAACTAACTTACAGGTAGCTGCAATCGGTAGCTATGTTGGCTTAGCTTGTTAGCAAATAGCTTCAACGTGGAGTTGGAAACTCCAGCTAATTGGATTCTTTGATTCGATGCTATCGAATCGTGTCGAGTAAATTAATCACACAATTAAGGGTCTTATTTTTAACGCTAAACTCTAACTCTAAAAGTTTAAAGTAGCAATTGACAGCAGATAATTAAAATAATAAACTCTGTAGATTCTTCTTAAGGTCCACAACTCAATAACACAAGCAGCACTTCCATGATTTGTGCCCGTATAAATTCAAACAGATAGTTGCTTTTCTTTCAAAAGCTCTCTCTATGCTGATGCATTTTACTTCGTGTAATTATTTAAATTAGAATTTATTCTACAGACAGCCATAAAGCCATAAATACACCGAATGCGTGTGGGCAGCAACCTAGCTAAATTTCCCATAACCATTTTCGCCATAAGTATTTAATGAATGATTCCAGCTCATAACGCAAATAAGATCGAACTCGAAACCAAAATCAAAACCAAAAGCAAGTACAATGCCAAGTTGCACATGTGGCCCACTCCCACAAACAGCTAAGCGCCCTGTTTGAACAAGTGTCGGGGAATTCGCTTCCTCAATAAACACATGAGCTTTGCTTTTATGTTCAATTGCTTGTATTAACCCATTAACACACTGAGCTCATGCCTAACTATAATTCCAGCCGGGCAATGATACAATACAATGTGATATCTAGTGAGATAAAAAAAAAGGCGATGTTGTGGCTCCCTTTCACTTACAACTGATATTAATGGCACCTTCAATGAGCGATCTTTTGCAAATGCAATGGACTTGCAATCTAAGATCTTACTAATGCAATTTTACCCTAAACAGTTTTGTATACTCGTTTCCAGACGGCATCTTAAAACATCTCAATCTCCAAAGACATACACATACACCATACACCAGCCGTCGGCTCCATGAGAGACGAAATGCCAACTGGCACACACTGCGCATGCGTACGTGATTATGGATTTAATTAACTGTGGCCTGGCAACAGCACACAGTACTGCACATAGTACATACATACATACTCGTATATACTGCAAACTAAAACAGCAATAAACTAAGGTGAGAAACAGGCATTGACTTTGGTAATGAAAACAATTTGATGTGGTCTCATTTCAGTTCAGTCCACTTACTCTGGCGGGCAGGCCCTTCATGCAAGAATGCTTCAATTGAAGGATTTCCAAGAATGATTCATCGGCTTCCAGCCAATAGGTTGCTGCCAATCCCCCTGCTTTGTTGCCACTTGGTATCTTGGCAGCCGCTAAGCGTTAATTAAATACTTGCAGAATTTGCAAGGTCACTGTAATAAATTTAAAAATAAAAGAATATTACAGGCAGGCCATGTGGCATCCCTCTTATACCATTTGCGGAATATTACAATATTAAAAAATAAGCCAGCAATAAGCATGCAATAATATTTTCCTATGCCAAACCATTAATACCCTTTCTTTTAATTTAAGAATATAAATATAGATTGATTTCGAACTTAGGAAAACAATGAAAAGTACAAATTGTAGCTTCTTTTTTCCTCCCTTCTTCACAAGATTACATTTAAACGCTTCGTTTTTTTTTCTATTTTCGCACGTGATGCCATTAACTAAACGGGTTTAAGCCCACGAAAGTTTATTATGTTATACTCGTAAATATATGGTATTTACTTAAGTTCAAATGCGGAAAGTGACATTTAATGCAGATGCTTGTTTGGACACATGGACGCGGGAGGGGACATCACTTTGCCAGCAATGGCAATGAGTGCGTGAAAATTTTAAAATTGTCAGATTAATGTGCCAGAATAACGTACTTAAATACTGGTTGGCTACCGTAGCTACATGATTATCATCTGAATTCTACATAGTATACATATGTATGTATGGATACAACAGCTTTATAAGTCCAAACATGACATACTCGATCGATTTTCGTTAGGATTCTTGCGATATCAAAATGGCATACAAAACCAAGGTTAGTAAATATAAAATTAATATATTCAGCCAATAAGAATAATGGTCAAATTGGGAAGTTGAAGAAGTGTCCGCTGACTATTCAAATTGTTCAATGATAAATAGGAGTTTAATTTAGCGTTTGCATAACTTTACTTGGCAAAAAATATGGTTAAAGGCGACACCGCAATTCTCGCCAGTTCTGAACAGATTTGTTCTAAAATTGGTTTGCTAAGTACATGTGTATACATATGTATGTATGTACATACACATATTCTATATATTTCAATTTATATACATATATAATTGGTATTACTACATATTACATATATTACAATTTCACAAAAATTAATGTACTTTTTACATCCTCTTTGTGAATTTACAACTTTTTTGTTGCATACTTTTACCATGATAGTTTAATTGTGAATTTTAACATAAACATTTAATGGACTGTTAGGCCTCTGTTAGGCAATGTAAATCACAGATTGCTGCAACTGATATTTTCCCAAACAGATCCAGTTGACATATTTACCACTTGACTCTATAAATAAATATAATCAAAAAAATCATTAAATTTATTTTTATACCATACATGCTAGATAATAATTAAGTCGGTTTTGTATAAAATACAAATAAAAAGTCAATAAGGTAGGAAAATCTACTTGTATAGTTCGACAAAAGTATATTTGTGCTGCTCCTTCCTACATTATTTACTACTGTTCATAAACATGAACACTTGAAGGAGGCCACTTATTTACTACCCTGCCACATTTTACACTTAATCCTTTATAATGTGCTTTCAGCAATGACCCCAAGAGGGTGTACCCTTTAGATGCAGAGGAGCAAGATACAGATGGTCTGTTCTGGGTATATTTATTTTAAGCGTACAGCTATTTTAATATTTTGCTGATTAATATTGTATATATATAATATTGATTTGTATTCTAAAATACTCCTACAAGCTTAGATAACGTCAAAGACAAAAGACTCAAATACAAGCTTAAATCTAAATATATAGCTATAGCTTATTAATAATAAGATCACATGAAAAAAGTGAGAGTCTCATACGATATGTAGAATTTAAAAATTCTCTGGCTTCTCTGACATTTTTAGTAAGTCTTTTATGAAATAATTATCCTCCAGAGGAAATTTCTGCATCAAATCTGATGTGGTATAATGGTGCCTGGTTGGATTCTGTGAGGGCTCGTGGCGTCCAAAGACTTGTAGATGGTAAAGCAAAAACTCATAGAGGTACATTCGTTCGGGGCTGGCATAATGAAAGGCCACCGAATAATTGGAGCAGCAGTTGAAGCCCTAACCGGAGTGATGATTTCAAACATTGATTGAAATTTGACCAGCAATCGGATAGTCAGACTCACAGTTTCGACTTCGGACACACTCATCAGCCGCAACCAATCCGGCGTAGTAGCGTTCGAGTCGGACATATAGCTCTCCAGATCCAGTGGCATGAATTTGTGCTTGGTGTCCTCTGTCAGCGCCTGTGCAGAGTCCACCAAATGAACGCCCACATTCTGCAGACAGATGCCCATATAGAAGTCCTCAATGCCCATTCTCTTGGGCTGCGGACAAACCACCTCAGATTCAAACGCTTGGGTCATAAAACGATGAAGCGCCTCGCGGCTTAGGACATAGGAGGCGCCACCAGACATGTAGCTCTGTTTGAGAAAGACAAAGCATTAGTGAATCCATGCGGGGTATTCAATATTCAATATTCACATGTTACATTCATTCCATAATTAATATTCCACACGCACCGAACCTGTACCATCCCATAAGAAATCATCAACCTTCAGACATGAATATTTACATACATCAAAGACCCAACAAAAAACTGCCGCGTTCGGTTAGTAACGGTGTTAGGCTTTAGCCATACCCACTACATCAAGCATTACGCTGTTAATCCTCCGTTGGAGGTCGCTGAGCGGGAATGAAGTGTCAAAATACGAATCACATTCAAATGTATACAGGTAGAGCTTACAAATTAATGGAAATTATGTATTGAATTTATTCAATTGTCACCTGTGCTCAGATCAGGTCAGGCAATTAAGCTGCAATGATGATGAATTATATTTTGGATATGTTGAAGAAAACATGACGGACGAATCAATGAGACCTAATGATGATGATGAGCATTTGGAAATATTGATTGAGACATTTACGAAAAGAGGAAGGCTACCCTTTGGCCAACTTATTTCCCTTGCGGCTTTGAGTAATTTAAATGAATAAAATAACTAGAAGATAATCAGACTGTAATTTCACATAATGAATAAAATATATGAATGCATTAATGACTCATAAAAACGATAAAATATGCTAATTGTCATACATAAGCGCCAGAAATCATACAAATTCGTAGACAAAAGATTTATTAGACAAAGCAAAGAAGTCAAGCAAATGATTATAACAATCAATCAAGAATCATTAGAGTGTTTATGCTGCATTTGGAAAAACAAAGCGTGTGATAAATGTGCGAGAAACGGAAACAGAAAATACAAAGGGAATACCAGTATTTTAATGCCTCAATTATGATATTCAGTTTCGCATGGAGCCTACCAGTTGTGAGCCCTCCACCATACACATGAACATACGAGTGAGTATATACAGTAGATCAGTATGTATGTATGTACATATGTATATATGCAGTCATAGTGTTTGCACTTTGCCTGACAAGTCAAATGCTTGCACAACGCTTGAAAATGTCAAAAGGCAATGTAAATCTTTGGCTACTCTACTGTCAAGATCTTCAGTGGGACCCAAGACAATGGGGCGGGGCTGTGAAAGATGCGATGCGTGACAGACGGCCCCCAAATGACCTCCCGTGGTGTGGGCATTCTGCGGCGCCGGTTGCAGCCAGCTGTGGCTCCTAATGCGAGTTTAATTTCTTATTGTCGATGTGTCCGATTGATCTATGAATACGGAAAACGCAACACAAGCAGCCAGATCTTAAATGATTTGCAGCAGCCGAATCAACCTTGTGTGATATCATCATTTGCCCAAGAATAGATCTATAGATCGAACAATGCAAAATAAATCGATATTAATTGGTAAGTTTAGGAATTACACACACCAGCGCGTACGGGTCCGGTTTTTCTGGCATTGAACTTTAAGCGATTAGCACATTTCGCTATTCCCAAAAACTTCGCAAGTGTGCGCGGCCATAAGAAAGTTCCAACTGAAAAGCCAAAACACCGTTGGAATACCTTGTGCAAATTTCGGCAATTGAAACAGTCGGATGTTGAGCTTCCAAATATTATTTCAAAAGCATCTTAGACAACAGATCCGATGGTCGCCAGCAAAGAGTATCTCATCCAAGTGTTTGGCGACACATTAACGTGACATATACAAACTGTTTTCGCTCGACGCATTATTCAATTAGCCCCGAAAACCAAAAATCAAATCTCAATTTCATAAATTTGCAATTCAGATTTCTACGAGTGTCGTGAACAAGCGGGTGACTGCAGGCAGCATGGAAGATGCCTAGTTAATCAGAATAATGAACGATGATTAAGCTAATGTCGATCACTTACCACATTGTAGCGGGTCATCTTGTAGCCCAAATAGACAGGCGTGGTGGGATCATAGGCGGAGAGCAGGAACTGCATATTCTCCATGATGACATAGCTGCGATGGTGGGAGGTGTGGAAACTACATTAGGGAGGCTCAGGCACAACAATTCTAATCTAATCGCACTCACGTATCATCGTCTGCCTTCAGATACCAATCAAAGTCCTGGCCATACTCCTGCCAGACATGGCGGAACCCCTCGCGTGTCTTGTTCCACAGATCCTCATAGCCGCCACCGCTGGGATCTACAACCTGGACCACTCCCAGCGGTTCGTAGCTCTCACTGCTGACGAACACCAGGCGGCTGCATCGCTTGCCCCAAGTGGCATGGACATGTCGCGCCAAACTCTGCACATTCTCTGGACAAGTGAGCACCATGCATAGAATCCTTGTGGCAGACGCCTCCTCAATCCTTGCCAGGGGGGTTGTTGTTGCCGTTGGCATTGTGGCGGAGCTGGTGCACCAGGGCGATGCACGATTCACATCGTAGACGTAGAGGAGCAGCACGAAGGCGAAGATGAATCCCGCCATGAAGCCAGTCATTAGGTGCAGCTGGGTCCGCAGCTTGATTTTGGCCGTCATTCTGCGTGTGAGGTGTGTTCTGTGCCGCGTCTGGTTCCCGATTGTCATCGCTGCTGATTTTGGCCAAGTCAATCACCAGCGGCAGCAGCTAAGGCAACAAAGGCAGCAGGCAGCACAGCAGCAGTCGGCAACCGGTTTTGGTCGTCTTCTTATCAAAACAATCAAGTCTCTAATTTGGTGCGAGAGTAGAGATGGCCAATGACCATGCATCTAATGAGGATATATATATATATTTAATGCTAAAAAAATTACATATACATCAATTCTTATTCCTGATTTACGTTGGTTGACTTTATTTTACTGTACCGTGGACTGAAAGTGCAGTCAAGTCAAGTCATCAGCAGGTCCAAATTGCATATTTCACTTAGATTGGGTAGGAGGTGATCTATGTATTTATTTGGCAACTTAAATTGAGAACAAGAGAAGGATTAGAATCTGAGCCATGAATAAGTCAAATAGCAGCAGATGTTTTTGTGCCATCTTATCAACAAGAATCCTGGTCAGTATTCTGTCTCTATTAACAGTGAAAATAGAAATACTTTGTCTGACTGCTGCTCCAGTTCTGGTTAGCTGCAGTTCCACATCTCAGCTACGAGCATCTCCCAGGCCAAATTCAATTTGGTCGAGACTTACGCGGCAGAAAAACGGTCACAAAATGAAAATGAAAGTGTTACCAATACTTTTTTGATCGCATCGCTGTGGACAATAGGAAATCGATCAATTGAAGCGCATGACATTGTATAACCGCACCGCACTCATTGGGTAATGGTCTCTACTAGTCTCAGGGGATGTGGTATAAAAACTGCGAGTCGCCTCAATTATGACAACAGTTAGCTGACAATTTGTGGAGGCAGACCAACGGAAGGAATCAACGGAAGGAAAATCCAAGCAATCGAGATGGCAGCCAAGGTGAGTCGGGGGCCAGTACATCTGTTTTGCGAGCAACTGACATATAAAACCATTTCCAGTTCTTCGTCCTACTGTCGCTGGCTCTGGTCGGTGCTGGCCAAGCGGAGTATAACTACAACGAGAAGGCAGCCACGGCCGTAAACTCCCTGGAGCAGAGCTCCCAAAGCTCTGGCGAGGACTTCCTCAGCGACTATCACACGCCCAGCAACAAAGCGCTGAACTCCCAGGCCACTCCGGATGGCTACGACTATGTGGCGCCCCGGTCAAACCAATTTGCAGCCGGCGTTAGCAGCTCGGCAGCGAGTGCGCATGCCTCGAATCTACTGCATAGTGCCGCCAATGCCGCATCTGCATCGGAAGCCCTCCTGCCTTCGCCGCTGCCCGTCCTGCGCCAACACCAGGAGCCCGAGATCTTCCCTCCCGCCAGCTACAGCTTCAACTATGCCGTAAATGACGAAAGCACCGGCGACATCAAAGAGCACAGCGAGACCCGCGACGGCTATGTGGTGCGCGGCTTCTACAGCCTTGTCGATCCCGATGGCTACAAGCGCACCGTCACCTACACGGCCGACGATGTCCATGGCTTCAATGCAGTCGTGAATCGAGTTCCCTATGCCCTCAAGACAGTGGCAGTTGCGGTGGCCCCCTCAGTGGTGCCGGCCGTTGCTCTGGACGAACGCTCCAATCTGGAAGCAGTGGATATCACGCGGTCGTCGGGTGCTTCCTCTGTGGTTTCTGAGGGATCGGGATCTGGATCTGGATCTGATTCGGGAGCAACAATTCACTCGTTCTCCCAGGATAGCTATGCCAATGCACCGCGTGGCCTGGACGCTTCTGGCGGTCCCTACGCCTGAGTCCTGCTGCTATGCTATGCGGTGCTTGTATACTGCTTCATTGTGTTCCATCTAATCCATCTAGTTCTGTAGGTATCCCATTAAATACGATTACCAAACACTGGTTCGGCATTTATCAAGCTTTAAAAGCTTCCTCTTTGGCATTTGAAAGCCTGCATGTAAAAGGTTAATTGTGTAACACACATATGGAACTACCTTTTAAGTAGCGAAGATGCCTTATACATAGATGTATTGCCACAAATGAAAGGTCAAAGCATCACACCTTGAGATGGAAAACTCTTGGAGGCTTGGGGTTACCATTATTTTCAAAGACGACACAAGCTAGAATTGTGCAGAATCGTAAGTTCCAAACATGGACTGGATCGGTCGTAAACATCGTGACACGAGCTAGAAACACGAAACGCGCTCCTCTCCAGGGAATACTTGTTTGGATGGTCTGGCAACATCTGGCATCGAAAAAAGGCGTTAAGTTATTTCTTACCAAGCATGTCCGCGGCGCTCGTTCAAGCCAAGTCTGTCAACAGCCGGCAAAGCGCGAAGACGTTTCGGTTATTTTGTTGTTTCTTTTTTATTTCTTACCTTTTCTTATTCGGAGTCTCAAGTCGCGTTCGGGCCGCCTTTAATGGCCCCTTTCCTCAGTGAGTGTCTTTGTGTTTGAAATTCTGTGCGAGTGCCGGTCAGTATAAAGTGGAAAGAAAGCGGCCAAGAGAAGAGTCGCATAATTGCTCACCCACACCCACACCCACACACACACACACACACACACCTGAACCGATGGCCCAGAGCCTCAGCCCAGGGCAGGGACAGAAGGCAGCGATTTGAGACGGGCCAAGTCCAAATCCGATTGCAACGGATCGCAGAAGCGTCACCGAGGCGAGGCACGGCCCAGTCAATTGCAAAACGAATCGAATTTAAACATATTACGAGTATATGTACATGTGTACATACCCACATAAACCATTCCATGCCATACATGCATACGCCAACCACTTTATGCATGTTCATCAGCGGCCCGGCGCTCAGCGATCCCGCCCGAAGGTCAACCGCATCTTTACAAGCTTTCGTCTCTGCGTCAGTGCTTCAAGAATGTGTTAATTCGGTGATTCAGTGACAACAACCGGCAAAGGCAAAGGCAACGGCAACGGCAGAGCCCAGAGCTTATGCATACTCGCACAACGGCAGCGACAACATTTTATTTTTGATTTGCATAAAAAAGTAAACAAAAGCAGCCAATAAAAACTAAAAATAAAAAAAATATACAATAAGTATACCATCAACAACAACAACAAGCACAGGAAGAAGCACAAGAAGCAAAACCGAAGATGAGCATATTTAGGCATCATCGAAAGCGTCTGGAGCTGCTCTTGATGCTGCTGATCGGCCTGGTTTGGGGTATCCTATTGTCCCAGCTCTTTCAAAGAGCGCAATCGGAGTTCTACAGCGGAGATCTGACTTCCCAGAGCAGCAGCTTCAGCAGCAATTACCTGCCAAGTGGCTACATTTGGAGGACTTCGGATCCATCGTACCAGCTGACAACCATGCCCAACAACCTGACCACTGACGAGGTAGATCTTTCTGTGCGGCTCTTCAACGAGACCCGCGTGCTGTGCATGGTGCTGACCAGTCCGAAGACCCACCGGTCCAGAGCCATTCACATCAAAGCGCACCTGGGGCTCGCGCTGCAACAAGTTGATCTTTATGAGCACCAAGTCGGACAAGGAGCTGGGCACGGTGGCGCTCAAGGTGAAGGAAGGATACAGCAACCTCTGGGGAAAGACTCGAGCTAGTCTGCAGTATGTGTACAAGCATGATTTTCGCAACTATGATTGGTTCCTCAAGGCGGACGATGACACGTGAGTGAGGGGGACACCAATACGGTGCCTTTTATGATTATATCTAGAAAAGTTCCTACATATATGTACATATATCCGTTGGGTTATTGAGCATAGTGATTGTGGATCATCTGTCAGAGATTCCACAGGTGAACTGTCACATGTCTTATATTTTTGATAGGCCCTGCCCTGCACATGCAAGCCCTGCTCTCCAATTGCTTTAACGACTATTATTTAATTCCAGTTATGTGGTAATGGAGAACCTCCGTTCCTTTCTGTACGCGTTCGCGCCAACGGCGCCTGTTTACTTTGGCAGCAAGTTTAGGTGGCACGTGAAGCAGGTGATGACTCTTCTCCCACACACAACCTCTAAGATATAATAATGATACTCTTCTGCAGGGCTATATGTCGGGAGGAGCTGGCTATGTGCTCAGCAAGGAGGCGCTGTTTCGGTTTATGAAATACGGCTTAAGCAACAGCAGCATCTGCAGCAATCGCAGCTACGGCTACGAGGATGTGGAGCTCGGACGCTGCATGCAGGCGGTGGGTGTTGTGGCAGGGGACTCCCGGGATGAGCATGGTCTGGCCCGCTTCATGCCCTTCTCCCCGCTGCACTGGTTCTCGGACTCGCCGAAATGGTACAGACCCTATCGTTTCTACACCTCGTCAAATGTAAGAAGGACTCTAGAGTGTTATCTAACAGCGTGATCAACTTATTGCAATATGTACTTTCAAGCAGAGCACCAACGATTGCTGCTCGAACTCGGCCATCTCCTTCCACTACAGCAATGCCAAGGACTTCTACGTGCTCGACTATGTCATCTACAAGCTGAGAGCCTTCGGCATAGGCATACCTCAGGAGCAGCTGCCAGTGAAGCAGCCAGTCCTGGAGGTATTGCAAAAGTGGCGAACTTCGAAGCCTGAAGAGCTTACGCCAAATAAAGATAACAAAGCTAAGGAAAAACCAAAACTAAAGGTTAAAACCAAAGCCATACCAAAAGCGAAACATAAGCCCGAGGCCAAACCCAAACCCAAACCCAAGCACAAAACTACACACAAAACTACACATAAAACTACACACAAAACTACACCCAAAGGATCAGAAAAAACATCACTCAAACAGAATCCTTCAATAACACCCAAACCTAAAGTCAAATCTGAGTAGGTAGCTGACTATTTTCCATCCCAGACTGGACTGCCGCAAACAATGCCAAAGAGTAAAACCAACACAGAATATAAAAAAATAAAATAAAATAAAAGTGCATGAGGTGCATCAGTTAAATTTAAATCTGAACTAGTCGTAAATCATCCAATTGTTAATAAATTAAAAAAAAAACATACTTTTAATTACTATTACATCTACACAATATTTTTATCGCAACCATGCACCTTCCTCTTACACATAAATAGTATAGTTTATTTAGACGGCTTCGAGTAAAATGCGACAATTGGATTATTGTTGGTCTCTTGATTAGATGGATATGTAACATTATATACTCTTGATTGCACTTTCTTAGACGTGGGATGCCCCATTATGATGCCATACGGACGCGCGCTATATAAAATTGTTTCTAGAAAATGCATTTCATAGGGAGACACTTTGTGCATTGTAATCGAATAGGTTGAACAGCAGTTGATGCCCTGAAAGCGGAAAGAGACCATAAATATGAATACATTTAAGGGCATATCATTTCGTACTTTTTGGAATGTATATGTCTGAACCTTTTTCAACCAATCGATGGCGTCAGCTCGGCCTGGTATGAGATAGTACTCTAGGCCAATTGGAAAGAATCTCTGTCGATGATAGAGGTCTCTAGAGTCACCGTCCATGACATTTAACGCATTCATGCAGATTCCCATTTGATAGTCCTCCGTTCCTTCGCCTCCCGCCCTGCAAATCGATTTGCCGATTCCTCGGGTGATGAACATCTGAAGGGCCTTCCTGCTGAGCACATAGCCAGCTCCACCGGACATATAAGAAACATTCGCCAAATGAAAGTTACAGCCAAAGTGAATAGGAGTATCCGGGGAATAGCTGGAGAGCATATAGCGCATATTCTCAATTATAGCATAGGTATCGTCGTCGGCCTTAAAGAACCAGTCCGCCTCATGGCGATAGTGCCTATAGGCATGGCTGAAGGCGGCCTTTGTCTTGCCCCAAAGGAAATCGTAGCTATCGCTGATGTTCAGGCCAACAATTTCCACTCCCTCTCCAGGTATTCCCACGTGAGGGGAGCTGCTGTAAAAGACCACCCTGTTGCAGTGGCGTCCCCAGGTTTCGCTTATGGTTTTCGCGCCCCTGAGGTGATTTGTGGGCCAGGTCAGGACTAGACAGAGAACCCGCACGGATTGGCGCAGCCGTCTGGCCAGTGTATCATTGAGTGCCCTGGCCGGTATGTGAGTGGGGAAATGTACGGACCTTAGCTCTGGCAGTGAATTGACGTATCCATAGGGTCGCAGGTGATACAGCAGAAAGTCCAGGACGTGCAACTGATTCGCATTGACGTATGGGTAAAGGATACCACGACCAAAGCAGCTCTCCAAACCCTGAGAAGACAATAGGTTTCCTATCAAAACAGAAACACACATGCTTCCAATACTCACCTGATTTCCGTAGACCGATCGATAGATGCAGGGCCACAGCCAGAACTTGGTGCGCAGGTGGAAGGGCAACAACTCTTCCTGAACATTGAATGGTAAAAGAGCGTCGCTTGGTCCACGACCCATTCGAGCCAAGCACGACCTCAAGCTGGAGCCATCCTGCAGGCAATTCTCTGCCAAAAGGTGCTCTAGTGCTCCACGACTGAAAATGTGATCGGTGGATGCGACTTTGCCCACATGAGCGTAGGAATAGAAGCCGTGTTCGGCACTGAAGTAGAGCGCCTGCGAAGCTGAATAGTGGGCCAGCATATGGCGGAGATTTTCCATAATCACATAGGTTCCCATAGAGACGCTCAACAGCCAATCCAATTTAATGTGGTGGTTGCGATAGATCCCAAGATACGCCTCCGTCAGACTGATCTCCCTCGAATTGAATATAAACAATTGATTGCAGCGACAGCCCCAAGTCTTCCGGATGTGCTCAGCCTTCATTTCATCGAATCCGTTGTCCAAATCCTCAAAATAAAGCAGGCAATGCACACGGACATTCTCATAAAGTAGCTTGCCTATGAGTTTGTCGTCCCACTGCTGCGCCCGTATGCCAACGTCATAGCTACTTATCGACTCCTTGTATGGCTTGAACACAATCTCATGAAGCTCGTAGAAGGCAGAACTGCGGAAAAATATTATAAGCTCGAGAACCACCAACCAGCCCACAAAGGACAGAACCAGAATTCGCATCATTTTTGCTACATGCACTCGAATAAATTTCATTTCCCCAGCTGTAGAATTGAACAATTAAATCGGATTGCTTTGATTAAAATATCATTTTTATTATTTTTTAAATTCAGAAATCAAATTTAAAATGGCCATACTTATAAACCCGATAATCATTATCATAATCTTATTGAATTGGTATCGGATCTCTTTCTGTCTATTCTACTATTCTACTATTCTGTCTGTTATTATTTATTTCAATCAATTTCTACTTTCGAGATCCTCCAAACTAATTTTTTCTACATAGTTTGCCGTATAATAAATGCGGCTGTCTTCGGCTGATATTCCTAACAAATATAGGGAAACTTCAATGTACAAACATTGTAATTCAATACATTGTAATTTTTGATGCCTCCATAGCCTCGAAGAGTTAAGGGGTATATTAGATTTGTGGTAAAAGTGGATGTGTGTAACGCAGAGAAGGAAACGTTTCCGACCCCATAAAGTATTTCGTGATCAGCACCAATAGCCGAGTAGATATAACTATGTCTGTCCGTCCGTCTGTCTTGATGAGCGCCTAGATCTTAGAGACTATAAGAGCTAGAGCCAAATTTCGTATCTAGACTACTAAAGTCATAAACATTAAATACCAGTTTTCAAAAATTCTTCAAAAAAAAGCTCTGACAATGAAAAAAAATCTTAATTCTTAAAAAAAAATGTAAGGCCCCTAATCGGTTAGGTTCCTTAAGGAAAAATCGTGTCGGGTAATGTGATTAGCGAAGAAGAGCCAATTGATTAAGTTTTGGACAGATTAGGGCAGATTCATTTACTTGTGCTAGGTACTTCGATTATAGAGGGCATTTTGGAGAAAACTTCGTCATCAGATTCTATTGGCGTGTTGAATTTCCATAAAGAGGTTCTCCCCATATTCACGGCATGTTTTGCTTAAGGATGCCCCAGCAGTGGACTTAACCAGCACTGAGTAAATATCAACAGTTGAAGCCTTAATTAATCAACATGTTACTGTAGTTACTGCAGACTCGGAATTAGCACCGTGTGTTAAATACCAAAAGCATAAGCACAAAAGCAGGTTATGTCTTAAGACAGCTAGTAAATGTGGAAAAAAGTTTGTAGATTCGGTATTCCATGCCCTCCAATGCACCAAACGGTCATATTGAGTCCACTGCCGTAGGAAACTCCAAAACTTGATTTTCACCAAGGAAATTTAAAGAAAAAAAAAAATTAAATTTTGATCAATTCCCTGATTGATTGATTGATTGATCACTTGAGTTAATTTGAGAACATTCTTTCGCACGAACAAATGTAAAGACAGCAGCACTTTTTTGTATTGCATAACCTCCCGGATCTCGTTGTTCCCCGAGCAACCACGAATTCCCCTAATATTTATATCTTTCAAATAAGTTTTTAATACGATTCATAAAGTGAAGACGTGATCAGTTACGGGAAGAGAAGATCAAACAGTAAAAGTCATTCAATCAATACGCATAATCAGCAGGCGTCTCCTTTTTTGAAACGTCTCCCGGCCGTAATTTGTAATCTTTATGCTTCTCGGCTGGACCTATTTTTGTCAGGCAAGGATTCGTTGATAAGTTCCCGACCGAATGGCCTCAGTCTATAGATCATATAGTCGAAATAAAACATATTCCGGGCCTGAACATAGTGAAAAGAAACGGCATAGTTGGACCAAGCGAAAGTTCCCTGTGATTTTTGCATTGTTAGGAAATTTAAGGTTTCAGATTTGTCAAGTATGTACGAACGTCTTGTCCCCTGTAGGAATTCGATCTAGCCTGCGGATCTATTAGGTACATCCGTCGTCGTCCCTTGAAGTCCCTTGAGTTCCCCGCCACGACTTCGACCTTCTCCAGGCACTCCTTTAGCTTGCCCATTGTGGCTCCCGTGTCCGTGGGCTCACACAGCTTTGGATTGGGCAGGGACAGTTCTACAAAGCGACGCAGAGCGGCCCGACTCATCACAATGCCTGGGGACCCGAAATATATGGGCATCGCCGAGCTATACGGATACAGCATGTGGCGCAGGTTCTCCATTACCACATAGGTCTCGGCATCTGCCTCCAGAAACCAATCGGCCTCGTCCAAATGAAAATCGTAGATATACTTCAGGGCCTGTTTCGTTTTCCTCCACGTCTCTATGCGGTTGCCATTGCCAGGCAGACTGACAGCTCCCATTTCGGTATCTTCCTTGTCGCTCATGAACACCAGCTTATTGCACCTCTTTCCCCAGGTCCGAAACACTCCCGTGGCTTGCAAATGGTGTTGGCTTGACTTCGTATATACGAAACACAAGACTCGCACCTCCTCATACAGATCTACATCGATTTTACTCGTGATGTTTACCGTGCGATTCGGTCGGTAACTAAAGGGAATCATCGGCCAGAGTAGCACTTGAGTTATCAGATAGCCAATGCCAATGCCCAGGAACAGGAATAGCACTGGACCAGAAAATGTGGATGAAAGATGATGGCTGTTACGCTCTGGAAAAAGCGATTTCTCAGCTGCCATCTCTTCGGGTCTAAGGTTGGGGTAGTACTAAGAGTCTGCTAGCCCCACAGTGTGTGATCTGTAATAAAATTTCAAGCACATTAGTTACGCCTTAACCTGATCACGATGCTGAATAACTATTACAATCTTTCGGCTCTCTAGTCCAAAACCCCAACACCAATCCCTTTAATGTTAAAGTAGATTAAAAGTAAGTAGTACTAATTGTTTCTATGACATCTCTAAGACACTGAAATCAATAATGAGAGTTTACGAAACGAAATATAGATATTTGTATAAATGTTTAAAATTGCATTGGATTGTGAAATAATCACATATATATATCCCTATATTCATAAATATGTACATATGTATTTAAAAATCAATTGTTGTGCGTGTGTCCTTAATGACCGTCGTCTGTGTCATAGATTCTAGTTTCACGTGAACGTCTTTATACCACTTTAATTAGCGGGTCAAGATCCGTAGAACCATGGTTTAATATGTTAATTCAGTTGTGAAATTAAAATTAAATTTGTAATCGTCTCAATTGTACAGTGAAAAACATCGATAGAGTGCACGATACTGACACTCGATACTTCAGTCAATAGTAACGATCGTATTCCTCTACACTTTATGACGAAGCTAGTATGAAAGGCAGACATATCAGTCGAATGGATGTGGCATTATTGGTGTCAAAACGATGTTATCCAGCACGCAAAGACCTGCCAATATTATTTCAGAGTGGGAGTGTGATCTCGCTCACACTGCATGCTCTTCCCATAAGGCTCTTATCACGGTCTCGCTGTCTTATCGTGAAGTATATTAGAATACGACCATGGACAACAAAACAGAACAGAATGCTATTGAAACATTTTTTAATCGTACATATTTGTACAGGGAGTGCTCTGAAATTTAAAATGGTTTTGGCGTTCTTGCACACAATAGCGATCTTCTTGGTCAATCGATGATTCTGAGCAAGCGATACCATCGCTAGAACAGATCGTCACCACTGAAAGTTCCCGCCTTTCTCCATCTTAGTTTTGCGTGAAGTTGGTGTTGGCGGATTTTATAATAAAGAATTCAATTACTGATCGCAACCAAGTCGAATAAAACTCGCAACTTAGATCAACGCATTAGCCGACACGCATTAGAATGGCGGAACATGTAAAGTATCTGGACGATCCCTATAAATCGGAGAACGACAAGAAAATTTACAAGTAAGTTAGACCGCGCCATCGAAACACCCGATACGATACTCAATTTCCCTTTTTAGGTCCATTGAGCTGAACAATGGGCTTCGAGCTTTGATCGTCTCGGTACCAACGCTCAACATTGGATTAGTGCCCCATAGCGCCACCTGTGCCTTGATGGTCGACCACGGTCCATTCGCCGATCCGCGCAGCTATCAGGGTCTGGCCCACTTTCTGGAGCATATGATCTTCATGGGCAGCAAACCGGACTCCGAGGAGAACGTCTTCTTTGCGCACGTGAAAAAAAACGGCGGGGAATGCTCGTCGTCAATCTTGAGCGAGGACACGCTGTTCTCCTTTAAGGTATCCGAAAAAACACTTGGAGTCGAGTTTGGACTACTTGACATTTGCTCTGAAGGATCCGTTGATGCTGCAGGACACCATGGAACGTGGACGCGTTATCGTGGACTCGGAGTTTCAGCAGGTGGCCACAAAAGATAGTAACCGTCGCAATCAGCTGCTCGCCAGCCTGGCCACCGAAGGCTATCCACATGGATCCTTCAACTGGGGTAACATGAAATCGCTTAAGGACAACGTCGCTGACGACAATGCCCTGCACAAAGCGCTCCACGATGCCTGGCGCGACAACTACGCGGCCAATCGCATGTACGTGTGCCTGCAGGGTTCTCTGTCGATCGACGTGCTGGAGAGCATGGTGGTACGCCACTTTTCCAAACTGCGCCGCAATGACATCAAGGCGCCCGACCTGACCAAGTTCGATTACCGCAACGCCTTCCGTCCGGCGTTCCATGAGCAAGTCTTCCTCGTCGAGGCCGTGGAGAAATGGTGCAAGTTGGAGCTGACCTGGGTGCTACCCAGTATGCGTCCGCACTATCACAGCAATCCAGATAAGTTTCTCTCCAACCTGATCGGGTACAAGGGAGACGGTAGTCTCCTCGCCTACCTGGAGCGTCGCCACTGGGCCTGTCATCTCGACGTTGGCATAGACGAGACAGTCTTCAATCACCACTCGATGCACGCCTTTTTCAAAGTGAACATTGGCATCAACAACGAGGGATTCAAGCACATCGATGAGGTGCTGTTTGCCACCTTTGCCTATTTGCAGATCTTCTCCAACTGCGTCAACGGTTCCTTGCATCAGTTGTACGAAGAGCAGCAGAAGAGTAAGGCCGCAGAATTCCGTCTCCCGGATCGTCTCTATCGCTATGATGTCGATGAATTGGTCTTCAGAAGCAAATATTATCCCCCAAAGGATGTACTCACCGCCAGGAAGCTCACCTACGACACCGACGAGCAGCATCTGTCCGAACTGATCGGGATCCTCAACAGTTTCAAATTCAATCTAATGATTACCTCGCAAAAGCCGTACAAGGGCATACCCTACGACAAGCAGGAGGAGTGGTTCGGCACCAAATACACCACTATACCCATGCCAGCAAAGTGGAAGGAGCTGTGGCTAAAATCCAAATCGAAACGCATTGCTGAGCTCTTTCTGCCCGAAGCCAATCCCTTTGTGGCCCACGACTTCACGCTGTTCTGGAATGAGCAGGGCAAGCCCAAGTTGCCGCCTTACCCCAAAAGGTTGGTCAAGACCGACACCTGCGAGCTGTGGTTCCGACAGGATGACAAATTTGGGAAGCCCCAGGCCTACCTATGCTTCTTTTTTATCACGCCGCTGCTGCGTCAGAGCGCGAAGAAGTAAGTGATTTTCATCTCACACTATTTCAGTCTAGTCTAGACTAGTCATCTAATGTACTTCCAAAAACTCTTGATGCTCCTCTTCGTTTCTTGCAGTGCTGCTATGTGCGACTTGTACGTTTCATTGGTGCAGGTGCACGTGCAAAAGGAACTGGAACTCGCCCAAAAGGCCAATCTGAACTGCCGATTCATGGTTGACGACAATGGTTTGAGGCTATTTGTGAGCGGCTACAATGAAAAGCTCCATCTGATTGTGGAGGCCATTGCCGAAGGCATGGTCAATGTGGGCGCCACCCTCTTTGAAGGTCTACTGACCGCCTACCGCCAGATTCAGGGCGAGTCCTACTTGAAAAGTCTGAACTATTTATCCGGCGTCAGCAGGTAAGGTATCTCCGTATGCTATCTGCATCTCGAATTATAATTTGTGATCCTAGTGACATCTTCTGCCGTGTGCTGGGAGAAAAGCCATGGGCGACGAAGGACATGTACAAGTCCCTTGATGGCATCACTCTGGAGGATATGAAGGCATTTGCCCAGAAGCTGCCGCAGGAGCTGTACATCAAGGCCCTCATACAGGGAAACTACACGGAGGAGGCAGCCCACAAGGTGCTCAATGCGGTCCTTAGCCGACTAAAATGCGAGGCCATTAGGGATCATCGGCTCGTGGAGAGTCGCATCGTGAAGCTTCCGCAGGGCGGCCGCGTCATCTACTGTGACGCCCCAGGCGAGCACATTACAACCACAAATGTCACGAACTACTACCAATTCGGAGCGAACTCTTTACTCGTGGAGGTCATACTCGACCTCATGAGTGGGAACTTCAATACCCCTCACTTCTATACAGAGAAACTAGTTGGTGGAGAAGTGGAGGGCTGGGTTAACGTCAACAACGGCATTATCGGCTACTACCTTACGGCAGACTTGGAGGAGACTGCTGCAGGAGAGAGTGCCAAAGAACTGGAGAAAGACATCGAAGTATTTTTCCGCCAGGGTTGGTATTTTTTCGATGTAATAGATGACAAGACCTATGCGCACATAAAAGAGCAGCTTATCGATATATGCCTTGCCCCTTCCCGTACTCTGTTGGATGAGGTGGGAGAAAATTTTAATGAGATCATCGAAGGGGACTATATTTTCGGTCGTAACCAGAAGAAGGCCGATGTGTTGCGCACCCTAACCAAAGCGGATGTGATTCGCTTCCTTAACGACACGAAACCCACCAATTTGCGCAAACTGTCAGTTCAGGTTATTGGGCATAAACCGACAAATGCAGAAGACCAAGATGAAGACGAATTCGAAGAGGAAGACGAATTCGAAGAGGATGACCAATACGAAGAGGAGGAAGATACCATTACCTATTTCAGAAACGGCCTTGAGACTTACCCAAAGAGCACGGTGGAACCAAGTACCCTCGGAAACTAGCCTTAGCCCTGCCCTGAGCAATCTGTGAGCCAGACATCCCATGAATCAAAGAGGTACCAACATCACACATGTTTGTCCATTTCAGAATTAATATAGAGTTGCATACAATCCAGACCAAGTCAGATCCGTCTGCTGATGAATTTCAGTTTTATCGAATATTGTTATTAAGAAAAATATTTTATCACATTTATCATCTTCTAAATCGTCTGACCAAGTCAGGACAAGGAAACCATTCATTCTAAGTTTAATTGAATTATCATTTTGAATTTATATTCCCACGCATTTATCATTATCTTCATAAATGGATATATGTAGATGAATACCTAAGTTTAATTCGATATGAATATTAAAAGTACATTTCCGAACATTTATTATCATCTTCACATATGGATATATTCTTGCAAGTCTGTAGGGGGGAAATATTGACTTGAGTACATTGCCTTGGGGCACTAGGTATCCGTTTTACGTATTCATGTGGCTATCGCTTAGTACATAAAATACGTATGTACAGCACAAACTGTCCTTCCAGCACATTCCCAGCCTGAATGAATAAATGAAGTGGATAGAGTCCGATAGGGCTCTGCGATTATGGGATTCTGCAGCAGTGCGCATGGACCTCGAAGCATGCAACCTGGTAGAGCAGGACGCCCATCACTACATTCAGGTCGTGGAATCAGAGAAACATTTTTGAATACTGATAACCGAAAACGGCGGTGACTAGTATGTGTCTGTTGAGCGTTGACAACTTGTCATCCAAGTGAAAATCGTAGATATACAGTCGCTCAGCTTAAATGAACCAGACGAATTTTCCAACTTGAAAGTGGTATAACTTCTGAACCATCTAGCTTACCACTGAAAATTAAATGTTTACTGATAGACAACTATTTAAAATTCAACAGACCTGACTTCATTTATTTGTAAACAGTTTTTACAATTAATTAAAATTTGTTTAATTTTTTATGTTTTGTATGTTCTGATCCAATATTAGCTGAAAATCCGTAATGCCATTTGAAGTCAGACTATCGAGCCGACGGAATCATTAAATGTCGGCACTTTTAAATTGTCCAGTTCCGAGCAATTCCCCATTTAAATTAAGTGTCGTTTTCCAGGTAAAATCAAAAACCATCTTTTACACGAGTTTTTCGAATATTTGATGGATGTTTCTTTATGTATCGATAGATAACATGTCATTGCCCCTACCCAAATCCCCAGCGGCTGACATTAGTGCCTAAACATGCACATGTCATCCTCCATTCACAGCTGCAGAGTTCATTTCAAGCTCTCTACAGAGCTTGACTTGCTTGACTTATGCCTGCTAAGTAGCCGATGAGGCAATTATCGTAGTCGAAGATTAGTCCTAAACTCGAGACATTATTCATCAATAGACAAACCTTGGACGACGTACACGTCGTGAAATAAGTAATCGGAATGTCCTTAATAATTTTACGCTATGCCAGTTTTGACTCATCCGCCAGAGCAATGCCATTGTATTTCAACTATTTTTATGCCCGTATTTAAAAAGAGTTAATGGGTATATTAGATTTGTGGTAAAAGTGGATGTGTGCAACGCAGAGAACGAATCGTTACCGACCCCATAAAGTAGATCTTCTAGATCTCAGAGACTATAAGAGCTAGAGCAACCAAACTTTGTTTCCAGATCCATGTGATATGCTATAAGTGTATAACAAAATTTTGCCTCGCCCCCTTCCGCCCACACAAAGGACGAAAATCTGTGGCAAAACGCAGTATCGTAGAGAATGTCCATATCTACCAGATTGCCGAACCTGAATCAGATCGGATCATAGACTTTGAAATAGACTTGTAGCAGTGTGATATCACATGAGTCTGGAAACCAAATTTGGTTTCTCTAGCTCTTATAGTCTCTGAGATCCAGGCGCTCATCGATACGGACAGACAGACATGTAATATACTTTTTTTTAATTCTAAATAATCATAAGCTCAATAATGTATATACTGACTGAGTACGGGTATAAGTAGAGTCGCATCCCCAGAATATAGGTCTAACTATTTTAGAGCATTAGTGATGCTGTTTTATCCGTGGAGAGATGAAGAGGCAGAGTTTGTGAGCAGGAATTGCGAGGATGCTTATAAGGATCATCAGGAATTAGTTAGTTCGAATTTCCAAAAATAAAATGCATTAGCAGATTTATAAGACGTGCTTAGGAGGGCCATGAAAGCCGAACCCAAAAGGTGGAAAATGATGAGGAATTTAGGGCTTTAGGGATTCCAGAAATAGGTTTTCAAGCAAATGTTCTAAACTTGAATGACCAGGCAGTGGACCCAGATAGAAGTATTCGAATAATTAGCTGAGTCAACAATAACCGGTTCTGCAGCACTTTCTTCCAACGATGCTCCTCAGAGGGCTAAAACTCTTGTTCAATTGCTGACTATCATAATTGCCAAATAACACAATAATAGCATATTAAATCCAAACGAATTGAATATTAATTCCCATTCCATTTTACCCTATTCTTATTAGACTCAGCACTTTCTGTACCTTTTTTACCTACAAATAGAGTTTGAGTTACTGCCTGTTCTCTCGTCTACTCTACAATGGCAATCATCAGAGGCAGTCGCCGAGTCTTCAGACCCTCATTTGCGCACCTTAGGAAACCCTCTCCGCAGTCTTTATGTACCAACCCAACTCACACACACAAGCACACATTTCTGATTTAGCAAATACATACAGCAATGTTTTCGTCCACACTTCCTCCAATATGAAAAGGGAAGCACTGTATGTGGATGGTAGTAGGGCCACCAGTGCGAATGGACTTTATATCGTTGGGCCCTTCATTCCCCCGAAAACCAAGCAGCACTGTTCTTTCGCGAGAGCGATGGAGAACTTACTTTCCGCAAAGTTACTTTACACCCACTTCGATTGTTTACTCAATCCGTCCGAATTGAATATTTTCTTCCATGATACGGAAAAATTGCACTGCCACTTTGGCGATGCCTCTTCTGATGAGCTAATGCTCAAATCTTCTATTTTGTGCTTCGTTGGGGTTTCCACTTACTGAAATGAAGCTTATAATATTCCTGGCTATTCCACAGCACTGCGGTTAGATTTCCAGTCCGTAGCTAGAAGAGTTTGATCGAAAATAGGCATTCTTATATTAGTTAGGAATGATCTTTTAGATCACTTTAGAATTGTTCAAAGTAATTGATTTTACCCGGAAATAGCACCGGGATCTTAGCATCTTCAGTGTTCGAGTATGCTTTGTTTAAGTACAAATCTGTAGGTTTTATTGTTATTGACAGAACCCATAGTTATCCGTTGCCAAAATTTAAACACGAACTTAAGGACATAGTTCAGAGTAATCCGTTTTTAGGTAGCAATTCTCTAGTGTTAGGTGATCTTAATTTATGCCTGCATTCTCGTTCTGGTTGCTGTAACGAAATTTATTTTAGGTCTTTGTTAGGTTTGGACTCGTCAACAACTAATTGCAATACGCATTTTCACTGGGCGTTTTCAAACATTTCCGATGGCAGGGCCAACGCGCTTACCTTTGGGACTGTGTATCATTGTGGAATTTTAGTTAATGTTAGGGAGGCAACAGATTAGATTTCTTTTAGTTAGCAGGCATTATGTAAACACATATTTAATATTTTGTATATTTAAGCGTAATATTAATTAGTACTTTAGCTCTGTTTTTATACCCGTACTCAAAAAAGAGTTAAGGGGTATATTAGATTTGTGGTAAAAGTGGATGTGTGTAACGCAGAGAAGGAAACGTTTCCGACCCCATAAAGTATATATATTCTTGATCAGCATCAATAGCCGAGTCGATATAGCCATGTCTGTCTGTCCGTCTGTCCGTCTGTCTGTCTGTCTGTCTGTCTGTCTGTCTTGTTGAGCGCCTAGATCTCAGAGACTATAAGAGCTAGGGCAACCAAATTTGGTTTCCAGACTCATGTGATATCACACTGCTACAAGTGTATTTCAAAATTTCGCCCCGCCTCCTTCCGCCCCCACAAAGGACGAAAAACTGTGGCAGGCACAATTTTAAAGAAACATGTACAATCTACATGTTAGATGTATAATAGACATTTTATATGTAGATGTAGATAGCATATGTAGCAAAAAAATGTAAAATGTAAAATTTTTTTTTTTTTTCTAAAATTCTAAAAAATCATAAGCTCAAAAGTGTATGTATATACTGACTGAGTACGGGTATAAGTAGAGTCGTGTCCCCAGAAACGACTCACACGTTCCTTCTCGTTTAATTCTTTAATTTGTTTAAGAATTTTTAATTTGTATTCGTTTATTTTGTTTATTTAATTTATTTGTATGTATTTATATTTTTAGCCAAGGATTGGAATCCTGTTTTATAATTTTTTGGGGATATCTGGTTGGTAACCAAGATTATGTTTTGGCTGTTCCCCGTGGTGTTCCCTGGATACCAATTTAAAGTATTAAATATATGTATATTAGTTATAATGATTATATTTATATATGTATATGTATACATATATATTTATATATTAAATTGGTAGCTAATTCGAGCGCAGCTTACGTATAAAATATATAGAATAGGTGAAATACATAAATTATAATCTCACATATATACTGACTAAGTATTAAATTAGTGTCGAAAAGAAAAATATTGTCAAATGATTTCAAAGCTCTATCAGAAAAATTGGGTTTGGTTGCTTGATTAAAAATTGTGTTGGGTAGTGTAATCAGTAAATTCTTATCAACATTCTAGGAATTCTGATATTTATGTAAATGCCGTGAGCAAAGCATCAAGTCGATCAGTACGTTACGGAAATCTGCGCTATAATGTCACATTTCGAGGTTCTAATTCCAGTCGTGCTTTTCCTGCTAATGGCCTCAGCCGAAGTGGTTGAGAAAAACTGTGGCAACTCCAAAAACAAAGTATGTGTGCCGCGGATTTTGTGCGACAACGGAGCTGTCATTAGGGATGGCCGGGCACTGTTCTCATTTCGTACGTTGCTAGACGGCAATGAGGGATGCGATACCACCGAAGTCTGCTGCGCCATCACAGATAAGGTAGGTTCTGTGGGACCTACAGCGATCAGCTTCGTAGGGTAGGTGTGCAATATGTGTGTGTCATTTGGTTGCTCTTTCAGGTTGATACCCCCATTGTCCCGTTAGACGTTTCCACTCCAACGGAATGTGGACACCGAAACGAAATGGGTCTGCATACCACCATGACCGACTCAGCGGATGTGGCCCAGGTGGGTGAGTTTCCCTGGATGGTGGCTCTGCTTCGCAAGTCGGATAAATCATATTTGAAAGCTGGAACATTGATTGGATCAGATGTAGTCCTTACCGCAGCCCATGTCGTGTTCAATCTCCAAGCAGGAGAGTTTTTCGTCAGGGCTGGTGAATGGGACTTTTCAATTGAGACTGAATTTTATCGCCATGTGGATGTCGACGTAAGGCTTATCGAAAGACATCCGGACTTCCAGAAATCGTCGGGAGCGAACAATTTGGCACTGCTCTTTCTCAGTACGCGAATAAACCCACAGCCCCACATCAGCCCCGCTTGCCTGCCTAGAGCGAACAGGAATTTCGACCATAGCAGATGCTTTGTCAGCGGCTGGGGCAAGAAGACGTTTTCGTCCAGCTCCTACATGAATATATTGAAGAAAGTTGAGGTGCCCGTGGTTGGTCGTGAACTGTGCCAACAACAACTGAGACGAACCATCCTCGGCTCCTACTTTGAGATCGACTCCAGCTTAATTTGTGCAGGCGGCGAACGGGGTAGGGACGCGTGTAAGGGCGATGGCGGAGCCCCATTGGTCTGTCCTCTGGCCAACGATAACCGACGCTATGAACAGGCTGGCATTGTCAATTGGGGCATTGGCTGTGGAGATCAGAACACTCCGGCTCTTTACACAAATGTTGCCCTCTTCCGCGAATGGATTGATCTGAAAGTTTCGGAAAAGTCAGTTTCCAGAAGTAATTTTGATAGTGGTACTGGAGGTACTGGCTCTGTGAATAATGGTGGGTGTTCGCACAAAATCTGGTCCGTTCTTGTCGGCTCCAACTTAAATATCCAGATCAATAACCTATCGAACAAATCCAAAGAACCAGCTATGATTCCCAAATAAAGTGCTCTGTAAACTCAATTATTCCCTGTTAAATATATAGTCACCGATTTATAAATATAAAATAAACGAGAAGGAACGTGTGAGTCGTTTCTGGGGACACGACTCTACTTATACCCGTACTCAGTCAGTATATACAGCTTATGATTTTGTCGAATTTTAGAAAAAAAAAAAAATTTTACATTTTTACATTTTTTTGCTACATCTGCTATCTACATCTACATATACAATGTCTAGTCTACATCTAACATGTAGATTGTACGTGTTCCATTTAGATTCTACATCTCCTCCGCTAGGGGTTGCTCGCGCACTGAACGCGGCAGAGTGTGCGAGCGAGAAGGAAAATGAGTTGCGTTGTCGTTTTCTGGAGGGGGGGGAGGGGAAGCAACTTAAAATTAATTTCGTCATTCTGGCTATAATTATGATCCGATCTGATTAAGATTCGGCAGTCTGGTAGATATGGGCATTCTCTACTATACTGCGTTTTTAGTTTTATCGTATCTTTAAAACTGTGCCTGCCACAGATTTTCGTCCTTTGTGTGGGCGGAAGGGGGCGGGGCGAAATTTTGAAATACACTTGTAGCAGTGTGATATCACATGAGTCTGGAAACCAAATTTGGTTGCCCTAGCTCTTATAGTCTCTGAGATCCAGGCGTCAAACAAGACGGACAGACGGACAGACAGACATGGCTCTATCGACTCGGCTATTGATGCTGATCAAGAATATATATACTTTATGGGGTCGGAAACGTTTCCTTCTCTGCGTTACACACATCCACTTTTACCACAAATCTAATATACCCCTTAACTCTTTTTTGAGTACGGGTATAAAAAAACTAAAGCGCGGCACTAGAATTCTGCAGCTGATAAACGGGAACGTGGAAAGCTGATTAAAAGGTCAGACGCCAATCTGCTTTCCTAGACAAATACAGTGGAAGTCTATAGAAGATGGAGCAGAAGAAGAGCAGAAGAATAACCATAAGCGTACATATTGTATGTTGATTTCTTTTTTACCCTAAATCCTTTTTCTAATGGTATCCGATCCCGCTACGAATATACACACATACAGAGCAAAGCTTCTTCTGGGTGATTCCGCACAATCAAGCCACTTTGCTCCGTCGCCTGCTGCAAATTCTTCCCACGGTAAACGAGGTCTATTGATACTGTGGGACAGCGGACAGGGGACAGGGAACACCAGGCAGCCGAATCAGCGACCAGGACCACAACACCGCACAACAGAGCAGAGAAGAAGAGTCAGAAAAAAGGAGGGAGTGAAGGTAGGGAGACGAGGAGAGGCAAGTACTTTGCCAGAAGCAGGACATTGCGGTTAGTGCTGCGTTAAATGCTTCCCTAGAGCAGTGAAAATATTTTATTAGAGCTATTGTTCTTTCGCGATTCACCAATAACTTCAATTCGATGCAAGTCTGTCGATGTAGGTATAAATGGATCCTTGTTTAAACGCCCCAATATATACCTAATGATGGTCTTAAGATCAACATTTAAGCCTTGTTTAGATTGAACCCCCCAGAAAATCCATTAATCTGAATGTTGATCGGAGTTTCCCAAAAATCGTTATCAATCTTGAATTCTCTAAATGAAACAGCGATAAACCCAGGTTCTAGGCCATTTTCGGGGTAATGAAACATTAAAATTGAATTTCTGCATAAATATCAAAAAGATTGTTTGTGTTGGCCTTTGGCTTTAGCTATGACACTGATAGCTGCGGTTGTTGCGCCTTTGCCAACTGAACGTAGGAATAGAAGCCGTGTTGGGCACTGAAGTAGAGCGGCTGCGAAGGTGAATGCTGCGCCTATGGCGGATTTTTTTTTATAATCACATAGGTTCCTATAGAGAGGTCTGTCTATTTTATTTATTTCAATCAATTTCTACTTTCGAGATCCTCCAAACTAATTTTTGCTACATATTTTCCCATCTAATACATGCGGCTGTCTTCAGCTGATGTGCCTCACAAATATAGGGAAAATTTATAACGTCCAACTTTCTTTCCCCTTAAATACCACGATTGGGATTCTAGTTCCCGCCGTTGAAATCATAAACTACTCGATCGCTCGTGCAAGTGATCTTCCGTATAATGGAACATCACCCCCTATTGCCCCTCTCTGGCCATAGCGTTCCTCTGACTCGAAACAACATAAACAACATAAATTGGCTAAATAGTCATCTAAAAGTAGTTGTACCCGATCAGACAATCGAATGTAGGTGGTTTTGTTGCTGAATGGAGTGGTGTGGGGGACTATCTGGCATCAGCTAGCGTAACAGTCTGGAGGGGTTCGTGACATCTCCGCTCAACACACCTTGTTACCCCTTTCTAAACCATTTAGGAAAACCTAACACACTTGCTTACTGCATTCTTAAGATTTATTTATGTTCCTTCTTAAACATAAGTGCTATTTAGATGCACATGATAGTAATCTACATGTTTTTACTGATAGAAAGAAATGATCAAAACAACACGAAATGCTTGCTTCTTGCTGGTGTATGTCATAAAAATAGAATTCTTCATACGATTATGCAAACAAAAGGGAATTGGCCTTGCAGTTCTGATACTCTCTTCTTTTTCCTCTTTCACGTACTACTGTCATTTTCTCAACATTACTTTAAATTACGCCTTATTTTCGGTGGCATAACATACAAATATACAATTTATATACCTTACATTTTGTCTCTTGACACTTCAGGTGGCAAAAGTCTTTTTCTGAGTGAGCGCTTTGGATAATTTAAATGCACAAATTTCCAAGGATTTGGAAAATGGAAACCTTTAAGTTTCGGAGATATGAGCATTCAACGTTGACCACTTTTTCAGTAAGCAGCATTTGCTCAATTTGTATGCACATACATACTTCATCTTTTAGGGAAAATAAAAAAGTAAACTATGGCGCCCCTACCGCCCCCACAAAGGACGAAAATCTGTGGCAGGCACATTTTTAGAAATACGATAGAACTAAAAGCGCAATATTGCAGAGAATGACCATATCTACCAGACTGCTGAATCTGAATCAGATTGGATCATAATTATAGCCAGAATGAATAAATTTTTAGTTGCTTCCCCTGCCCCCTCCTGCCAACGGCAAAGCAACTCATTTTCCTTCTCGCTCGCACACTCTGCCGCGTTCAGTGCGCGAGCAACCCCTAGCGGAGGAGATGTAGAATATAAATGGTACATGTATAATCTACATGTTAGATGTAGAAGATGCATAATATATGTAGATGTAGATAACAGATGAATCAAAAATTTAAAATGTAAAATTTTTTTTTTTAATTCTAACATTCTAAAAAATCATATGCTCAAAAATGTAAATACTGACTGAGTACGGGTATAAGTAGAGTCGCGTCTTTAAAAGCGACTCACACGTTGCTTCTCGTTTAAATTTATTTTTTATTATATTCTGTGAATATTTTTTAATCTATGTACGTATATGGGTCAATAGACCGATTTGTGTCGCAAACTCGCACAAAAAACAACCAAAACAGCGCTGCCGCAGGTATAATAAAAACAAAAACGATGGACCAAAATAAAAAAAAAATTTGTAAAATCCAATTAAGGTACAAAAAAATACAAAATTATTATCTTTTGTAAAATTGACTATTACAAAATTTTTTATCGGTAAAAAAAATATATATATTAATCATATGCACTTGCAACAAAGTTCAACTTTCACTATTTATTGTTAAGTTTAAGCACCATTTAAGCAGCATGTTCTCTTGCAAACGTAATTTTTAAAATTTTTTCTTTCAAAAGCAATTTTTTTCATGAAGTTATCTTGATTTTCTCGGAAGCTATTAAATTAGCAAGCATTTTACTTTTTGTTTCTTTCGTTTCGCGTTTATTTATTTATTTTTTTGTTTCTGTTACGTTTCGTTAATTTGAGCTGTAAGATTTGGTAAACCTCGCCGTACGATCCGTAGTTTGCTTGGCTGCTCAGAGCGGGTGGAATCCACTCTTCATTCACGACGGTTGCGCTGATTTTGGGTGTAAATCGGAATTTAGGACGCTGCTGGACTCTATATTCCCACTGCCTCGACAGAACGTTTGGCTGCTGTTGCAAAGGGTTCATTGACCTGTGGTTTTGCTAGTATCTTCTCTGCTTTCTGCACACCCAGCGTACAAACATTTTCATTCAATACATTGTAATTTTTGATGGACTCTCTGTACCCCATATTTTTAAATAGATAAAGAATGATCGCGTCCTATTCTTCGATGGTCTCGAATGAGATTAATCCAGCCCCCTTCCGGCGACAATATTCGTAAGCGCCAAACCAGTTATTTTTATACCCGTACTCGAAGAGTTAAGATTAGATTTGTTGGATTATTAGATCGGATTATTAGATTTGTGGTAAAAGTGGATGTGTGTAACGCAGAGAAGGAAACGTTTCCGACCCCATAAAGTATATATATTCGTGATCAGCATTAATAAATAGTGGGTCCAATACGTTCAAAAAAGCGTTCCGCGCTCTGCGAAAAATAAACCAAAATTGCTATTTGAACTCTGTAATGACAAATCGCTGCGAGAGAAATTATTAAAAAGTACAGCTAGATTTCGCACAGATAGATAAACTAAAGTACTGCTAGATTTCGCACAGATAGATAAACTCAATTGCAGAGCTTTAATGAGAGAGCATGGATCAGCAACAATTAAGCTGACAATTGCCTTTAATTCAATAAATTTCTTAAGATTTTTTCCGTGCAATCACCTCTGGACACCATGTTATCACTAAATTCTTATCAACATTCTAAGAGTACTGAGATTTCTTTATAATTGCCGAGAGCAAATGCTCAAGTCGATCCGCACGTTACCGATATCTTCGCTAGAAATGTCACAAATCGACGTTCTAGTTCCAGTCGGGCTTTTCCTGCTAATGGCCGCAGCCGGAGTTCTTGGGAAAAACTGTGGCAACTACAAAAATAAATTACATATGTGTGCCGCGAATTTTGTGCAACAGCGTAGCTGTCCTCAGGGATGGACGGGCACTGTTCTCATATAGTTCGTTGCTGAATGTTGTTGTCTGAATGTTGATCGAGCCAAAATGTGATCGGTGGAAGCGACTTTGCCCACATGAGCGTAGGAATAGAAGCCGTGTTGGGCACTGAAGTAGAGCGCCTGCGAAGGTGAATGGTGGGCCAGCATATGGCGGAGATTTTCCATAATCACATAGGTTCTCATAGAGACGCTCAATAGCCAATACAATTTAAAGTGGTGGTTGCGATAGATTGAATTGAATATAAACAATTGATTGCAGCGACAGCCCCAAGTCTTCCGGATGTGCTCAGCCTTCATTTTATCGAATCCGTTGTCCAAATCCTCAAAATAAAGCAGGCAATGCACACGGACATTCTCATAAAGTAGCTTGCCTATGAGTTTGTCGTCCCACTGCTGCGCCCGTATGCCAACGTCATAGCTACTTATCGACTCCTTGTATGGCTTGAACACAATCTCATGAAGCTCGTAGAAGGCAGAACTGCGGAAAAATATTATAAGCTCGAGAACCACCAACCAGCCCACAAAGGACAGAACCAGAACTCGCATCATTTTTGCTACATGCACTCGAATAAATTGCATTTCCCCAGCTGTAGAATTGAACAATTAAATCAGATTGATTTGATTAAAATAGCATTTTTATTATTTTAAAAATTCAGAAATCAAAGTAAAAAATCTTATAGTCTCTGAGATTTATGCGACAGACGGACAAACGGACGGACGGACAGACGTACAGACAGAGACTCGGCTATTGATGCTGATCAAGAATAAACGATTCCCTTTCTAGGTTACACAAATCCAATTTTACCACAAATATAATATACCCCTTAACTCTTTTTGAGTACGGGTATAATAAAAATGAGAATTGTTCATGTGGACGCCATTAGCATTGCCATTACCATTACTTATTTCACGACGCATAAGTCATCCAAGGTTTGAAGTCTAATAGCAGGCATATTATAACTCAATTGATGAATAATTTCTCGAGCTCAGAACTAATCTTCGACAATGATAATTGCCTCATCGGCTACTTAGCAGGCATAAGTCAAGCAAGTCAAGCTCTGTAGAGAGCTTGAAATGAACTCTGCAGCTGTGAATGGAGGATGACATGTGCATGTTTAGGCACTAATGTCAGCCGCTGGGGATCTGGGTAGGGGCAATGACATGTTATCTATCGATACATAAAGAAACCTCCATCAAATATTCGAAAAACTCGTGTAAAAGATGGTTTTTGATTTTACCTGGAAAACGACACTTAATTTAAATGGGGAATTGCTCGGAACTGGACAATTTAAAAGTGCCGACATTTAATGATTCCGTCGGCTCGATACATTCATATCTGACTTCAAATGGCATTGGGGATTTTCAGCTAATATTGGATCAGAACATACAAAACATAAAAAATTAAACAAATTTTAATTAATTGTAAAAACTGTTTACAAATAAATGAAGTCAGGTCTGTTGAATTTTAAATAGTTGTCTATCAGTAAACATTTAATTTTCAGTGGTAAGCTAGATGGTTCAGAAGTTATACCACTTTCAAGTTGGAAAATTTTTCTGGTTCATTTAAGCTGAGCGACTGTATATCTACGATTTTCACTTGGATGACAAGTTGTCAACGCTCAACAGACACATACTAGTCACCGCCGTTTTCGGTTATCAGTATTCAAAAATGTTTCTCTGATTCCACGACCTGAATGTAGTGCTCTACCAGGTTGCATGCTTCGAGGTCCATGCGCACTGCTGCAGAATCCCATAATCGCAGAGCCCTATCGGACTCTATCCACTTCATTTATTCATTCAGGCTGGGAATGTGCTGGAAGGACAGTTTGTGCTGTACATACGTATTTTATGTACTAAGCGATAGCCACATGAATACGTAAAACGGATACCTAGTGCCCCAAGGCAATTTACTCAAGTCAATATTTCCCCCCAACAGACTTGCAAGAATATATCCATATGTGAAGATGATAATAAATGTTCGGAAATGTACTTTTAATATTCATTTCGAATTAAACTTAGGTATTCATCTACATATATCCATTTATGAAGATAATGATAAATGCGTGGGAATATACATTCAAAATGATAATTCAATTAAACTTAGAATGAATGGTTTCCTTGTCCTGACTTGGTCAGACGATTTAGAAGATGATAAATGTGATAAAATATTTTTCTTAATAACAATATTCGATAAAACTGAAATTCATCAGCAGACGGATCTGACTTGGTCTGGATTGTATGCAACTCTATATTAATTCTGAAATGGACAAACATGTGTGATGTTGGTACCTCTTTGATTCATGGGATGTCTGGCTCACAGATTGCTCAGGGCAGGACTAAGGCTAGTTTCCGAGGGTACTTGGTTCCACCGTGCTCTTTGGGTAAGTCTCAAGGCCGTTTCTGAAATAGGTAATGGTATCTTCCTCCTCTTCGTATTGGTCATCCTCTTCGAATTCGTCTTCCTCTTCGAATTCGAATTCGTCTTCATCTTGGTCTTCTGCATTTGGCGGTTTATGCCCAATAACCTGAACTGACAGTTTGCGCAAATTGGTGGGTTTCGTGTCGTTAAGGAAGCGAATCACATCCGCTTTGGTTAGGGTGCGCAACACATCGGCCTTCTTCTGGTTACGACCGAAAATATAGTCCCCTTCGATGATCTCATTAAAATTTTCTCCCACCTCATCCAACAGAGTACGGGGAGGGGCAAGGCATATATCGATAAGCTGCTCTTTTATGTGCGCATAGATCTTGTCATCTATTACATCAAAAAAATACCAGCCCTGGCGGAAAAATACTTCGATGTCTTTCTCCAGTTCTTTGGCACTCTCTCCTGCAGCAGTCTCCTCCAAGTCTGCCGCAAGGTAGTAGCCGATAATGCCGTTGTTGACGTTAACCCAGCCCTCCACTTCTCCACCAACTAGTTTCTCTGTATAGAAGTGAGGGGTATTGAAGTTCCCACTCATGAGGTCGAGTATGACCTCCACGAGTAAAGAGTTCGCTCCGAATTGGTAGTAGTTCGTGACATTTGTGGTTGTAATGTGCTCGCCTGGGGCGTCACAGTAGATGACGCGGCCGCCCTGCGGAAGCTTCACGATGCGACTCTCCACGAGCCGATGATCCCTAATGGCCTCGCATTTTAGTCGGCTAAGGACCGCATTGAGCACCTTGTGGGCTGCCTCCTCCGTGTAGTTTCCCTGTATGAGGGCCTTGATGTACAGCTCCTGCGGCAGCTTCTGGGCAAATGCCTTCATATCCTCCAGAGTGATGCCATCAAGGGACTTGTACATGTCCTTCGTCGCCCATGGCTTTTCTCCCAGCACACGGCAGAAGATGTCACTAGGATCACAAATTATAATTCGAGATGCAGATAGCATACGGAGATACCTTACCTGCTGACGCCGGATGAATAGTTCAGACTTTTCAAGTAGGACTCGCCCTGAATCTGGCGGTAGGCGGTCAGTAGACCTTCAAAGAGGGTGGCGCCCACATTGACCATGCCTTCGGCAATGGCCTCCACAATCAGATGGAGCTTTTCATTGTAGCCGCTCACAAATAGCCTCAAACCATTGTCGTCAACCATGAATCGGCAGTTCAGATTGGCCTTTTGGGCGAGTTCCAGTTCCTTTTGCACGTGCACCTGCACCAATGAAACGTACAAGTCGCACATAGCAGCACTGCAAGAAACGAAGAGGAGCATCAAGAGTTTTTGGAAGTACATTAGATGACTAGTCTAGACTAGACTGAAATAGTGTGAGATGAAAATCACTTACTTCTTCGCGCTCTGACGCAGCAGCGGCGTGATAAAAAAGAAGCATAGGTAGGCCTGGGGCTTCCCAAATTTGTCATCCTGTCGGAACCACAGCTCGCAGGTGTCGGTCTTGACCAACCTTTTGGGGTAAGGCGGCAACTTGGGCTTGCCCTGCTCATTCCAGAACAGCGTGAAGTCGTGGGCCACAAAGGGATTGGCTTCGGGCAGAAAGAGCTCAGCAATGCGTTTCGATTTGGATTTTAGCCACAGCTCCTTCCACTTCGCTGGCATGGGTATAGTGGTGTATTTGGTGCCGAACCACTCCTCCTGCTTGTCGTAGGGTATGCCCTTGTACGGCTTTTGCGAGGTAATCATTAGATTGAATTTGAAACTGTTGAGGATCCCGATCAGTTCGGACAGATGCTGCTCGTCGGTGTCGTAGGTGAGCTTCCTGGCGGTGAGTACATCCTTTGGGGGATAATATTTGCTTCTGAAGACCAATTCATCGACATCATAGCGATAGAGACGATCCGGGAGACGGAATTCTGCGGCCTTACTCTTCTGCTGCTCTTCGTACAACTGATGCAAGGAACCGTTGACGCAGTTGGAGAAGATCTGCAAATAGGCAAAGGTGGCAAACAGCACCTCATCGATGTGCTTGAATCCCTCGTTGTTGATGCCAATGTTCACTTTGAAAAAGGCGTGCATCGAGTGGTGATTGAAGACTGTCTCGTCTATGCCAACGTCGAGATGACAGGCCCAGTGGCGACGCTCCAGGTAGGCGAGGAGACTACCGTCTCCCTTGTACCCGATCAGGTTGGAGAGAAACTTATCTGGATTGCTGTGATAGTGCGGACGCATACTGGGTAGCACCCAGGTCAGCTCCAACTTGCACCATTTCTCCACGGCCTCGACGAGGAAGACTTGCTCATGGAACGCCGGACGGAAGGCGTTGCGGTAATCGAACTTGGTCAGGTCGGGCGCCTTGATGTCATTGCGGCGCAGTTTGGAAAAGTGGCGTACCACCATGCTCTCCAGCACGTCGATCGACAGGGAACCCTGCAGGCACACGTACATGCGATTGGCCGCGTAGTTGTCGCGCCAGGCATCGTGGAGCGCTTTGTGCAGGGCATTGTCGTCAGCGACGTTGTCCTTAAGCGATTTCATGTTACCCCAGTTGAAGGATCCATGTGGATAGCCTTCGGTGGCCAGGCTGGCGAGCAGCTGATTGCGACGGTTACTATCTTTTGTGGCCACCTGCTGAAACTCCGAGTCCACGATAACGCGTCCACGTTCCATGGTGTCCTGCAGCATCAACGGATCCTTCAGAGCAAATGTCAAGTAGTCCAAACTCGACTCCAAGTGTTGGTCGGATACCTTAAAGGAGAACAGCGTGTCCTCGCTCAAGATTGACGACGAGCATTCCCCGCCGTTTTTTTTCACGTGCGCAAAGAAGACGTTCTCCTCGGAGTCCGGTTTGCTGCCCATGAAGATCATATGCTCCAGAAAGTGGGCCAGACCCTGATAGCTGCGCGGATCGGCGAATGGACCGTGGTCGACCATCAAGGCACAGGTGGCGCTATGGGGCACTAATCCAATGTTGAGCGTTGGTACCGAGACGATCAAAGCTCGAAGCCCATTGTTCAGCTCAATGGACCTAAAAAGGGAAATTGAGTATCGTATCGGGTGTTTCGATGGCGCGGTCTAACTTACTTGTAAATTTTCTTGTCGTTCTCCGATTTATAGGGATCGTCCAGATACTTTACATGTTCCGCCATTCTAATGCGTGTCGGCTAATGCGTTGATCTAAGTTGCGAGTTTTATTCGACTTGGTTGCGATCAGTAATTGAATTCTTTATTATAAAATCCGCCAACACCAACTTCACGCAAAACTAAGATGGAGAAAAGGCGGGACACAACTTTCAGTGGTGACGATCTGTTCTAGCGATGGTATCGCTAGACCAAGAAGATCGCTATTGACCAAGAAGATCGCTATTGTGTGCAAGAACGCCAAAACCATTTTAAATTTCAGAGCACTCCCTGTACAAATATGTACGATTAAAAAATGTTTCAATAGCATTCTGTTCTGCTTTGTTGTCCATGGTCGTATTCTAATATACTTCAAGTTAAGACAGCGAGACCGTGATAAGAGCCTTATGGGAAGAGCATGCAGTGTGAGCGAGATCACACTCCCACTCTGAAATAATATTGGCAGGTCTTTGCGTGCTGGATAACATCGTTTTGACACCAATAATGCCACATCCATTCGACTGATATGTCTGCCTTTCATACTAGCTTCGTCATAAAGTGTAGAGGAATACGATCGTTACTATTGACTGAAGTATCGAGTGTCAGTATCGTGCACTCTATCGATGTTTTTCACTGTACAATTGAGACGATTACAAATTTAATTTTAATTTCACAACTGAATTAACACATTAAACCATGCTTCTACGGATCGTGATCCGCGAATTAAAGTGGTTCACGAGAAACTAGAATCTATGACACAGACGACGGTCATTAAGGACATACGCACAACAATTGATTTTTAAATACATATGTACATATTTATGTATATAGAAATATATATATATGTGATTATTTCACAATCCAATGCAATTTTAAACATTTATACAAATATCTATATTTCGTTTCGTAAACTCTCATTATTGATTTCAGTGTCTTAGAGATGTCATAGAAACAATTAGTACTACTTACTTTTAATCTACTTTAACATTAAAGGGATTGGTGTTGGGGTTTTGGACTAGAGAGCCGACAGATTGTAATAGTTATTCAGCATCGTGATCAAGTTAAGGCGTAACTAATGTGCTTGTAATTTTATTACAGATCACAGACTGTGCGGCTAGCAGAGTCTTAGTACTACCCCAACCTTAGACCCGAAGAGATGGCAGCTGAGAAATCGCTTTTTCCAGAGCGTAACAGCCATCATCTTTCATCCACATTTTCTGGTCCAGTGCTATTCCTGTTCCTGGGCATTGGCATTGGCTATCTGATAACTCAAGTGCTACTCTGGCCAATGATTCCCTTTAGTTACCGACCGAATCGGACGCTAAACATCACGAGTAAAATCGATGTAGATCTGTATGAGGAGGTGCGAGTCTTGTGTTTCGTATATACGAAGTCAAGCCAACACCATTTGCAAGCCACGGGAGTGTTTCGGACCTGGGGAAAGAGGTGCAATAAGCTGGTGTTCATGAGCGACAAGGAAGATACCGAAATAGGAGCTGTCAGTCTGCCTGGCAATGGCAACCGCATAGAGACGTGGAGGAAAACGAAACAGGCCCTGAAGTATATCTACGATTTTCATTTGGACGAGGCCGATTGGTTTCTGGAGGCAGATGCCGAGACCTATGTGGTAATGGAGAACCTGCGCCACATGCTGTATCCGTATAGCTCGGCGATGCCCATATATTTCGGGTCCCCAGGCATTGTGATGAGTCGGGCCGCTCTGCGTCGCTTTGTAGAACTGTCCCTGCCCAATCCAAAGCTGTGCGAGCCCACGGACACGGGAGCCACAATGGGCAAGCTAAAGGAGTGCCTGGAGAAGGTCGAAGTCGTGGCGGGGAACTCAAGGGACTTCAAGGGACGACGACGGATGTACCTAATAGATCCGCAGGCTAGATCGAATTCCTACTTACGCTACGATCCCAATTACTGGTACTGGCAGTATATCTCCTACAGGGGACAAGACGTTCGTACATACTTGACAAATCTGAAACCTTAACTTTCCTAACAATGCAAATATCACAGGGAACTTTCGCTTGGTCCAACTATGCCGTTTCTTTTCACTATGTTCAGGCCCGGAATATGTTTTATTTCGACTATATGATCTATAGACTGAGGCCATTCGGTCGGGAACTTATCAACGAATCCTTGCCTGACAAAAATAGGTCCAGCCGAGAAGCATAAAGATTACAAATTACGGCCGGGAGACGTTTCAAAAAAGGAGACGCCTGCTGATTATGCGTATTGATTGAATGACTTTTACTGTTGATCTTCTCTTCCCGTAACTGATCACGTCTTCACTTTATGAATCGTATTAAAAACTTATTTGAAAGATATAAATATTAGGGGAATTCGTGGTTGCTCGGGGAACAGAGCGATCCGGGGGTTATGCAACAAAAAAATGTGCTCCTCTCTTTACATTTAATATCTTCGCGGAATTTGGATGGTTTGACGAATCATCAGACTTTTCATGGAAACAGATAAAATCGTGGGATGTCGGGTCAGGTTTAGGTTGAGCTTTCAGGTTTAGTCTAAAATTTCAGCAACTGTAAATTCAGTGAATTCACTACGAGTTATCAATTCTCAAGCGAAAAATCGCGAAGCACTGGGCACTAGGAGTTATTCTTTTGAGCTGCATTCTACTGGGAAGAGGCGATCCCACTCCATATGGGAGAGTGTGTGTCTCTAAACACCGCTGTTTACCTCAAATGGGGACCTACCGAATGGCCGTGTGCCAAGACTCGGTTTGATGTTTGCTGCGACATTTTGCAAGTGGTAAGTACGAAGGAAACCATTCGATATGTACATTAGTTTACTTCTCATCCGACTGCTTTTTTTTATACAGTATGCGTGAGATGATGGGATTAAAGTGGGAGGCGTCAAAGATGAAGATTTTTGCGGCAGGAGCAATCTTGTCAGAGCTGGAGATTGGGAGCGCAAAGAATTTAGGATTGTTAAGCAAGAGACGTTCAATGTGAACACATCAGTCCCATTTGCTTGGTCAGCGCGGAGAGGTCCATCGATGGTCGCCGGCTGGGGAAAAAAAGCACACAAGGATGAAGAGTATTCGAGCATACAGAAGATAATTGAATTGCCCATCGCGGACAGGGCTACGTGCCAGAATCAGTTGAGGCAGACCGAACTAGGCAGATCCTTCGTCCTGGATCCAAGCTTCATTTGTGCTGGTGGTGAGAAGGATCAGGATACCTGCTAGGGCAATGGCGGCTCCGCGTTGTTCTGTCCCCTGGCCGAATAATACCTAGACTTACTCGTATGTAGGGAATCTCTGTACTGGAGTTACATTCAGCCAGTCAGGTGGAACTTAGGTGGAATGACTTATAGTTCACATATTTTTAAGGGAAAGTGGCATTATATTATATGTCAGCATGTCGATATTTGGTTTATTTTTCTAGTCGTTCAAAATTTTAAATTCAATCAACCGAAATTTAATAAATTACACAGTTGTTTTTTGTTACTTTTTAGTTGCCTAAATAAGTCCTCCCGAAATTTTGAGCCTTATTCCCAAAATTAGACGTCAATAAACTCTTTGTAGGGAAAGACCTGAGATGGGTGGCCTTCTGGAGAAGCCCTCAACGGACAAGGAAATAGAAACGGGGACCGGCAATGGACTGCGGTATTGTGTCTCTGCGATGCAGGGTTGGAGAATGGAAATGGAGGATGCCCACACAGCTGTGTGTAGCCTGGAAAAGCCCTTCGACTTTTGGTCATTCTTTGCGATTTATGACGGCCACGCAGGAAGCCGCATATCAACGTATTGCTCGGAACACCTATTGAGTACCATAATATCAAATGAGCAATTCGCAAGGGGTCAGTACGTTGCAGGAATTCGAGCAGCTTTCCTGCAGATCGACGAGGAAATGCGGAGACTTTCTTATGATAAGTCAGGTGGCACCACTGTCACATGCGCATTTGTGTCGCCGGACAAGATCTATCTGGCCAACTGCGGCGACTCACGTATTGTTCTCTCCCGAAACGGCCTAGCTGAGTTCAGCACTTCTGACCACAAGCCGACTCTTCCCTTGGAAAGAGCCCGCATAGTACGCGCTGGCGGAAGCGTGATGATCCAACGGGTGAACGGAACACTGGCAGTCTCCCGTGCGCTGGGGGACTTCGACTTCAAGTGCGACAGCACGCGCTCCAGCTGCGAGCAGCTCGTCTCTCCAGAGCCAGACCTGACTGTCATCGAGCGTAAGCAGACCGATGAATTTTTGGTGATTGCCTGCGATGGCATTTGGGACGTTATGAGCAGTGAGGATGCTTGCGCATTCATTAGATCGCGTCTACGCGTGACGACCAACCTAAAGTCGATCGTCAATAGTGTGTTGGACATTTGCCTGCACAAAGGCAGTCGTGACAACATGAGTTTGCTGCTGTTGCTTCTACCAGGTGCACCAATGGTAAATGACGACGCCGTGGCCGCCGATCAGCGTCTTGACCACACTATTGAACAGTTGACACTGGAAGTCATTCAAAAGAATGAAATAATGGACTTTGACGAGTTGCTTGCCCTGATGAATGCGATGGCCACCAATATTTCAAATTTACCCCCTGGCGGTGGCATCTACGCCAAGTATCATATCATTGAGCGAGTCTTTCATGACGCCAATCCTGATAAGCCACCCGAATTTTTCGAGTACAATTATTAATTAGCATAGCCCATACAATATAAGAATATATTTAGACCGTTCTGTTGCATCATTTATTTCATATTAAGCATTGCAAACTAGCTTGTGCACACATACTACGTACAGTATTTTCTTCTGCAGTTATAACATTTAGTGCCCCGATCCGATCCGAGCAGGAATGACACTGGGAACAAATATAGGTTATCTCTGATCTTGATCGATGGTTACAGGAATCGCTTAACATTTGACTTGCTCATTACTTGTTCATTTAATATAATATTCTCGCCACCATTGCGTACGAGTATAAGTAGCTCTCGGAACGTTTTTTCTTCCGCATTCGAAGACACCCAGTTGACAATACCAACAGTAGAACGTAAACCAAAATGCAATCTTTCTATTTGTATATTGTAATTCTGTATTTTGTCTGGCAAATTGCATCTAATTTAATTATATTTCGAATATGAGAATCAACAATGAACCTGAACAGAGTAAGATCAGATGCGATGCTAAGATCGACATATACATATGTACGTCTGTAGTTATAATTTATATAGTCATAGTTATAGTTATTATACCCGTACTGAAAAAAGAGTGGATGTCTGTCCGTCTGTCCGCCCGTCTCTCTGTCCGTGCGTCTGTCCGTCTGTCCGTCTTGATGAGCGCGTAGATCTCAAAGACTATAAGAGCTAGAGAAACCAAATTTGGTTTCCAGACTCATGTGATACTCTCTGCTACAAGTGTATTTCAAAATTTCGCCCCGCCCCCTTCCTCCTCCACAAAGAACGAAAATCTTTGGCAGGCACATTTTCAAAGATACGATAAAACTAAAAACGCAGTATCGTAGAGAATGACCATATCTACCAGATTGCCGAATCTGAATCAGATCGGATCATAATTATAGCCAGAATGAAGAAATTAATTTTCTGTTGGTTCCCCCTCCTTCTACAAAGCTGTCTACGCTACTGATTCTCTTTCTCGCTCGCACACTCTGCCGCGTTCTGTGAGCGAGCAACCCCTAGCGGAGATGATGTAGAATCTAAATGGTACGTGTACAATCTACATGTTAGATGTAGAATATACATTGTAGATGTCGTGTAGATGTAGATAACAGATGTAGCAAACAATTGTAAAATGTAAAATTTTTTTTTTCTAATTTTTTAATTCTAAAAAATCATAAGCTCAAAAATGTATATACTGACTGAGTACGGGTATAAGTAGAGTCGCGTCCCCAGAAGCGACTCACACGTTCCTTCTCTTTTTTAAGTGTGCATATGCCTAACACTTTCATTCTGAATTTGTGGGACAATAACATCATCCAAATTAATTTAATTTAATACAAAAAAATATCTCATGTTATATACACACTTTTCAATACAGCGACCATTTATTTTGGTAAAACCATACAAATATCGTGCACATAATAAAATCTTTAAATATGAACAAGTTTGGCAATAAAGTTGTCACGTTTAATGCTGCCACTAATGACAAATTTGCTCTATATTTCCTATACTCACCAATTAATTGTGACTCTTCCTCGTTGAAGTCCAGTTCACATTGAATTTCTCGTGTCTAACAATCCTCAAATCTCCAGCTCTGACAACAATATCGGCTACCGACTTATACGCCAGGAGTTGGGCTGCTGTGAAGACATAAGGAGTGGGATCGCCTCTTCCCAGTAGAATGTAGCTCAAAAGAATAACTCCTAGTGCCCAGTGCTTCGCGATTTTTCGCTTGAGAATTGATAACTCGTAGTGAATTCACTGAATTTACAGTTGCTGAAATGGCGATATTTATGCTGGCGTTTTTAGACTAAACCTGAAAGCTCAACCTAAACCTGACCCGACATCCCACGATTTTATCTGTTTCCATGAAAAGTCTGATGATTCGTCAAACCATCCAAATTCCGCGAAGATATTAAATGTAAAGAGAGCAGCACATTTTTTTGTTGCATAACCCCCGGATCTCTCTGTTCCCCGAGCAACCACGAATTCCCCTAATATTTATATCTTTTAAATAAGTTTTTAATACGATTCATAAAGTGAAGACGTGATCAGTTACGGGAAGAGAAGATCAAACAGTAAAAGTCATTCAATCAATACGCATAATCAGCAGGCGTCTCCTTTTTTGAAACGTCTCCCGGCCGTAATTTGTAATCTTTATGCTTCTCGGCTGGACCTATTTTTGTCAGGCAAGGATTCGTTGATAAGTTCCCGACCGAATGGCCTCAGTCTATAGATCATATAGTCGAAATAAAACATATTCCGGGCCTGAACATAGTGAAAAGAAACGGCATAGTTGGACCAAGCGAAAGTTCCCTGTGATATTTGCATTGTTAGGAAAGTTAAGGTTTCAGATTTGTCAAGTATGTACGAACGTCTTGTCCCCTGTAGGAGATATACTGCCAGTACCAGTAATTGGGATCGTAGCGTAAGTAGGAATTCGATCTAGCCTGCGGATCTATTAGGTACATCCGTCGTCGTCCCTTGAAGTCCCTTGAGTTCCCCGCCACGACTTCGACCTTCTCCAGGCACTCCTTTAGCTTGCCCATTGTGGCTCCCGTGTCCGTGGGCTCGCACAGCTTTGGATTGGGCAGGGACAGTTCTACAAAGCGACGCAGAGCGGCCTGACTCATCACAATGCCTGGGGACCCGAAATATATGGGCATCGCCGAGCTATACGGATACAGCATGTGGCGCAGGTTCTCCATTACCACATAGGTCTCGGCATCTGCCTCCAGAAACCAATCGGCCTCGTCCAAATGAAAATCGTAGATATACTTCAGGGCCTGTTTCGTTTTCCTCCACGTCTCTATGCGGTTGCCATTGCCAGGCAGACTGACAGCTCCTATTTCGGTATCTTCCTTGTCGCTCATGAACACCAGCTTATTGCACCTCTTTCCCCAGGTCCGAAACACTCCCGTGGCTTGCAAATGGTGTTGGCTTGACTTCGTATATACGAAACACAAGACTCGCACCTCCTCATACAGATCTACATCGATTTTACTCGTGATGTTTAGCGTCCGATTCGGTCGGTAACTAAAGGGAATCATTGGCCAGAGTAGCACTTGAGTTATCAGATAGCCAATGCCAATGCCCAGGAACAGGAATAGCACTGGACCAGAAAATGTGGATGAAAGATGATGGCTGTTACGCTCTGGAAAAAGCGATTTCTCAGCTGCCATCTCTTCGGGTCTAAGGTTGGGGTAGTACTAAGACTCTGCTAGCCGCACAGTCTGTGATCTGTAATAAAATTACAAGCACATTAGTTACGCCTTAACTTGATCACGATGCTGAATAACTATTACAATCTGTCGGCTCTCTAGTCCAAAACCCCAACACCAATCCCTTTAATGTTAAAGTAGATTAAAAGTAAGTAGTACTAATTGTTTCTATGACATCTCTAAGACACTGAAATCAATAATGAGAGTTTACGAAACGAAATATAGATATTTGTATAAATGTTTAAAATTGCATTGGATTGTGAAATAATATCCCTATATTCATAAATATGTACATATGTATTTAAAAATCAATTGTTGTGCGTATGTCCTTAATGACCGTCGTCTGTGTCATAGATTCTAGTTTCACGTGAACGTCTTTATACCACTTTAATTCGCGGATCACGATCCGTAGAACCATGGTTTAATATGTTAATTCAGTTGTGAAATTAAAATTCAATTTGTAATCGTCTCAATTGTACAGTGAAAAACATCGATAGAGGGCACGATACTGACACTCGATAGTTCAGTCAATAGTAACGATCGTATTCCTCTACACTTTATGACGAAGCTAGTATGAAAGGCAGACATGATATGACCAAATTAGTGTTGGTACTCGTCTCCACGGTACCATCAGTCGAATAGATGTGGCATTATTGGTGTCAAAACGATGTTATCCAGCACGCAAAGACCTGCCAATATTATTTCAGAGTGGGAGTGTGATCTCGCTCACACTGCATGCTCTTCCCATAAGGCTCTTATCACGGTCTCGCTGTCTTAACGTGAAGTATATTAGAATACGACCATGGACAACAAAACAGAACAGAATGCTATTGAAACATTTTTTAATCGTACATATTTGTACAGGGAGTGCTCTGAAATTTAAAATGGTTTTGGCGTTCTTGCACACAAAAGCGATCTTCTTGGTCAATCGATGATTCTGAGCAAGCGATACCATCGCCAGAACAGATCGTCACCACTGAAAGTTGTGTCCCGCCTTTTCTCCAACTTAGTTTTGCGTGAAGTTGGTGTTGGCGAATTTTATAATAAAAAAATTCAATTTGAATGTTTATTTCCCATGCATTTATTATGTATTCATATATGGATATATGTAGATGAATACCTAAGTTTAGTTCAATATGAATATTAAAAGTTGTACATTTCCGAACATTTGGTATCATATTAACATATGGATATATATTTTTTATTTCGAAACGTAATACACAAATACAAAAAATGGCAAATTTGAAGGAATATTAAAAATGGTAAAAAGCTTCAACATTGGGTTGCTATATCATTAGGTATATCTGTTCTATCACCACGAATCAACAATCCTGTGAAAGGTCGTACAATTTTCTTGTTAACGCATCACAATGTTTTGTGGATATCCGCGCTGCAGATTCTAATTAAAAATTATAAGTATGTACAGTTGTGTTCAATGAAATAGTAGTGCCGCACCTCATCACTTTCAAAACCCTTTTTGAGATATTTCTAGTCTTTCAAATTGAACAAGTGATACCTTTACGGAAAGCCTGGAACGTAAGCATTAGAAACTTGAAGAAACCCCATTACATTTGCATTCTATCTTCTTGTTATTTATGACTTTAGACAACTACCCAGGATATCTGCTGTTCAATGAAATAGTAGTGCTGGTTAAATTATTTTTTAAAAATGAAAAAACAAAGCAAATTTATTTAAATAAGTCACCACCCGTAAGCTCAATTTAGTAATCGAATAATTTGATGAAAGAAAGTTTTGTACATAGCGGTACTTTTGATTTTGAAGCGTTGAAGAAATCATTGCTCGGTCCAGAAGAGGAGACCTAAGAGTTAGAATAAAAACTTAAGGCAGGAGGTATAATGGGATTGAAAACTAAGTTGTAGGCACTCTCACTATTCTATTTAACCCAATTAACTAAAAGAAGTAGACTGGAAATCGATTTTGTATGCGAAAAAATTATTTTTAAGAGGATGGTCGGCGATGGTCGAAGGCAAGACCAGGCCTTTAATATCCTCAAAAATTATGAAAAAAATGTTAAATCGCTCTGTCAGTGATGTGACGGTTCTTAGACGGTCCATTACACATTATTTGAATGCAAAAAGTCCCAGAAAGCTCCGCGTTTGGGTCTAACAGTACATGGGTGGACGACTTCAGTTTGGAAAAACGCATTTGGAATGGCCTGTGTCACAGTGACAAAAATACTTTTGACTAAAGATAGTAAAGTTGTATTATATGGTAAGATAAACTCAAAAGATTATGTTTGGCATTCACAGAAAACCGATTACCACCTAAAATCATGAAAAAATTAACATTGGGCATGCTAGGCTGAGCCTTATGGGTCCCAGCTCATATAAGCTAATACTTTCTAGCCTGGCATTTGAGTGTAGTGTGGTTTTGAGCGAAACTGTGTATGTAGGTATACTTTAGAATACATTACATTCATATTACAGTTGAAAAATTCATGTTAACAGGATTTTTAACGGATAACGACTTAAAATACCCAGAAAAGCTCGTTAGGAATTAATTTTTATCGGAAAAGATCGACGTTTTCCATGGCCAACTGTCCAACTGGATATAAATCTCATCGAAATCTTATGCTGGAATACCAAATACATTGTTGACTGCAAATCCATGAACCAGAGCCAAGTTTTAGCAAGTGGTTCATGGATTATTGCTCAAATCCTATTGAAGCGTTGGCAAGAGATTAATGACCCATAGCCGGCCGGTGAAAGTTCGCAATGAAAACCAAATGATAAAAAACTAAATATTAAAGCTCAAGAAACATGAAGAACATGAAATATATGTTTTATTTGAGTTTCGTTTTTAATTCAAAAAACACTACTATTTCATTGAACAGCATATTTTATGGGTATCGGCTTATGTCATGTAAAACAAAAAGATGGAACTGAAATGTATGGATATTTCTTCGGTTTTTTAATGCTAACAGTCCAGTCTATTTAAAAAGGTATCATTTGTTCAATTTGGATAGCTGGAAGTGTCTCAAAAAGAGTTTTGAAAGTGATGAGGTGCGGCACTACTATTTCATTGAACACAACTGTACATACATTGAAAATGGCTCTGCTTGTTTAGTGGGTCAATATGAATCCATAGGGCACTAACACTTTTGGGGAAAAGTACCAACACTTTTGGGGAAAATTTGTGCCGAGAACTTTTAGACAATCATAAAGAATGAATGCGGCAAAAAAATTCTATTTTATTTTTGTAGGTGTAATATTCAAATATTACTTGAAGAACCTTACGATTGTCCGAATATTTATGTGCGTAAAAAAGTGATTTTTTTTCTTTACTAAATTTTTATAAGTATACCATAGTAGAAAATTTAAATATTTTTTGTGACCGGATTGTAGAAATGTTGACCTTTGATCTTTTTCTGTTTAACTTAACCGTACGCCAAGTTATAGGTTTTTAAACCAGGGTATAGTGACAAGGGTGTCCGAATAATATGTGTGCTTACTGCATATTGAAAATTTCAAATGTGAGCAAGTGGTCTACTTATACAGGCCTACAACCTAATTATTGCCTCATGATAAATTCTACTTCTACTTTTACATTTAAATGGATCAAATGCTGAACATATAAAATCTAAACTTTTTTTCCTTTACTTTACTTCTTCGACCTTTTGACCTCTTCGTCATTGGCCTCCTCGTCATCACTTGAGTCCGAATCGCCGTCGATTTCTCTGGTATCCCTGGAAGCAGCTTCCTTCGAGATCCGTTTCCTATATTTGGCCTCTTCCTTTTCCACCTCTCTCGAGTCCATTTCCCTAGCATCGGGCTCCTTGGGCGCCTCAGTGGTTGTGGTTACTAGCCTATCGTAATCATCCACAGAATCCTCATTGCTGGCCGCTGGTTGCTCAATCGGGGCCGGAAGAAATTCACCCACTGGCAGTTTGGCGGGCAGGCGTTCCAGTGACCTCTGCAGACCATATGGCTTCAAGTGATAGATCAGATAGTCCAGCACATACATCAGATTTGGCGGAACATAGTGAAAGGATATGGCCAGATCTGAGCAGCAATCGAGACCCTGAAAATAACATACAAGTCTTTGCATTATGGATATGCATTGGCGAGGACTTTTCTTACATCATCCGTCTTGTAATAAATATAGTTCCAGTACCAAAAGTTCTTATCCAACTTGGCGGGTATGAGATGCTGTTCGGGCACAAATGGAAACATACGACCGCGACCCATTGCATCCCTGGAATCGCCCGCCGTAACATTCAAGTTCTGCATGCAGCGACCGATCTCGATATCCTCATTTACCACAGTGCCCGGCAGGCACATTTTCGGATTCGGTATGCCCTCGACGACGAACCGGCGCAGGGCCTCTCGGCTGAGAACGTAGCCAGCTCCGCCGGACATGTAGCCCTGTTTGACGAACGGCTTGAACTTGAAGCCAAAGTGTACGGGCGTCTGGGGGCTGTAGGGATACAGCATGTAGCGCAGGTTCTCGATCACCGCATAGCTGTCGTCGTCGGCCTTGTAGAACCAGTCGGCATCGTTGTAGTGGTGCTGGTAAACATATGTGAAAGCCTGCTTGACCTTGGCCCACAGATTCTCTCGACCCTCTCCCACATTCAGTTTGACAGTGGGCAGCTCATCGTCTTGGCCGGAGCTCATAAAGAGCAGAATGTTGCACCGCTTGCCCCAAGTCCGCTTCACATGACGCGCCTTCTTCTTGTGGTTCGTGGGGTTTGTCATCACCCAGCAGAGGATGCGAACCTCCTTCTTCAGCTGCTCGGCCACGGTGGAGTTGTCGTCGCGGTGCTCATTGGAGTGATGCTGAAATACATCGCGATCAACTTGCTCGGCCTTGGCCGGCTTTCGGTCGACGTGGGGATCGCTGTGGATACGCAGTCTTCTGCTCAGATATGGGTATAAGCTTTCGTGAGGCACAATACTTGCAAACAACTGGGCCAGACAATAACCCACCACAACGCCCAAGATAAGGGTGAAGATCGAGCGATTCTTCGATCGGGGCGCTGTAATGTTTCCAAAATTAAAGACTCTTTCGTTGCTGGTCTCCTGAATTCCACCCAATTACCTTCAGTTAGCAGGGATCGCGTTAGAAGACTTGTGCTTGACATTTTGGTATTCCACAAATTGTTTCAGATCGGGTTTCTTTCACGTTTCACTTTCAACTGTAGCCCGTCTGGTGTTGGCCTGCTCCAAGATCACCTGTATCAACAACACATTGGGTTTTGTCACAAAGTTGGATATTCTATTTTCTATTTCCAGCTCGAACTGAACCCTATAGCGTTTGATAACCGACTAAACCGAGGCAACGACTTCATCTGGTTCAGAACTGGTTGCTTTTCTTTTATCCCAATACAGTTGTTTAAACTTTAAACACACGACATATGAAGTAATAGTATTCGAAAATGTTAAAGCTATTCAATGCAACGGAAAAATACGTTTAATGTCTTAATGGACACAAAAATCGCATTTAATAACACGAAAATTGTCCAAAAATATTTCAAAGACATCTCTGTTATCACTGAAAATCAGTTAATTCATAATCTTTGCAGAAGAAATCAGTGCAGTTCAGTTTTAACTTAGCATAAAAGCTTTTTTGTTCTATTAACTTTGCAGCTTTTACACACATATGTACATACATATATATTTTTCGCCACGTTCGAAATGAAAGTAATAACTCGTACTAAACTTAAAAAATAGATTTTTAGCATGATCGATAGAAAATAAAATATGAAAACGTATGAAAGGTGTTCGGTTGAAATTTATATTTTCTTAAATCTATAGATTCTAAATTCTCCTAATTAAAAACACCCAACATTTTTCCACTAATCGTGTGTCAATTTATTATACTCTTTAGTTGCAAAAATGGGTCGAAGACTATACTTAAATCTTGATCAATGAAAGAAATTAATGAATTCTCGAATATATAGTTTACAAGGAAATAAGCAATAAACCACAGAAGAATTGAATATAACTAATTGCTAATACAAATACTTAGGAAGGCGTTTCAACGTAAAGCACTTGTCAACAATTGCTTAGCGTTAGAGGGGGATCTACATATGCTTTTAAATATGTGTATTTTCATATCATAGATAGTTTATATGTATGCCTATATATATATATATATATTAGTATATGTACAGAGGACTTTCTAACATTATCTTTTTATGTGGGGTCCATGTTAACAGTTATTATCGTAATCGTTAACGTTTTTATTATTGTTAGAGTTAAATTCAAAATACAAGCTCCAAGTGGTTGTTAATACGAATGATGGTTATATCTAATATATTTGTAATATATAATATATATGTATTTATTTATATATGTAATTTAGTATTCTTAGGGCCATTTACTTTAGCTTGGACGTGTTTTTTTCTATAGTGGATTTCTCTTTGATTGGTTTCTGTATTAGTGTTTGCTGCTGGGCTTCTCCATTTACACTGTGCAACACAACGAGGGGACTCTTAAACGAGCTTTCGATTTTCTGATATTTAAACCATGTACTTGACAAAAATGTACATAAATAATTATTTAATTAGTTGTATACTATTTCCGGATTCAAGATACTTTACAGTCCCTTCCATTGTTGCTCTTCTACTGATCTTTCGATTAAACATAAAGATAAAGGCCAACGTATTGTGCATAAAGGTACTTTGGAGGCATGGTATCATCTGTTTGTCATCTTTGTATATGTTTTTACGCCGGCATGGACGTGACCGTAGATGTAACCGTAGATGTTGCCGGGGTGATCATCGTTTTTGAATTGCGCGCTACAATCGCTCGGACCCGCTCCTGGAGATAATCACAAATGGAGCTGTACTTCTGCTGGTGCGCCAGTTCGAGGGCCGTCAGATCCTCCTGGTTTTTCACCAGGACATCGCTGCCGGCAGCGACCAGCTGCTTGCAGACGGTCATATGGCCGAACATAGCGGCTGCATGCAGAGCCGTCTCCCCATTTGGCAGCAGGCCCAGATTGGGGCGGTACTTGAGCAGCACTGTGGTGACCGCCGCATGCCCCTTGTGGGCGGCCTTAAAGAGCGGGGTGGCGCCGTCGCAGCGCACTGTATCCACATTGGCCCCGTTCTGGAGGAGCACCTTGCAGATGTGATCCTGACCCATTTGGGCGGCTATCCAGAGCGGTGTGGCACCGTCTATGCGCTTGATATCGATTTCCGCATGAGCCTGGATCAACAGCGACAGAACTGTCCGATGTCCGTTCTGGGACGCTATGAAAACAGGCGTGGCACGGTCCTGAATAAAAATTCAAGAAATATTAAACGGCTCTGCAGGCTGCTGTTGTTTCCACCCACCTTCATGTGAGCATTCACATTTGCTCCACAGTCGATCAGCTCGCGCACGATCTTCACATGGCCACCCTGGGCGGCCACAAACAGGGGCGTTCCCCCGTCCGCGGAAGCCGTGTCCACATTCGCTCCCGCCTTCATCAGAATCTTCACCACGTCCAAGTGCCCTCCCTGGGCGGCAAAGAAGAGGGGCGTTGTGCCCGTTAAGCGGCGTGTGTTCGGATCTGCCCCCTGATCGAGCAGCTCCATCACGCAATATGTGTGTCCTCCAGCGGCAGCTAAGATAAGTGGTGTGGTCCCATCCTGAAAAATTAAAAGATCGAAAGTTGAAAATGAGATTAATTGGGGAACTGTTTCAAAGATAACGAAAGAAAACTTTTAGAAATGGGTGAAGGAAGAGATTGTGTGTTTTTAGGATTAACATTGATCCCTCAACGGAAATGTAAAATATCCAAAAATAAAGTGCTTGGCAAACATAAATTAACTACTCTCGGCTCAAGCCTATTAAGTAGCCACTAACATAAATCAGTGTTTAATTGAAGCCCCGCTTAAATGCAATGCAAATCTTTCATTACCAATTCAGAGCGTTAACAGAAAATGAATTTGCTATAATTGTTTAATTGAGCATCAAACGATTTGAATGGCAATTTGCGATTAGTTTCACCAACTCGGAGCAAAATCGTTTCGTGTGGATTTGCATGCGTGTCTACGGATGGGAATCTGAGGAAAGTCCATGGCATTGCAAATCACAAATCGCTCTCTCGCTGCACTTAGACTGCACGAGGTTTCCCCTGGGCCGGTGAATCACGTAGAGCTGTGTGCCCTTACTGGGAGGGGGGCTCGGGCTCTGACTCTGAGTCTGGCAGACCAGCTGTTGGCACACTGCCCCCGCAGTCCACTTTCCTTTGCTCGTGCCCTCGCTTCGCTGACCGTCAAGTGAAATTTAATTTCTTTATTTTTATTATTTATTTTTGGTTTCGGTTTTTTCTTTTTTGCTGTAGTTTTCGACTTCTTTGCCAATTGGTGCGTGCTGAGGTAAACAAAGTGTTAACTGATTTAAGCGCTGCAAACTGTTTTTGTGTTTTATTTATTTAACTTTTTTATTATGTAATATTTCACTGACAGCGTTTTGAATTCGCATGGGTCACGCCTTAACGATTTTAAGGAACTGTTTATTAGTATCTCAACATATATATATTTTTTAACGATCTGATGCAATGTGTCATGCATTGACTGAATGCATGACTGAAAATGTCTGAATTTAAGCCGAGAAAGTGGGCTTAAGCCTTATAGCTAATAAAATAAAAAACTTGGCAATAATCTCACCTCATCCTTGCAGTCCACATGTACCTTTCCACTGTCCAGCAGCCGGAGCAGGGCCACCGCATCACCCCTCATGGCTGCCATATGCAGCTGCACATCCGAGGGCGTCTCTTTCTGTTGAGTGGAAAAGAGAAAAGTGGGGAAACAAATCAATTAACAACTTGAAATTGTATCAACTGTCAAAACCAGAAGATAACCTCTAGACTCTGTCCCGTGCTATCCGTACTGCATATGCCCCAGCTCTTCAGCTCTTTATGATGATGATGATGTGGGAAATTAATTTTCCCGTTCACAGTATGTAATTAGGGCCACTGCAGTAACACTCAACGCACAAGTTATTTCGTAGCGGATGTCGGACCACATTGAGTGCATTTTTACAATAGTTTTTCTGCTGCTGCTCTGATACAAAGTGAACATTAACCCTGAGATGATCGCACCTCATTAATAATAATAATTTTTTACTATTTTATCGGGGATTCCCTAATGACATTAATAATCAATATCCTACCCAATCAATAATTGTTTAACACATCCAGCAGTGACTTTACTTATAAATTTATTACCCAACACATTTCTACAATTTAATCTACCCAGCTAAGCTGTTCTGCTACCATTTTATCCGCCTATGAACCCAGAAACAAGCGAAGCCCTGACCATGTTCCCCAGAAAAAGGAAATTCAAGAAATATTCGTTCAAACTAAATGCAGTAAAAATGTCAACTTTGCGTTAATGAAGCGAATTAAGTGGGATAGATGGTGCTTGGCATGGGAGGGAGTGGGGAATATACATAAATACATGTGTACATGCATATGTGTGTATGTATGTATGTAAAAGAGGAAAGGGAACCTGAAGCACCTGTTGAGAGGCAACACAAGACGAGGTAAACACAAGTGAAAACCCTCACGTGACGTGACTCAAGATGCCTAAAGAAACAATGCAAATGCTGCTGCACTTTAAAATGACATAATGATGATGATGATGATGGCATCGCGATAATCGTAACACTGTTGATGATAATGATGTTTATGGTTAGCGTAGCAAAGTAGCAAATGCCAGCAACACAGGTGGGAAACACTTTTAATGCTTCAGACATGCGCTAGACAGAGCAGATGCGATTGCATCTGGGATCACCATATCATTATATTTTTCCCAATAAAAATCAGACAAATAACAGAGTTTCCTAAGTTCCCGTGAACAGCTCCATCCTACCTATCAATGCACTGCAGTATGCAGTTGGCTAGCACAAATTCCATTAAACTCACTCCAAATAGGCCAATTACCTGTTTTTTAGGTCAAGTATTGAGCATTACTTACCTTTAGCGACATGTTTAGTTCCTCTCTCCTCTGTCGTCTCTTTTCTCTGGCAATTGCACCTGCTTACAAGCCCGTTTCCATTGACCGATTTTTACGAACTGTAACGCTGCTGCTCCTCCAACTCCAACTGCAGCCACTTCTGGTTAAGAGTAACAGTGCAACAAGCAACACAGCAACAACAAATCAAATCACAGCAGAAACTGAGCACAGTAGAAGCGGCTGCAACATCATAGCCATCCCCACATTCAAGTCGGAGTAGAAGTCCAAATCCCAGTTCAAATCCAAGTCCAAGCGACCAGTTCCCAAAAGTCAAGCACTGCAAATAGGTGAAGAGAAAAGGCACGGGCCACATTAAAATTAAGTTTCCATGGGCAAAACAGGTTTTCCTGCACCTAAAATGAGAATTAGAATGCAAAAAAAGAAAAAGTTACTATCCACTTGGGAGGAGTTCCTGGGAAATGACCTGAAACCGATCGGTTACAGCCATGCTATAATGGTGTTTGGATGGTCTCAGGAATCTCAACCAAACAAGTTGCCTTCTGAAAGGGTAGCTGTAGCAAATGTTGCATGCGCCCTTTTTTTTAGATCAAAAGTAAAAGTTCGACAAAGGAAAACGATGTTTTATACGGGCCGAACTAGTTATATTTGAAACAGGACTATTAAATGGAATCAGCTGCCTTGGAACTACATGGCTATTAATATTTAAATGTGGCAATTACTCGTTGCCTTGCATTTTATAGCTTGAAGAAGCTTGAAGAACTAATACAAAGAAATAATAATAGTCTGTTATGGGCAAATACTCGTTAATAACTAATGTACGAGTGGCCAGCATTTGAAATTTTCTTCGGAATAACATGAAGCCAAAGTCTAAGAAAACCCCCATTCAACATGCAATTTGCATTTAAAATTTTCAATTATTTTCCATTGGCCTTGCTACTGCGATCTCTTCATTCAGGCAAGATGGTTCGTTAATGTAATATTATAGTATAGGTTTATCTTCGAATCAGGCAAAACTGTCAATGAAATTCACAGATATTATTTATAGCTTAGTTTTGTCTTCCAAGTTATTTCAACCCCATTGCTGGATTTTCAAACGAAATTTCTTATATGTATAGTATTTATAGCCTTAGCTCTAAAGTTTCTTTTATATCCATTTTGCATCTCATGCAGTTTGATTCGGTTTTGCATGTGGCAGCATTAGTTCGTGTTGGTTTTTGTACATTTTATAATTTCTGTGTTTTTTTATGGGAACGCCCTCTGACAATTGAGGGGCGGCCCCTTAGATCTGGTCGGGTCTGACTTGGATCTATCAGCACGCAACATAGGCTGGCCAAAGTGAGGCATTTTCATTTTCATGATTTTTTTAAAGTTACTTTTCCTCTGTCGCTACTTGTTTTATTAATTGCATTTCATGTCGGCGCAGCATTTTTTTCTGTATTTTGTTGCTTCTTTTTTTCAACTCTTACTAGCCGCATCATCGCCATCGTCATGATGATGGCTGCCTTATGCCTTTCAACTTTTGACCTAGAAAGTGCTTTAGTTTTAGGTTTTTTCCCGTGGGGCAGTATCTGTTACAGGCAGCCACAGCAACGCCAGCAGCCACGCACTTTTTGGTGCTGACATCATATTTACAGCTTTTCTTTTTCTCATTTCTTAAACACTCTTTTTGGCTTTTACTCGTTCTTAATTAATTCTTTAGAAAGATGATTTTAATTAGATGATTTAATAATATGTATGTGTACTTGGCCAGTAACCCAAAAGTAAGCCTGTATGATTAAATTTGTCCGATTCTCTGGCCGTAGGAGAATTGTCAAACTGTTATGGAATTAGTATGTACATCAGTTTTTGTCACGTTATATTATGTGTATATATTCTAGCTTAGCACTGCATATACTCGTGGGGGTATATTCTGCATCGTAAGAATACAGGTTAGTCATACGTTTTTGTACAAAGACTTTATTTCACCCGAATTGCTATCATAATTTAGAAATAACTTTAAAAATCTGTTCATATTTAGAAAGAAATGGAAAATATTAGGATATTGAAACTCAAGTTTTTATAGGATTATTTTCATAACGATAGGTAGGCCAAATAACTGATGTGATATGTGCTTCAAAACAAGCTGATATGATACTCATGTCGCAATATGGTTCCGTATGATTAGATATCTTTTGACGGCATTATAAATGTTGAGCAAAATCGATTATCAATACTCGTAGCTATTGTTACAACTTACAAAAAGATCATTAAAAATAATCTTTCTACCGAAGCTTTTGACAAATGTTTATTATAACACAACTATTATTAGTTTTCGAATACTTTCATACATTTGTATACATATGTATATGTACATACATATGTATGTACGTACATAGATTCTTTGGCACACTATAATTTGTTTCACTTTCGTTTTATTTCATTTACAATTATGTATATTAAGTATGGTTATTAGGCCTTTTGCTATTTTATATTTCGGTTTAAAAATAGCATCTCACGTTATCATGATCTCATATTTGCTTTACTCTCGCATAAATTCAGCTCGAAATTTACACATTATGCAAAAATATCACCGCACACACAAAAGGTCAATGGAAACCTGGCCGAGTCGCCGGGCCCCTTGGCCACTTGTGAGATCTCACCTCAAGAAGTTTCAGCCCCACGATAACAATAGCAACAATTCACCCGACACGCCGTTTTGCTTTTGACCAAATAAACGACGCTAACGAAGCACCAAAGGCGTTGAAAGCTGCCGAGAGAATGAATGAGTTGGAGCACAAAATGAATGAGACTGCTAGCTGCAGCTTTACAGCACTTTATACCCGGTACATGTGGAGGAGAAGGGTATATTTCATTCATGGAGTTAGATGCAACATGGAGTGGAACTACGATACACTACGATATCAACGATACCGTTTAATACTTTAATGTTCTGCCGAACGCTCTGCCCAATATTATTAATAGATCTAGTTTAAATTCCTAATAAACAAACTATCTTGCTTCTCCTCAATGCACTATGGACAAGCAGCCCGATCATAATAGTTTAAATAATTATTAAAATAAAGTCACATTATTCGTATTTTTAGAACTGAAAGTTTAGTTAACTTGATAGTTTTACTTACACAAGATAAGTTAAAGCCGAATATAAATTTTATAGTTTTAAAATTTTTAGTTATGAATGGATTTTCGAAAAAAATTCCAATAGATTCACATGAAATCCCCAAATAAAATAATGCGTTGTACGAATGCTGCTGGGTCTTATATGTATGTATGGATCTGTAATAGAGGGTAGAGTATAGTTGATAGACACGAGTAGAGCGGTTTACTCCTATTGCAAAAGAGAAAGAGTACAAGAGAGAGAACGACATCATGTTGTGTAAAGTGCAACGAAGAAGAAGCATGGCCTATCCTCGGGCGCTGCCGTCAAAGTTCATTGAATTTTTATGCGACTTCGACTCGCACACTGACGCCTATTAATAGGCAACGGTGAGATTGGTAGAACGGTAAATGTTGAGGCCCAGCGCGCGTTAAACCACAATGAAAACAATCCTGCCCACACGCACGCACACACCGAAGCAGAAAGAAAACCGATGGGACCTGCTTCCCATTGACGAAAATCATTGCTGACACCGAGCGAGGTCACGGAAACTCCTCTCTGTGCCAAAATCAATACTCACAAGCTCGCTGGGTCACACACACAACACACCATACACCATCCAAGGCTGCGTTTAGCAATTAATTTTATCTATCGCAATGATTTTAGACACTTTTCACAATTTACATTCAATTTACTGCAAAGGAATTTTTCCGACGCGAATTCGCTGTCTGTAGACATTTCAACGGAGCATTTTAGAAACCAAACCTGCTAAATAAGTGAACCAGTTGGTACAAATGAACCTGGAACATAATTCAGTTCTTTATGGTGGTATGACACTAGACTTCACCAACTTTGCTGCAAGGACAGAAATATCATGAAGCAAAACGCCAATGCCTGCTATTTGTGACAGAATAGATTAGAATTTAAAATTGAATCATATAATTTTCTAGCTCTCACGGAAGTGAACTGCTTTTATTTCCCGTAGGTCCATTTCTGTTTTTGGAGTTAGTCAGTTAGTTACCAAAGCAAAGTTACCTCCATAACAAAATATTTTCTCAACCGACAGATTGTTGTAATCGCAGGGTATAACTTCTATTAGGTATGGACACATAAATGCTTAGGTAAACTACTAGTAATTACGAGCTTAATAATTGTTTACTAAACGTCGAATAATTTACAGAAATTTATTTAAAGAATAAAAGGAATTTATCGTTAAATTTAACAATTAAGAAAACATAAATTTAAATTGAATTGAATAATTATTATACCCTTGACCGAGATATTAAAATATGACAATAGTTTGCAATCATGATTTGCATGCATACGCGAGTCGATATGTGTACATATGTATGTATGTAGACATATAGAAATTGTCTTAATTTTAGGTTTTCGGTTCTGTCGTATTTTCAATATTTGTGTATGTTAAGGTTTTTCGTACATTTAATCTGATTTTTTTGGATTTTCATTTAGCATTTATTAGAGTTTCATAAATGTATGCCTGAAAATTACTCAAGCAAAATCGGTAGATTTGCTAGTTCTGATCTCGGTCACTTAGACATTTTCTTATTAATATGGGATCTCTTAGAGAACCCCTTATTATGTTAACCAAAGGACCAACATCAACAGCATCAACATTATCGTGTATTGGTGAATTTTCGAGATAGATTTTGATCTTTTTGAGCTCCTCCCTCTGTTTGGTCACCCAAGTCCAACGTTGCACAAATGAATTGTCTATATTACGGCAACATCTTAAATTGAGAACTTTTAGGTTCGGAAGCCCCATCAGAAGGTCCAGAAGTTGGTCATTCGTAATGCTAGGAATGGCTATGTGGAGGTATAGAAGGCTCTCCAGCTTCAACAAGTCCGCCAAGGGGACGCTGTTGCAGGATACAACGAGTTCCTTGAGTGTAGAAATATTGCAAAGATGCTTAACCTGTTCTTCCCACAAATCGGGCCCGGACAGTATAAGGCTTTCCAGAGGAGAACCCTGCTTGTTGATCAATCCCTCGATAAGGGGGCGGTGCCACAGTGCCGTTATGCCACAACTGCAAATGTTGCAAACGAGGCAACTGGCAGACTAGCTCATAGTGCACTTTTGCATCGAGGCGGTCTACACCAAATGCCAGACTTTCCAGCTGTTTGCAGTTCTCTACCAAAATATCGAAATTGTTTTTAATGATATTTTGAATATATTGTCCAAAGTCCAAATGCCGCAATTCCTTCATTGTTAGGCAGCAGTCCGCCAAGCTCTCGGCATAGAATCCACGACAGGCACCCACCTCCAGAGATTCCAGTTGATCAAGAACATGCAATCCTCTTCCGCTATATGAGACAGCCTCCAAGTGCAGTTTCCTTAGACACGTGAATTGCTTGAGATTTAGAACAAAAGCAACACACCACTTATCTACGTCTGGAAAGCACAGATGAGCGTGCAAAGATGTCAGATGTTTAAGGCTGTTTAGATCGTCCCATCTGGTCCGTCGAAAGGTCATTTTCAAATTTCGGATATTCTTGCAGTGGCTCCGCAAGAGCCAAAGATGCTGATCGCCATTCGAACTTTTATTCAATTCGGACTCATAGCTAAGCAGATTATCAGCAACAATCTGCAACAGTTCTTCCAGATCTTCTTCGCCAAGACATTTCGTGAGCGATTCACCAAAATGACTGTACCGATGGCTTGCGTATCTCTTGAACATTTCTCGAATCCACAGGTTTGAAGAAGCGAGCCTTAGTTGGTCTTCTACCTGCAGATAATCAAATACAATTTTCCAGCAATCCTCGATAATATCAAAAATAGTTGTACGAGACGTTTCCACTGCGGCTTTCTTTGCAATGGGTGCGTCATCGGTGCAATCTCCAGCAGCTTTTCTCTTTCTATTGTCCGCGGAATCAGCTTCTCCCACATTGGTACCACAAGCTTTATCAAAAATAGTTGTATGAGACGTTTCCACTGCGGCTTTCTTTGCAATGGGTGCGTCATCGGTGCAATCTCCAGCAGCTTTTCTCTTTGTATTGTCCGCGGAATCAGCTTCTCCCACTGGTACCCCACATGTTGTATGAGACGCCCCGGCCGTGGGCGCCTCCCCCTTTTCTCTATTGTCCGCGGAATCAGCTTCTCCCACATTGCTACCACAAGCTTTTTCACTCATTTCGTTTCTTCCGTTATTTATATACATATGTTCTGATCGTTTTGACGCGCCCGAGCTGACTGAAAGATTCGGCATTGGACCGGACCCGGCGCAACTTTATCAGGCTCAATGTGGGGAGTTCCCCATTTCGCTTTCATAGATAGCGATAAGCCTAAAATAGAAAGAAGCTTTAAACTTTTTCAAGTTGCTCAGGGCAGTCTGTCCATACATACATATATGTATACACTTCATTATCTCCACGCGTAATCGTAAGTTCCAAGTTAAGTACCGATAGGAATGAAGAAAGTATGAATAAACATATATATTTATATATGTATGTACACACCACATATCTACGTCTGGAAAGTAAAGATGAGCGTGCAAAGATGTATACATATTTTGACTCACTTTATTTGGCTATAATCTCAACACTGTGCGACAAAACTAAATCTTTTGAATGTCTTACCTAATTATACCCGTACTCAAAAAAGAGTTAAGGGGTATATTAGATTTGTGGTAAAAGTGGATGTGTGTAACGCAGAGAAGGAAACGTTTCCGACCCCATAAAGTATATATATTCTTGATCAGCATCAATAGCCGAGTCGATAGAGCCATGTCTGTCTGTCCGTCTGTCTGTCTGTCTGTCTGTCTGTCTGTCTCGATGAGCGCCTAGATCTTAGAGACTATAAGAGCTAGGGCAACCAAATTTGGTTTCCAGACTCATGTGATATCCCACTGCTACAAGTGTATTTCAAAATTTCGCCCCGCCCCCTTCCGCCTCCACAAAGGACGAAAATCTGTGGCAGGCACATTTTTAAAGATACGATAAAACTAAAAACGCAGTATCGTAGAGAATGACCATATCTACCAGACTGCCGAATCTGAATCAGATCGGATCATAATTATAGCCAGAATGAAGAAATGAATTTTCAGTTGCTTCCCCTCCCCCTCCCGCCCACGACAACGCAACTCATTTTCCTTCTCGCTCGCACACTCTGCCGCGTTCAGTGCGCGAGCAACCCTTAGCGGAGGAGATGTAGAATCTAATTGGAACATGTACAATCTACATGTTAGATGTAGAATATACATTGTAGATGTAGATAGCAGATGTAGCAAAAAAATGTTAAATGTAAAATTTTTTTTTTAATTCTACAATTCTAAAAAATCATATGCTTAAAAATGTTTATGCTGACTGAGTACGGGTATAAGTAGAGTCGCGTCCCCAGAAGCGACTCGCACGTTCCTTCTCGTTTTAACTTTAAATTCTATTCGTTTGCATACAATGGCTACACCTGCAAATATATCAATCCAAAATCAATGTTTTCTACCATTTTTAATGTATCCTATACTTTGACACTAAAAAAAAAATTGTTTCTTTAGTTAAATTTAATTAAAAAAAAAAAAAACAAAGCTACTAATCATAAAAAATTGGAGTATCGAGTAGTGTCTTGGCCAGTGGAGAGTTCACTGGATAAAATTCAATTATAAAAAGTTAGCGGTGTCAAAATATTGCAATAAAATATTGAACGATTTGTCATGACAAAGAATAAAACATATGCATGTATGTACATACAAATATTGGACAAAATTATTGGAATTTTCATTTATTAGAGTTCCATAAAAGCATGTTTATAAATTATTCGCTCACCCAGGTACGAACACTATTGACTAATTTCACACTATCTGTATTACGGTAACTGCATAATACATTGATTATTTTCAAGCTCGGGAGTCCCTCCAGGAGGACCAGAAATTGGTCATGCGTATTGTTGGAGTTGGAGGGAACGCTGTGGCAGTTTACTTCGAATTCCTTGAGTGTAAAAGTCTTGCAAATATGCTTAACCTGTGCCTCCAATAAATCGTCCCAGCTTATGAGACCCTTTTTTGTTGATCAAGCTCTCGATTAACGAGTTGTGTACAGAACCGTAATGAGACACCTGCAAATGTTGCAGCTTGGGCAACTGGCAAACCATCTCATAGGGCGCCGATGAATCGAGGATCTCTACATCAAGGACCAGACGTTCCAGCTACTGGCAGTTTGTCAAAAGAATTTCCAAATTTTTTTTAGTGAGGGTATTAGGATGAATTATGTCTAGTTGTCGTAATTTTCATTTATTAGAGTTCTATGAAAGCATGTTTGTAGGTGAGCTTCATCGTATGGAATCCAGCCTATCGTTTATTTCGTCAAAATCCATATCCGTAATGGCTTCTTCTGAAAAGCTGTATTAATATATAAAAATCAATCCGCACCGCCCGGAACAATATTCATTTTCTAATTTTGAGGATTCGAGCAGTAGCTCCGTAAGAGGCACAGATGCTGATTGACTTTCGAAACGCGATCCGTCAGACTCATAGCTTATCATATGCTCGCAAACTATCTGCAACAGTTCTTTCAGTTCTGCGATTCATTCATATGTTAATACCGATGGCTTGCGTATCTCTTGAAAATCTTTGCAATCCCCAGCTTCGAAGAAGCGAGCCTTAGCTGGTATTTTACTCTCAGATAATCCAATACGACTCTCCAGCAATACTCATTTAAATCGAGAATTTTTGTACGAGACGTTCCCACATTTGGCTTCCTCTGCAATCCCGGTGCTAGAGGCTTTTTCACCATGAGCTTTTCTCTTTTTATTTTACGCGGCAGCATCTACTGACACATTGCTGCGTGTTCATTCGTTATCTTGTTCCTGTGAAATTTCAACCTTAACGTATGTGCTGTATATATGGATGGGAAGCCTGCTGAAAAAGGGATTTCTTAGTCCCAACTGCAAAGCCCTTTCACTCATGTCGCTTCCTGTGTTATTTTATGTTCTGCGGAAAATACAAGCCTTTACGTTTGTACGTATCTGTACGTATCGCTGTAAATTGGAGGACTTGTAAGTCAATAATGCATTTACATTCATAACTATTACGTACCCTACGTTAAATCGAAATCAGCTAAACCCGTCGATGGGTTCAGCTCGTTGTGCATGTTGGAATTTGACGACACTTCCTCGTTCTTGCATAGCCTGGACAACTACGTGATCTTCGCCAGATCAGCCAAACGTTGATGTTGTTTGAGGCTAAGTCGCATTCGTGCGCCACGTTCAGCTGGGGTAATCTGAGATTAGTTTGGTTTTAGTTCTTTTTCTGATGGGCGCTTACCAATGCTGATGTAGGCTTGTGCGTGTTTTGCTCGAACTTCGATTTGGATATTATGCTAGAACATATTTAAACCAAATAGTTCAGTAGCTCGAGGATTTAGTTAAGGCCGTTAATTCAGGCCTTATTTCTTAGTTAGATAGTTAATTAAATGCAATATACTTGCTATTGAATTCAAAGGCGATCGATCCCCAGCTGTTGCTCTCTAGATTGTTTGTAGACGAAAACATCGATAGTATATCGATGGTGAAAGTGGTGTACTCTTTTTATTTGTAATAAAATCAAGAGTATATATTTATTTGCATTATATTTAGTAGAAACTTTATTCCATTCCATCCGATTCCAAAGAAATTTATATAGCATATTTAAGACGGTTTTGAAAATTCCTATACGGGAACGAACAGTAAAAGTCTGACATTTGGTTATGGTGCTATGACATTAGACTTTGCCGACTGACTAGCTGGAGAAAATAAAAATGCCTGCAGTCAGAGCGAGAGCAATATATATGCGTCAAGCTGGATGTCCAGTTGAGCTGGACTTAAATCCATTGATTTAATTTGCGGATACAATTTTGCTGGCTTGGTGGCTGTGTTTTGCTGTAAAACATCATTTGGTCTCAAGTAGTGCCTCAGTTGTGCGACTGAAAACCATTAGACGTGTCTAGAGACGGCTACGAACAGTAATGTTGCATTTTGTCTCTTTCTATCCCTCTATACGCAGCAGAATTGGCTAAGTCTAATGTCATAACACTATTACTCGAATCCGCAAAACTGATGAGACCATACATAAAACTATCGATAAGGCCGCATGAGAAGGCGCAACCAACTTCACATCGCGCTGTCATTTCTCCCTCTTTTTCGCCTCCATCGACGGATTGCGGTCGCTTGATTTGTAAATTTCTGCAAAAATGTAAGTAAATCTATTATTTAAAAATGAAAAAGTATAACTGACTGAGCAAATTACCCTATTCGCATTGCAGCACAACAAAATGGAGAACGACGCCGGTGAGAATGTTGATTTGTACGTGCCCCGCAAATGGTAAGTGAAACACGTGTTCCCCCGTCGCTCCCTTGGATGGCTGGCATGTTTAATCCGCTTGTGGTCTGGTCCTATTTGCAGCTCGGCCTCGAACAGGATCATCCACGCCAAGGACCACGCATCCGTGCAGCTGAGCATTGTGGATGTGGACCCCGAGACTGGCCGCCAGACCGATGGCTCCAAGACCTACGCCATTTGCGGCGAGATCCGTCGCATGGGCGAGTCCGACGACTGCATTGTGCGTCTGGCCAAGAAGGATGGCCTCATTACCAAGTGAGTGCGCTCTCATTCAATAGATGTATGATGATTTTATTTAATAACTCATTCGTTTCTTGCAGGAACTTCTAAATATGTCGAAACCATAAATCAGAAACATGAATTGGTAATAAAGTGAATTCCTTTTTGTAATTTAACGTAAAACAAGCTCTATTTGTGTTTTTCTTGTGGACTAAACGGATTGTAAATAGTTGGCATATTGAGGAATGTGATCCTTTCCATAAAAATAATCTCACTTCAGAGGAGCTACCTACTTGACGCTGCTCGTTGTAAATCGGGCAGTGGCTCTCATTGATATACTGACCTTAACAACTACCTGTAAAATCTTTCTTTTATATTCAGTGCACAATCAAGTACTTTATCAACTAAAATCTGGGTGTTATTGAAAGGCCTAGTAGATAATTGTTCCATGCTTAAATCTTCTTTTCAGTTACCAATTTTCAAGTTCCTTATTCCTCAGTTAAACTTTGGGGTTCTCTGAAATAGTTTCTTCAGCTTCCAGTGTTATGTTTATTCAATGTTCTTATTTTAGCAACGATTATCCAATCTAATTTATGTGCAAAGGAATTATTAATTTATGATGAAGTATTGCACTCACACAGAAAAATGAATTGCAACTTAATTTGTTGTTTTTGTATTTGGTCGCAAGGAAATGAACCTGCATCCAACATTAGGAGTTTTTATTTATTATCAGTTTATGAATATTCGTCTATATTTTGTGGTTGTTTTCGACTGGCGGACACGAAATAATTTGCAACTTATATACAGCCTAGAAGAACATCAAGAATGTATACATACATATGTAAATGAAAACATTCCAAAATGGGAATATCAATTTCCGTACCGATTTTAGTGCTTTTAAAATGTTCAGTACATGTTAACGGATCCAGACATGGCTGCCAAAAAATAATTTTTAAATATCAAATATTAATTTTTAATCAAATAACGTCAAAATATTTACCTTCAGTAATCTAGTAAGAGGGCCGCCGAGTCCATGGAGTATAACTGGTCAGCTGTCAGCACGATGGCTTTGTGACAATACCAAACAGGCTGATCAAATAATGAAGCGCAGCTATGCGCACAACCCGACAGTTATCCCAAGAAGATTCAGATTCCTGCCAAATCAGCTGCGGCTGATTCTATCCCTTCCCAACCGAGACAAATGGTTAAAGTTAGTCGATCCTAACAACAACTGTATAACAACGGCCGAATTTATTCTAGGAAATTCATTCGCCATCGATGCACCGCTAGTGGGAGATGCTGGGCCAGTATTGACTCCAGCCAGGTCGAGTTGTAAATCCCCTTCAGCAACAAAAATTAGTCAAGTGGAAAGGCAAGGCCACTATTTTATTCTCAAAAAACAAAAATGTTTTCTCAGAGAAGCATGACCCAATGAGTGTCTAATTGCTTGTAATTCTATTCTTATCGACATGCAGGCTGACATTGTAGGGTATAGAATGTAGTGGATCATAAAGTTATTCGCGCTGCGGTTAAAGCAACAATGACATCCCTCAGGACACGATGCATGAGTGTAAGTTTTGCTGTCGTAGTACTCCTTTGGGTTCTGAATGTGGGTGCGAGGAAAAGGTCTGTAAATAAATTGTTTCGCTGTTTAAATAACTATACTAAAAGGCAGAAAGAGCAAGTGTTTGGAGGTAGACACGAAGATACATTTGTATTGGTGTTTGGTGGGCTCACCCAACATCCAATATGTAGATTCGGTATATATTTTATTAAATTTCCAAAGGCAAAAGTATTAAAATATTCCAGCGTCGTCGATATTGATCAAAGCGTCTAGGCAAGCGAGAAAATGATGATCTTGACAAATTATTAAATATTTATTATTTATTAATTTGATTTTTATTTATTAGTCAATAAAATCAATATTTTTAAAATAGTCAAGAAAGAACCGTAGATTTGGTAGTACTAAACTCGTTCACTAAGTTCTTTGTTTATTAATATGGGATCTAAGCAATCAATTTTGATTTCAACCAAATGATTAGCATACAAAATATCGCGCATATAGAATTCGAAATAGATTTGTATCTTCCCACGCTGCTCCTTCTGTTCGCTCACCCAGGTACGAACACTATCCACTAAGTTATCTTTGTTTATCATATCGTAAACTTGTATATTGAGAACCTTTAGGAGCGGAAGCCCCTTTAGAAGGTCTAGAACATGGTCATTCGTAATTGGCATGGATATGTGGAGGTATAGAAGGTTCTTCAGCTTCAGTAAGTCCGCCAAGGGGACGGTGTCGCAGGCTACTTCGAGTTCCTTGAGTGTAGAAATATTGCAAAGACGTTTAACCTGATCAACGGACAACTTGTCTGGTCCCAGGATAAGACTTTCCAGAGGAGAGCCCTTTTTGTTGATCAATCCCTCGATTAACGAGTCGCGTACAGAACCGTCATGCACCACCTGCAAATGTTGTAACCTGGGCAACTGGCAGACCAGCTCATAGGGCATCGTTGAGTCGAAGCACTGTACAGAAAAGGCCAGACGTTCCAGCTGCTGCCAGTTCGTCACCAGAATTTCAAAATTGTTCTTAGTGAGGTTTCTAGTATGTGCAATGTCCAGATGGCGTAGTTGCTTTATCGTTTGGCAGCAATACTCCAAGTTCTTGCCATCGAAATCCTCATGGACATCCAGCTCCAGAGATTCCAGCTGTTCAAGATAATGCAATCCTCCTCCGTTATATTCGACAGCCTTCAACTTCAGTTTCTTTAGGCACGGCAAATGCTTGAGAATGTTTACAAATTCCGTATACAACTTATCTCTGTCTTCTTGTAGTGCATGGTCTGACCATATTTCAGTGTCCAAAGATTTGATCTTTTTGAAGCTGAGTAGATGGGGCCATTCTATCGAGTTCAGGTCAAAACCCATTTTCAAATTTTTTACATTCCTACAATGGTCCTCCAGGTGGAATATATTTTGAACGAAAGTCAATGGTTGCTCATAGGTTACCAGATTCTCGCCAACAATCTGCAACAGTTTCTGCAGATATGGTGTGTCGCCAATCCTTATCGTGAGCGATTCATTCATATGTTTGTACCGATGGCTTGCGTACCTCTTGAACATCTCTCCCATAAACACGTTCGAAGACGCGAGCTCTAGCTGGTCTTTTACGTCCAGATAATCCATTACGACTTTCCAGCAATCCTCGTTTAAATGGGGACCAGTTTTATGAGACGTTCCGATTTTTGCCAGAGGCTTTCGCACCATCAGCTTCTCTCTTTCTATTTTCCGCGGGAACTGCTTTGGCAATATTACTACCGCTAGCGTGTTGATTCATTTTGCTTCTTACGTTATCTTATGTTCTAAGAAGTCTTGCTGTAAAAGTGATTTGTTAATTCAAACTGCAAATACATACATACATATATGGCTATTACCGACGTTATATCGATGACGTTGAACTGAACCATCTTGGTTTGGGCAAAAATTCTATAACACTTATATGTAACATATATAGAATCTTTGGTTTGCGTTCAGTTATCGCAAATTGTTGGGAGTGTTTATCAATACCAATAGAGACCTTGAGTGTGTTGTACTCGAACCAGCTTGTACGTTGAGTTTGGTTATTATTCTTTAACCTATTAAAACCAAATAGTTCCGTAGATCGGGGGCTTAGTTAAGACCGTTATTTCAGGTATTATTTTATAGGTAAATTCTTAATTCAATGAAATATACTTGTTATTGAATTCAAAGGCGATCGATTCCCAGCTGCTGCTCTTTCGATTGTTTGTAGACAAAAACATCGATAGTGACTCATTTTTAATAAATTCAAGAAACAAACAAGATAATAAAATATAAACTTCTTTTAAGCAATACACAATATTCTAAATTTTAACAAATATAAGATCTCGATTAAATGCGAAAAGAATTAATAAATAAAAATAAAAACATTAGCAAACTTTATTATTTTACGCGGTTTCAGGCAAGTTCACGTTCACTTGCTTCAATATAGGGGACTCTTGAATTATGGTATACTGGTATTTTTTTTGGTATATTAAAGGTATATTTCTTAGGGTCAGACGGTATCTTTTGTCGGTAAATCCACGGTCACACTGCTTGTCGCAACACGAAAAAAAATTATAAAAAAAATAAACAATAGAGCTGTCAAACGATTGATAGTTGAGCCATCGATAGTTTTGAATGTTTTGAAAAAAAAAATCGATACTATCGAGATAGTATAAGGCTCAAATAATTATTAAAAAACCATTGAAACCTTTTAGGAACTTGTCCATTGTAAAAATTAGATGCCACCTGTTGATTTGTAAATGTGTGTTCGTATTTTATAGCAACCAATCCAAAAATATCAAAAGCACAACGACTGTAGCTCGATACTATCATGATAGTCGCAAAACCATCGATAGTAGCGGCTAGCAACAAAACATCGATACTATCGATAGTGCCCTCGATGGTTTTACACCTCTACTGTGCTTAGTTACAGTAGTTTTATAAAAAAAATAAACACCGCGAAACAAAATACATACACACACCTATTAGTGCTTAGTTACAGTAGTTTTAGGTCACAAACAATCGGAGTGCGGTGCTGCATATGTATGTACATCTATATAAATCCAAATAATGCGAAAGTGTGGAAAGGGAAACGCAGAGTCCTGTGAAATGTGAAATAAATATATGCGAAAATTTATGTAATACTGTTTGTTTCAAAAAACAAACGGAAACAAGAACTACTGTCAACAAAACAAAACAGTATTTGTTTGAAATCATCATATTTTTTTATTTCAAAAGTATTAGGTGAGTGCTGGTTTCGGGTAGTGTGAGGGTTCGTGTACTGTAAGCATAAATATCATAACAATTATGTTGTTTTCCTTTGTCCCGTGCTGAATTGTGACTCATTGGCGAAGAATTCCAGGTGCACACCAGGTCCTCAGAATAACCTGACTCATTCCCACGTACATACATATAAAAAGCGTACGCCAGAATTTATGTTGCGAATATGAGAATTGTCCTCAGTTTGCACTACAATAGGGAAGCGCTGCCAAACGTCTGTTTGAACTCGACCCAATAGGGGAAGACATATAAAAAAAACCCCTCGCTGTTTTCCCCCTTCAAACCCTCTTGATACCACTTTTGACAAGTTTCTGCTTCAGCGGGTGCCACAGTGTGCCTACGTTCGGCTCGGTGCAGCTGCACCTAAATTGCACTAAACGCGCACTCTGCGCCAAGCGAACGCCTCCCATCTCCCTGTCTCCCTCTCTCTCTCTCCCTCTCTCTCTCTCGATGTTTTCTGCGCTTCGTCATTCGCCATAAGTAACGGCATGTTTTGAGCTTGTATGCGGATACATACATGCATATGTACATACATATGTATATGTATGTTCATTCACTTTTGCGCATTTTTATTGTTGGGTCTCGGCTCTGTATTTTTATCATTTTTAGACACCAAAACTGTAATTATCTCGCTACCTCCCTCTGCCGTCTAGCTCTGCTTTCGCAAGAATTATTGTCTATTTGCTTGCACCTAAAACCTGATTGCTGGGTACAGGGAACCCTGTACGTTTAGCGACCGCAAGCGGCAATAAAATAAATTGCTTTGCATGAATGTGTGTGTTTGTTTGTATCTACGCAGTACATATTCGATATGGAGAGCTGATAAATAAAAAAAAAACAACTAAAATGATAGCTGCGATGAGAGGCCATTTATTGGACACGTTTCATAATTCAAATGATATTTTACCTCAGATCTCTGTTAAAATGTAATAAACACAGTATAACTTATCTAACGAGAACTTTTTCATCCTCAAAATAATGATATATGATATGATATATCCGTGTCAATAGTCTTAGCCTACATACATAAAGGAATATTTACCTTAAAATCCTACTAACTAAAAAAATGACAACCTGTGGCCAAAGCTCAATATTTTTTTCTAAAACATGAAATTCGTCTTCACTGTGCATCCCCTGGCGCGAGACGAGATCAAAGCCCCATTTCACTTTCTTCATCAGCGCACACGAGCACACGCATAACACAATGCCCTGCCTTACTCCCCCTCACTGACGAGTGGCACTGACACGGCCAAGGCGTTTCATTTAAAAGTGATTCAATCAGTTTAATTGATTGCACTCATGCTCGTCTGCCTCCATCTGAGTGCACCGTGCACCTACGTGCATTTGTACATATATTTCAATTTTATTGTTTGCATTTATGATTTTTCTGCAACACTCGCAAAACAGCCCCTCCCACCCCATTCACGCGAATGGGAGGGCCAGGTCACTGCAAAGAGTCAATTTCTTCGCTGAGTCGCTCGCTCGCACATCCACTTAAATCGGTTACAGTTACTTTGGTTTGGTGTGTGTGCTAAATTGGTGTCTTCTTTCGTCGTTGCCCTTTCAGATGCCGACGGCACGCGCTGAGCACTTGGGAGAAAGGGAGCCGGCCGCGAGGAGGCAATATGAAATGTAAATGTAGGCAGAAAATTCTCTTGTATAAAATTACCCGGTGTCGATGCCAGTGGCTCTCGTCGGTGTGGGAAATGAATAACGTCAGTCGTCGGAATGGGGATTTATTTCATAGCCGAGACTTTGAATTGCTCCATTATACTTACATTTTTCCTTTTGGCCCCATCCAAGGCATTATAATATTTTTTGTTGTGTCATACAAGGTTAGACGGTGGGCGATAATTTTCAACGGAAACCTTGGCAACGACTTTTAAACATTACTCGAACATCCTTAAGCTTGTCCACATTTTCTTTCTCCATTTTCGCTAGGGCCGTCGCTGTACAAAGATGTACAAATTTCCCATAATCGAACGGATTAATTTTTTACTAAGGACACGAATAGAGACTATACGCCATCCATAAGTGATTCGAAATGGGCTACCATGAAATCTCAACAATAAAACGATGTGCCATAAAAACGTCTTAAACTCGTATGACCGATAGAAGAAATTGACGAAAATTCGAATGAGAAGAGTCATTGCATTCTGTAGAGGTCGTTCAACTGACGGATATGTTGAATAAAAATATCAATTTCCATACAAAGTAGTTTAACCTTTTTTTCAGATACTTTACATAAGTTCATCAGGTGAACATTTTTTTAAATGGGAAATTTTCATTTCTTTAAATTCAAACAATTAATTTCCACTTTGCATATTATTTGTATTTTTTTTACCTTAAGACTTTTCGACGAACGTCAGTAGATACCCCAGACAGCAGATACCAGAACGAAATGTGAATTTTTGCCTTGCTCCCGTTTCTCTATTGTTTGAAATTCTTCAGAGTCACATTTCTTATTATTTTTTTTTTTTTGTCGTGACTTTGCTGCTAGTTTTGTGGATGTAAAACTCATATGTACATAAAGCTAACACCAGCGCTTCTCTTTCAGCTTACGCTTAGCACTGTTCAGTGGGTCAGAATTTGAGTAATATTCTCCCCTGAGCACAAAAAAATGGAGAATTCTGCTTTGTGAGTATTAAGTAGCTGGCGAAAGGTGTGCTGTGCCCCCGTACCCAGAGCTCTTCGTTCTACCCGCATGACCACCGACCTGACCTGTTCATTTAGTAGACATTCTGCATGGAAATATATTCGTTATACTCGTATTTAGTAGTTTTATCTGGTATTATTCGCGCTCACTTAATTTACGAGAGCTGTGAATAATAAACAAGTATTTATCGAACGGCGCAATCGAACGAGTTAAATTTATTTATATCTACTTTTAGTACTCGTTCAGCTACGCAATGATAGATTAATTCCTTAGCTATGCGAAAAGTCTAGAACTAAAAAACAATTTATGAGGAATCCAAACTGCTGGTGTGATATGAAAAGTCGAAATTCATTGAAGTTTGGAAGTTTATACACTGGGAGCCTTTTATTATCAATTTTTTGAATATATTTATATATTCTTGATCAGAATCAACAGTCGAGTCGATATAGCCATGTCTGTCCGTCGTATTTTCGTTATACTTGTATTTAGTAGTTTTATCTGGTATTTCTTATATTTCGTTTTGTCCGCCCCTTTTGCTCTCACTCTCTCTTCCAGTGTGGCATAGTAGTTAAAGGTTTGTTCTCATGTCCGGGATGTACTCAAAGAGTACCTCTCTCACCTCTCTCCCAGTTTCGTTTCAAATTTCCTCAGCATTTTGCTGCACAGAAAAATGTTGTCATAGTGCGACACTTTTTTAAATCAATTTCATATGTTTGGTGTATCTCTTGCTGGATTTAATCACCGTTTGTCGTCATGTGGAGGAGACTATGTAAATATGTGCGATGTTAAATTATTATTCTAAAACGTCAGCGATAAGACAACAGAACCCTTCGCATATTTACGATGACGATCATCATTATCTTTCACAGTACAACACTGTCATCGTGAAATAGTATCAGTTGAATTGTAAAAAATCGATGTGATGACGGTAGACCAAAACGAGAAGGAACGTGTAAGTCGCTTCTGTGATCGCGACTCTAATTTTATACCCGTACTCAGTCAGTATATAAATTTTTTAGCTTATGATTTATGTAGAATGTATTTTGCATTTTTTTTGCTACGTCTGTTATCTTCATTTACACATGCAATGTTGATTTAACATCTAAAGTGTAGATTATACATCTACAATGCAGATTCTCTGCAAAGGTAGCGCATTGCCAGGGCAGAGTGCGTGCGAGCGAGAAAGAGAATGAGTGGCGTGGACTCGTGCTGGAGGTGGTGGGGGAAGCAACTGAAAATTAATTTCTTTATTCTGGCTATAATAATGATCCCATCTGATTCAGATTCAGCAATCTGGTAGATATGGTCATTCTCCACGATACTGCGTTTTCAGTTTTATAGTATCTTCAAAGTTTTAGCTGCCACAGATTTTCGTCTTTTGCCCCGGGGCCGAAAGGGGGCGCGGCGATATTTGAAATACATTTGGTTGCTCTAGCTCTTATAGTCTCTGAGAACTAGGCACAAATCCACAAATCTTATGTACCCCTTAACTCTTTTTGAGTAAAAGTATAATTAGGATAACCAGAAGAAGATATAAATGCTGTGTATACAACTTATGTATATAAGCGATTGTATAATATTTGTTTATAATTACCTTTTGCACACTGACCTACTACTCCTTGAGAACTGCAACTGTCGGAAATAATCGCTTTATTTTCGCTTACTTTCGGTTTCATTAGTGTATTCTGCAATCAGTGCAATAAGTACACAGCTTTATAGGCTATGGCCCATAATCAGTTCTGCACCGTAGTTCCAAAATGACTCACAACACAATCTTTTATTCGTCTTAATAAAAGTAGTTATTAGTCATGTTTTTGTATCATATTTAAAGAAATCCTTAAAAGGTATGCCCTTGGTGATTCAGGGTTTATAACTTGGCCTAGTGTTTGAACCGATTAAAATCGATAATTATTAGCCAACAAACCTATTTATTATCTTATCGGCTTTGAAATTTAGTCCAATTTAATCAATCCAATACCTTAAAAAAGATATATGATTATTGGTATGAAATTATTCATTTTCTCTGTCCGTCTTTCCATTTTCCTATTCTATTATTGTAAGGTGTTCTCGTGTTGGTGAGATAGTGATTCAGTGAGAGGCTCGATTAAGGAGAGAGAAAAAAGAGCTGCCATCAAACTTAGTCCTTGACCAAGTGTAGTGCGAGGGAGACGAGGGATATCTATGCTCATGGATTGCGGTTCAAAGAATATTTAACCTAGGAAGAAGGCTTCGCCGGTCGTTTGTGAGAGCAAAGCACCAAGGAAATCGTTATTTGCGTACATCTGTGCAGGAACAAAGTTATTATGAA